ATTCAAAAAATTCAAATAAGAATTTGAATTAGAAGAATTCAAAGAAGGATTCAAAGAATTCAAAGATAATTCAAGGAATTCAAAGAAGAATTCAAAGAAGAATTCGAAGAATTCAAAGAATTCAAAGAAGAATTCGAATTAGAAGAATTCAAAGAAGAATGTGAAGAAGAATTCGAAGAATTCAAAGAAGAATTCAAAGAAGAATTCAAAAAATTCAAAGAAGAATTCGAATTAGAAGAATTCGAAGAATTTGAATTCGAAGAAGAATTCAAAGAAGAATTCAAAGGATTCAAAGAATTCGACAAAGAATTTGAAGAATTCGACAAAGAATTCAAAGAATTCAAAGAAGAATTCAAAGAATTCATAGAAGAATTAAAAAAATTCAAAGAAGAATTTGAATTAGAAGAATTCAAATAAGGATTCAAAGAATTCAAAGAAGAATTCGAAGAAGAATTCGAAGAATTCAAAGAAGAATTCGAAGAATTCAAAGAAGAATTCGAAGAATTCGAATTAGAAGAATTCAAAGAAGAATTTGAAGAAGAATTTGCAGAATTCGAATTAGAAGAAGAATTCGAAGACTTCGAATTAGAAGAATTCGAATCAGAAGAATTTGAAGACTTCGAATTTGAAGAATTTGAATTAGAAGAATTAAAAAAATTCAAAGAAAAATTCAAAGAATTCAAAGAAGAATTCAAAGAATTCAAAGAAGAATTCGAAGGATTCAAAGAAGAATTCGGAGGATTCAAAGAAGAATTCTTCGAATTCAAAGAATTCGACAAAGAATTTGAAGAATTCGACAAAGAATTCAAAGAATTCGACAAAGAATTTGAATTAGAAGAAGAATTCAAAGAAGGATTCAAAGAATTCGAAGAATTCAAAGAAGAATTTGAAGAAGAATTCGAAGAATTCAAAGAATTCGAAGAATTCGAAGAATTCAAAGAAGAATTCAAAAAATTCAAAGAAGAATTCGAATTAGAAAAATTCGAAGAATTTGAATACGAAGAAAAATTCAAAGAAGAATTCAAAGAAGGATTCAAAGAATTCGACAAAGAATTTGAAGAATTAGAAAAAGAATTCAAAGAATTCAAAGAAGAATTCAAAGAATTCATAGAATTCGAAAAATTCAAAGAAGAATTTGAATTAGAAGAATTCAAAGAATTCAAAGAAGAATTCAAAGAATTAGAAGAATTCAAAGAAGAATTTGAAGAATTCGAATTAGAAGAATTCAAAGAAGAATTCGAAGAATTCAAAGAAGAATTCAAAGAATTCAAAGAAGAATTCAAAGAAGAATTCAAAAAATTCAAGGAAGAATTCGAATTAGAAGAATTTGAATTCAAAGAAGAATTCAAAGAAGGATTCAAAGAATTCGACAAAGAATTCAAAGAAGAATTCAAAGAATTCATAGAAGAATTCAAAAAATTCAAAGAAGAATTTGAATTAGAAGAAGAATTCAAAGAAGGATTCAAAGAATTCAAAGAAGAATTCGAAGAAGAATTCGAAGAAGAATTCGAAGATTCGAAGAATTCAAAGAAGAATTTAAAGAATTCGAATAAGAAGAATTCAAAGAAGAATTCAAAGAATTCAAAGAAGAATTCAAAGAAGAATTCAAAAAATTCAAAGAAGAATTTGAATTCGAAGAATTTGAATTCGAAAAATTCGAAGAATTTGAATTCGAAGAATTCAAAGAAGAATTCAAAGAAGGATTCAAAGAATTCGACAAAGAATTTGAAGAATTCGACAAAGAATTCAAAGAAGAATTCAAAGAATTCATAGAAGAATTTAAAATTCAAAGAAGAATTTGAATTAGAAGAAGAATTCAAAGAAGGATTCAAAGAATTCGAAGAATTCAAAGAAGAATTCGAAGAATTCAAAGAAGAATTCGAAGAATTCAAATTAGAAGAGTTCAAAGAAGAATTTGCAGAATTCGAATTAGAAGAAGAATTCGAAGACTTCGAATTAGAAGAATTTGAAGAATTCGAATTAAAAGAAGAAACATTCAAAGAATTCGACAAAGAATTTGAAGAATTCGACAAAGAATTCAAAGAATTCAAAGAAGAATTCAAAGAATTCATAGAAGAATTCAAAAAATTCAAAGAAGAATTTGAATTAGAAGAAGAATTCAAAGAAGGATTCAAAGAATTCAAAGAATTTGAAGAAAAATTCGAAGAATTCGAAGAATTCGAATTAGAAGAATTCAAAGAAGAATTTGAAGAAGAATTCGAAGAACTCAAAGAAGAATTCAAAGAAGAATTCAAAGAAGAATTCAAAAAATTCAAAGAAGAATTTGAATTAGAAGAATTCGAAGAATTTGAATTCGAAGAAGAATTCAAAGAAGAATTCAAAGAAGGATTCAAAGAATTCGACAAAGAATTTGAAGAATTCGACAAAGAATTCAAAGAATTCAAAGAAGAATTCAAAGAATTCATAGAAGAATAAAAAAAATTCAAAGAAGAATTTGAATTAGAAGAAGAATTCAAAGAAGGATTCAAAGAATTCAAAGAAGAATTCGAAGAAGAATTCGAAGAATTCAAAGAAGAATTCGAAGAATTCGAAGAATTCGAATTAGAAGAATTCAAAGAAGAATTTGAAGAACAATTTGCAGAATTCAAATTAGAAGAAGAATTCGAAGACTTCGAATTAGAAGAATTCGAATTAGAAGAATTTGAAGAATTCGAATTAGAAGAAGAAACATTCAAAGAATTCGACAAAGAATTTGAAGAATTCGACAAAGAATTCGAGGAATTCAAAGAAGAATTCAAAAAATTCAAAGAAGAATTTGAATTAGAAGAATTCAAAGAAGGATTCAAAGAATTCAAAGAAGAATTCGAAGAAGAATTCGAAGAATTCGAAGAATTCAAAGAAGAATTTGAAGAATTCGAATTAGAAGAATTCAAAGAAGAATTCAAAGAATTCAAAGAAGAATTCAAAGAAGAATTCAAAAAATTCAAAGAAGAATTTGAATTCGAAGAATTCGAAGAATTTGAATTCGAAGAATTCAAAGAAGAATTCAAAGAAGGATTCAAAGAATTCGACAAAGAATTTGAAGAATTCGACAAAGAATTCAAAGAAGAATTTAAAGAATTCATAGAAGAATTTAAAAAATTCAAAGAAGAATTTGAATAAGAAGAATTCAAAGAAGGATTCAAAGAATTCAAAGAAGAATTCGAAGAAGAATTCGAAGAATTCAAAGAATTCAAAGAAGAATTCGAAGAATTCGAATTAGAAGAATTCAAAAAAGAATTTGAAGAAGAATTTGCAGAATTCGAATTAGAAGAAGAATTCGAAGACTTCGTATTAGAAGAATTCGAATAAGAAGAATTTGAAGAATTCGAATTAGATGAAACATTCAAAGAATTCGACAAAGAATTTGAATTAGAAGAAGAATTCAAAGAAGGATTCAAAGAATTCGAAGAATTCAAAGAAGAATTTGAAGAAGAATTCGAAGAATTCAAAGAATTCAAAGAATTCGAAGAATTCGAAGAAGAATTCAAAAAATTCAAAGAAGAATTCGAATTAGAAGAATTCGAAGAATTTGAATTCGAAGAAAAATTCAAAGAAGAATTCAAAGAAGGATTCAAAGAATTCGACAAAGAATTTGAAGAATTAGAAAAAGAATTCAAAGAATTCAAAGAAGAATTCAAAGAATTCATAGAATTCGAAAAATTCAAAGAAGAATTTGAATTAGAAGAAGAATTCAAAGAATTCAAAGCAGAATTCAAAGAATAAGAAGAATTCAAAGAAGAATTTGAAGAATTCGAATTAGAAGAATTCAAAGAAGAATTCGAAGAATTCAAAGAAGAATTCGAAGAATTCAAAGAAGAATTCAAAGAAGAATTCAAAAAATTCAAGGAAGAATTCGAATTAGAAGAATTCGAAGAATTTGAATTCAAAGAAGAATTCAAAGAAGGATTCAAAGAATTCGACAAAGAATTCAAAGAAGAATTCAAAGAATTCATAGAAGAATTCAAAAAATTCAAAGAAGAATTTGAATTAGAAGAAGAATTCAAAGAAGGATTCAAAGAATTCAAAGAATAATTCGAAGAAGAATTCGAAGAATTCGAAGAATTCAAAGAAGAATTTAAAGAATTCGAATAAGAAGAATTCAAAGAAGAATTCAAAGAATTCAAAGAAGAATTCAAAGAAGAATTCAAAAAATTCAAAGAAGAATTTGAATTCGAAGAATTTGAATTCGAAGAATTCGAAGAAGAATTCAAAGAAGGATTCAAAGAATTCGACAAAGAATTTGAAGAATTCGACAAAGAATTCAAAGAAGAATTCAAAGAATTCATAGAAGAATTCAAAATTCAAAGAAGAATTTGAATTAGAAGAAGAATTCAAAGAAGGATTCAAAGAATTCGAAGAATTCAAAGAAGAATTCGAAGAATTCAAAGAATTCGAAGAATTCAAAGAAGAATTCGAAGAATTCAAATTAGAAGAGTTCAAAGAAGAATTTGAAGAAGAATTTGCAGAATTCGAATTAGAAGAAGAATTCGAAGACTTCGAATTAGAAGAATTTGAAGAATTCGAATTAAAAGAAGAAACATTCAAAGAATTCGACAAAGAATTTGAAGAATTCGACAAAGAATTCAAAGAATTCAAAGAAGAATTCAAAGAATTCATAGAAGAATTCAAAAAATTCAAAGAAGAATTTGAATTAGAAGAAGAATTCAAAGAAGGATTCAAAGAATTCAAAGAAGAATTCAAAGAAGAATTCAAAGAATTCAAAGAATTCGAATTAGAAGAATTCAAAGAAGAATTTGAAGAAGAATTCGAAGAACTCAAAGAAGAATTCAAAGAAGAATTCAAAGAAGAATTCAAAAAATTCAAAGAAGAATTAAAATTAGAAGAATTCGAAGAATTTGAATTCGAAGAAGAATTCAAAGAAGAATTCAAAGAAGGATTCAAAGAATTCGACAAAGAATTTGAAGAATTCGACAAAGAATTCAAAGAATTCAAAGAAGAATTCAAAGAATTCATAGAAGAATAAAAAAAATTCAAAGAAGAATTTGAATTAGAAGAAGAATTCAAAGAAGGATTCAAAGAATTAAAAGAAGAATTCGAAGAAGAATTCGAAGAATTCAAAGAAGAATTCGAAGAATTCAAAGAAGAATTCGAAGAATTCGAATTAGAAGAATTCAAAGAAGAATTTGAAGAACAATTTGCAGAATTCAAATTAGAAGAAGAATTCGAAGACTTCGAATTAGAAGAATTCGAATTAGAAGAATTTGAAGAATTCGAATTAGAAGAAGAAACATTCAAAGAATTCGACAAAGAATTTGAAGAATTCGACAAAGAATTCAAAGAATTCAAAGAAGAATTCAAAAAATTCAAAGAAGAATTCGAATTAGAAGAATTCGAAGAATTTGAATTCGAAGAAAAATTCAAAGAAGAATTCAAAGGATTCAAAGAATTCGACAAAGAATTTGAAGAATTAGAAAAAGAATTCAAAGAATTCAAAGAAGAATTCAAAAAATTCATAGAATTTGAAAAATTCAAAGAAGAATTTGAATTAGAAGAAGAATTCAAAGAAGAATTCGAAGAATTCGAATTAGAAGAATTCAAAGAAGAATTCGAAGAATTCAAAGAAGAATTCAAAGAAGAATTCAAAGAATTCATAGAAGAATTCAAAAAATTCAAAGAAGAATTTGAATTAGAAGAATTCAAAGAAGGATTAAAAGAATTCAAAGAAGAATTCGAAGAAGAATTCGAAGAATTCAAAGAAGAATTTGAAGAATTCGAATTAGAAGAATTCAAAGAAGAATTCAAAGAATTCAAAGAAGAATTCAAAGAAGAATTCAAAAAATTCAAAGAAGAATTTGAATTCGAAGAATTCGAAGAATTTGAATTCGAAGAAGAATTCAAAGAAGAATTCAAAGAAGGATTCAAAGAATTCGACAAAGAATTTGAAGAATTCGACAAAGAATTCAAAGAAGAATTTAAAGAATTCATAGAAGAATTTAAAAAATTCAAAGAAGAATTTGAATTAGAAGAATTCAAAGAAGGATTCAAAGAATTCAAAGAAGAATTCGAAGAAGAATTCGAAGAATTCAAAGAATTCGAATTAGAAGAATTCAAAAAAGAATTTGAAGAAGAATTTGCAGAATTCGAATTAGAAGAAGAATTCGAAGACTTCGTATTAGAAGAATTCGAATTAGAAGAATTTGAAGAATTCGAATTAGATGAAACATTCAAAGAATTCGACAAAGAATTTGAAGAATTCGACAAAGAATTCAAAGAAGAATTCAAAGAATTCATAGAAGAATTCAAAAAATTCAAAGAAGAATTTGAATTAGAAGAAGAATTCAAAGAAGGATTCAAAGAATTCAAAGAAGAATTCAAAGAAGAATTCGAAGAATTCAAAGAATTCAAAGAAGAATTCGAAGAATTAGAATTAGAATAATTCAAAGAAGAATTTGAAGAAGAATTCGAAGAATTCGAAGAATTCGAAGAAGAATTCGAAGAATTCAAAGAAGAATTCAAAGAAGAATTCAAAAAATTCAAAGAAGAATTCGAATTAGAAGAATTCGAAGAATTTGAATTCGAAGAAGAATTCAAAGAAGAATTCAAAGAAGGATTCAAAGAATTCGACAAAGAATTTGAAGAATTCGACAAAGAATTCAAAGAATTCATAGAAGAATTAAAAAAATTCAAAGAAGAATTTGAATTAGAAGAATTCAAAGAAGGATTCAAAGAATTCAAAGAAGAATTCGAAGAAGAATTCGAAAAATTCAAAGAAGAATTCGAAGAATTCAAAGAAGAATTCGTAGAATTCTAATTAGAAGAATTCAAAGAAGAATTTGAAGAACAATTTGCAGAATTCGAATTAGAAGAAGAATTCGAAGACTTCGAATTAGAAGAATTCGAATTAGAAGAATTTGAAGAATTCGAATTAGAAGAAGAAACATTCAAAGAATTCGACAAAGAATTTGAAGAATTCGACAAAGAATTCAAAGAATTTAAAGAAGAATTCAAAGAATTCATAGAAGAATTCAAAAAATTCAAAGAAGAATTTGAATTAGAAGAAGAATTCAAAGAAGGATTCAAAGAATTCAAAGAATTCGAAGAAAAATTCGAAGAAGAATTCGAAGAATTCAAAGAAGAATTCGAAGAATTCGAATTAGAAGAAGAATTCGAAGACTTCGAATTAGAAGAAGAATTCGAATTAGAAGAAGAATTTGAAGAATTCGAATTAGAAGAAGAAACATCCAAAGAATTCGAATTAGAAGAATTTGAAGAAGAATTCAAAGAAGGATTCAAAGAGTTCAAAGAAGAATTCAAAGAATTCGAAGAATTCAAAGAGAAATTCGAAGAATTCAAAGAAGAATTCAAAGAATTCAATGAAGAATTCAAAGAAGAATTCAAAGAATTCAATGAAGAATTCAAAGAATTCGAATTAGAAGAATTCGAATTCGAGAAGAAGAAGAAGAATTCAAAGAATTCGAAGAAGAATTTAAAGAATTCGAAGAAGAAGAAGAAGAAGATTTTCTCCTGGAGAACCATATAGAATTTTTGGCTTTTAAAATTTATGGCTCAAAATATTGAACTTTTTTCACAATATTCTGATTTATTAAAATGCACCTGTACTTCACAATGCAATGGGGGAAAAAAATCTGCAGAATCTCGGCCAGCTCATACATATCGTTGGTGTGTGAAATGACTGTAATTCTAACCAGTTTTTCCTGCTGGTTTCAGATATACTGGACCAAACTAAACCACAGTCCTTTATTCAGGGATGGGATGGGCTTTTCACAAACAACCAAGACAGCAGCTTCTGCCACGGGGAGCTCCATTGAATCTGTTGTTGCTGCCATGTTAAACAAACTGGATGATGTAGTATATTAATCAACCGAAGAAAAAAAAAAAACCTGCACTCGCAGTGTTCATTGGTAAGACAGATGTGTTTGCTTTCCTGCAGACATGTTCTGTTCATTGTAGGTCTGTTCAATAGCTTCCAGGGGCATTTTCACATGCAGCCATTGCTCATACCCCCTGGAAAAAAAACATAAAGAAATGTACTGAATGGACCCAGACGATTCACCAAGGTGAACCTATCTGGTGCCAGCTGCAAGGCTACGAAATTTGCAAAAGAAAACTGCACAGACTGAGTCTCAACTTCCATCCTTGGGACAGATCTGAGTCATGAAAGTGACTTACAGCCTTGGGTCAAAGAGGTTAATTCGTGAATGCCATATGTATGGGCTCTGATTGAATCTTGTTTGTTTATTTGTCGGAAAAAACACACTTTCTGTCTCCGAGTTTGAACCAGCGTGACTGTGATGATTCAGAGCGAGCTACTTGACGTCAGACACTCATTAAAGCTCTGTCACTGGAAGGAAGAATTGAACGAGTCACCTCTACTCAAGAGGCCGTTCATCATACTTCAAAATGAGAAGAGGGGGGGTGAAGTCTGCTATTATGGACATTAATTGCTGAGTCATTGTAGCTGCAGATATATTATGATGATTGGCTATCATAATGAGTGAGTGTAAGTCTTATCTATTGCCATTTTTAATGATATTTCACACTGTAAGAGCTAAGTACCTCACACGAAGGTTTGCTCGTATTTTAAAGAAGTTTTTGCTGCAAAGTCTCGGCCTGCAAAAATCCAAATGAAAGAAGACGTCAAAAGAGCTAGACAGAGATGCAAGGTGAGCAACGCCTCAATGAAGCATTTTCGCTTGTCTGCATGAGTCATTGATCACATAAACATGATTTTCAAGGCAAAACTCTCCCTGGGGATGATTAAATACAAACGCCTCTGCTTCCTCCAACTCTCAAGTATGTGTGGCTAAACACGCCACCAGGCAATGAGAGCTGGCAGTATGAATGATGGTCATTACTCTCACTAGCGAAGCTGCAAATGCCTCATTCCAGGAAGGAGCCGTATGGTGAGCATCCTTAATGAGTGTTCAGGAGGAGGAATACATATATTTACTCTTGGTGTGATTAAATTGCAGTGTAAGCGTAGGATCAGATAGAGTGGTTGTTTACCTAACAAAGCATTATCCCTGTATGTATGATCAATCTACTCAACTCTGCAGTACGGTGAAAACACCTTTTGAACCTGAAGGACTGCGTGTTTTAAAACAGCCGAGAGCAGGCAGAAGGATTAAACATGAATGTGCTTTACATTTTGCATTGAGGTGATGTTTCAGACTATGCCTGCTGGTTTTCTCTGAGACATTAAAGTGATGTTGGAAAAGCACTAAAGCCGAGTGTTTTTTTTTTTTTTTTTCCTGGCAGCGTCTCGTACAGTGAATATGACAGACGTGAGAGATGGGAGAATAACTGGCAGCTGGCTGTAAAGATCTAAGCCGCTTTCCTCTCCTGCGATTAGCAGGATGTTCCATTGTTCTCAGCGAATGCGACACCATTTGTCATCACTTATCAAACCAATTACAGAAACATCAGTATAGGGGAGAGCGGTACAAGACAGGGGAAGTGTATAAAATGATGAGATATGTTTCAGTTTGTGTTTTACTTGATTTTGTGTGTTTTACACTTGAATCACATTTTCACTTCTATTCATCTGCAGATTTCATAACTGCAGGTGTAAACAGTGATACTATTCAACATATACAGGATCCTGTTTGAAAGGGTGTTTGGGTTGAATTAGCTGTGTAAGATCAGACACAGACAAATGCAGGATGGAGTTTATATAGCACTTCTTTTAAGGTTGCATCTGCTCAGATAGCTTTGTTTCAAATTCAAAACCTCAAATTCAAATCTCACATGTGGCTCTCTGTAGTAAAAAGGTTGTGGCGAATGATGCATGTATTTTCAATGGTGGTAGATAACATCCTTCAGAATTCCTCACCCACACTCCTCCAGCAGCCGCTTGTTTGTGGAGGAGCTCTGACAAGTCGATCACTGAGTGCAGCGGAGTTTCGCAGCTCAAGGAAGAACATTTATGAATATTACTTCATAGAAATGCAATCAGAGTTCTTGTGTATCTTGTATTTGCACTGCAGACGCAGTATCTTTCTGCCTGAGCGTCTCGGCCTGATTGCATTTCCATGAAGTAATATTCATAAATTCACCAAATGCACTTGGTGATTAACTCGTCACAGCTCTCCCTACAAACAAACGGCTGCTGGAGGAGAGCGGGTGAGTTGTGATAAGTCTCTTTGCTAGAGAATCTAGGCAAAGCTAAAAAGATATTTGATGGCTAGTACTGTGGCTAGGACACTAAATGTACTGTTGATGAAGTTAGGTGCTGTTCTGAGCATTATTTGTGGCTATAGAGTGGCGTTTTGGTTGAGGAGTGCGCATGGAGACGTAGACCGCTGTATATTGCTATCGTGCGGTCGTTACTAAAGTTTGTACAACTAAAGAAGCAAGCGGTCAGCAACATTCACTTCTCAAGGAGATGTCTAACTCTGTGTTACGGCGTGTGGGAAACATAAACTGTATTCAAGATATAGATTACCCATCTTTACCTAACTGACACCTAAGCTACTGAACTACTGCTCCAGCTAAAAGTATTTTTCACTGTTTCTCATCTGGATTCAGATCCTGTGCTGGCCAGGAATGTTGTTCAAGTACTGAGATCGCCCACCATCCAAAAGATGCTCACGGATGTTTTTGTCTTTTCAAAAAAACTGAAATAAAACATTGTTGTGGTCACTCAGGTTGATGCCCAGGACTTGTTTTATTAAAAATAAATATTCTGTTGGGAGAACATAAGGTTACACAAACATAGATCTCCGAGACTGCCTAGACAGCTGTGCTCCAACATTGTTTACATCCACAGCAGGAGAAACAACACTTTCACTTGTAACTCATCACAGACTCCTCTGAGTTTCACCGGGGATGATTTCCTGGCAGCAGTCGGGTAGGCGATGGAATAAAGTCAAGCATCGATTTGTGGAGTTTATGTGCTCAGATGATATAACACTTCTGAGGTTCGACTGTTAAGGCTTTGTGCAGGAGGACGCATTCATGAGAGTCTGTCTAAGGACTTGTTGAGTTTGTTTTGACGTTATGAAGAGCAAAAACTCGGTCCATCTTGTCAGAAGGCCAAGAAGACAGTGGAAAGCACTTGTTGGATTTCTTATACTTGAGAGGTACTGATGCCAGCTTGGATGGTGAGTTTATTTGCATCTCTGAGCAAATATTTTGTACTTGCAGTATGGTCCTGCTGTCTGCATGTGCTTCTGTGCATGTTTGTGCATGTGTTCATTTGGATTTGAGTGCTTAATTGGATTTATGATGCACCGCTGAGCGAAACGGCGCCATCTCCGCGGCTGACGTCTACGTCAGTGCTGGGTTTGGACCCATTTCCCTCTCACAGCCCATCTGTACCTCTCATCCTCTCCAAAAGCCATTATAATCCCACCAATCCCACAGCCTCTCACCATGACTGCCTACTCTCTGGCAGCCCTGCCCTCCACATTAGGATTTGGAAGCGGGCTGGAGGCTCCTTTTCCCCCCATTACCATCTTTGAGAGAGCTGATTCTCTGCTGTCAGCATGCCGTCTTCTCGTCTCTGTTGGTAAATGCATTAGCTGTTCAGATGCTAGGGCAGAGGGTGCTAGCTTCAGGGAGATGGGTGGTAATTCAGTCACAAGCCATACCGGAAGAGGATGTTTTTATTGGTTCTGGGGGAGCTCTCTTAGCTTTTGTCCTCACTCATGCACTATTCTTTAAAAAAGCATTTTAAGTGAAGAAAAATGACGGATGGTTTTTTTTTGTAAAATATGATCTCACAGCCGAGACTGAAGAGCAGGAAGGGAAAACTCAAACTAAAGTGATGGAGGAAAAATTAATCTCTTTCTTATTCTAAAGAAATCTCTTTTTTTTTCATATCCCTGACCAGATGTGGGGAGTCACAGGTCACAAATGTCTAAATGTTGCATACTTAGTTCATTTTGGAGAATAACTAGAACTCCAGTTCCACAATCGATGGGATGGTGTTAGGTCACAGCTGACCTATTATCCGAGGTTTCGCCTCAAGCCAGCAGCCTGGGTTTGATTTCAGCCTGTAGCTCCTTTTTTTATAAGTGACTCCCTGCTCTCTATCCCTGTTTCCTGCCCTGTCCACTATCTTTACTTCGTTAAATGAGGTCAAAAAAATAAGAATAGAAAAACTGAAAAATGATCCACCAAATGTTTTCAGGGAGGCCAGTTTAGCACCAACTTTTCTACTCCAGAGTCATGCTGTAGTAATTCAAGCTGAATTTGGTTTGGTGAGATATCTAAGGTCTCCCTTACCCAGGATTTCCATTGCATCTGGAACAACTCTGGAGTGGAGCGATTTTCTGCCAATTCCTATCAGATCCGTTTGTGAGACGCATTTCATGGTGGACGACGGACAGCGGGAATCACAAGAACTCGCGTATTCACATGCAATCGCGCGATAACAACCTGTCTTTAGCCACATAGGCTAACCATTCAAGCAGTAGATCGTGTCCGTCTAGAAGAGGAAATCTACTTCTAGACTTATAAAATCAGCATCCTCTCATCCACGGTGTCATCCGGATGAAATACTGTCTAGAAACCTTTCACTTGTTCGTCTCCGCCCGTTTGCATGGTGTGAAATACAATCTGCCTGAAACACGGAGTGTTTTATTTTGAAAAGACGCTGGATGATTTATTTTGTGTCTGTGCCCGACTTCCTTTCCAGCACGGGTTAATCTGTGCTGAATTTATCCGGCATGCTCCAGCGTCCAGAAAAAATAGAACTCTTGCGATCAGCTGTGGAGTCTGTCGATCCACAGCAGAACGGAAGCCGGTGGAAATTGACACATTAACTTAAATGGTTTTAATCAGCTACGATCAGCGGATACAGCCTTTTTGTAGCTGTTCCAAATGCTGTGTAAATTGCTGGTTAAAGCACATGTTGATTGATGTGCTGACCTGTCTATATATCATTCAGCAATAATGGTGCTTTCCCAGATGAGTAAGCTACCAATGCCATGGGTACTTCTGTATAAATGGCACTTTTTTCATCCCAGATGCTGACTTTTGAACTTTGCGCTGTTAAAAACACAGACGGTCTCCTCTTTTTTAGAGTGGAGGGCGTAGGGTTCATGATTTCCAAAAGAAATAGTCAGACTTTGATTTTTCAGACCACAGGACAGTTTTTCACTTCCCCACAGTGATTTCCACTTCAGAGCCATCCCTGTGGGCTGAAAGGTCAAGGCCGTGCATTATTTGGTCTTGGTCCTGTTCTACTAAGACTTCTCCAGAGTCTCTGAATGTTTTGAAAATATAATGTACTGTCTGTTTGTTCTGCATATATGTTGTCAGCCACTTGTCTTGATCAGTCTTGAATTACTTAATAAAAAAAACAAACAAACAAAAAAAGAAAATATAATCTACTGTGACGATGAAATCCCTATATCCTGTACAGATTACACCCAGAGACATAATTCTGAAATAGTTACACTGTTTGTTCTCACAGTCTCTCAAAGCGAGGTAAACCTCTTTCCATCTTTATTTGTGAGAGATTGAGCCTCTCAGGAAAGCCTTTGTAAACCCCATTAAGTTACTAACCTGTTGCAAATTAACCTCATTAGACTGGGAGGTGTTTTATTCAGCATTACGCAACTTTTCTTGTTGTTGAATCATGCTGCTGACATCAAATTTAGTACAAACATGTTTTTCACTAAACTATCAAATTTCACTCTTTCAACATTTCATATGTCTTTTCACTTTTTAAATACACAGCTGCTTTTATCTGTGTCCAAGCTTTGGGAATTTTAGTTTGTATTACTCATGCTTATTTTGACGCACATCATTTCTACTTGAATTTGCTTGCTGTCTTCTTATCCTTGGTCTGGCTCACTGGCAGATCTGTGTTTACTCGAGAATAATAGATTAAGCCGCAGCTGTAGATTCAGAAGAGCACCACTGTTTGTGTGTGTTTTTCCTTTTGTTGGAGTTTGGCTTTTACAAAGGGCTGGAGGATCATACTAACAGTGCACAGCTCGGTCCTGACGAGAACTGCCTGTGAAAGCTGGTCTGGGGTCAGGCATAACGGCGGCACACAGAACTGAGCTCCCACTGTGCAGCCGCTCTGTTGGTTCCTCTATTTCCATACCAAACAGTTGACCATTGATTATCCAAAGCCTACAACAGAATCTGGTTTCAAGTTGACTGAAAGTTATGTCGGAATATTTGACTTTTTTTTTTAGCGTTTTGTAGTGGATTAGAGTCAAAGGTGAGGGTCAAAGGTTAAGGTTCAGGGCATGGTTTGTTTTTAAATTCACAGATCAACAAATAGTGCAGTCTAATTTTTTGAAACTCTACACTGATATTTTCCTCCACCTGACCGGATTTTTCTTCAACCCTTTAGATCTGTATGGTTTGCATCAAGGGGGGCGCCCAGCAAATTTCACCCTGGTGGTAAACAACCACGAGCCACACTGCTGAAGAGCTTCTTCTGTGTGCACTTCTGCACTACAGATAAACTTAAAATTCAAAATCTGAAGTTTTATTCCCTTAGCTGAAGCACAGAGCCGAGCAGTAGACCTCTCCGGCTGCAAACCATCTTGTAGGAGGACAAGCTGCCTGTGGGATTACAAAGCCTACTCGTGCTTGTGCAATCAGCACCTCAGCAACTTTAACACAATATTAACCTTATCCAAAAAGTGTAAGACTGTTACAGGAGCGCCATGACTACTGCAGTTTATAAAATGAATAGCTTTCCTAAAAAAAGGACACCATGCTTTGTATAAATCCCAACTTGATACAACAAATTGCCTCTAATAATTATAATCACATAAATATTTTACTCATGTTTTGATTTGCATCTCTAGCAAATGTGATTAAAGCATGTTTCAAAGTGAACCAGAATAAGAACAAAAACGCAGAAAATTGGGCATTGCAGTGCGGATCCTCTGTTTTGAAAACAAATTAGAAAATGTCACAAAAAGGTTTTTGTTCAATTTAAAATTGGTGAATTTCTTTTGCAGAAAAGTGATCGCGTCTTTTTAAGTTTAATGCTACTTTGAAAATATAGAGTGCAATGAAGCAATCTAGAGACAAATGTCACAAAGTGATGCAATTTTTTAAAGTTTTACTGTTTTGTAGAACACCATGTTATACACAGTGCAGTAAATAACAGAACAGATTGGTTTGATAGGGGTGATGTTTTTATTAGCGTGATTTAACTGACCGAAAGGGAGGGTAAATAAATGCTCATGACCTTGTTGGTATATCAGAAGGTCGAACATGGTCCTTTTACTAATTACTATGAACATTTGTCTTTATCCAAATGGGAGAAACAGTTTGGGAACCACTGCCAGACATGATTATCATGTCCGTGGAGATTATATTTATCATCATCACGTTAATATTCAGCATGTTAAACAACCCAGTGAGTTATGTTGCAGTAGAAAATAAATGATGTAGGAAAAAACTAATTTGTTTTGTTTTTGTCATACGATAAGTCTAGGTTTTTTTATTTTTACAAACAGTAGTTGTTGTTTGGAAGTATGATCATAAATCATTGATCATATCTCCAAACATTGATCACTTTGAATGTTCATACCTTGTCTTGATGATGTAAATATGCACACGATTAAAATCAGAAGCTTTCAAAGAGCTGTGAAGCATTAAACTTTAAATTCTGTCTATAGCTTTTTTTCATATTTACCTAGCAAAACCCCAGATGTAGAGTTTTTCCATTAAAAACAACACTTCAACACAAAATGCAATAATCCAGCATCAGCCGTGAGCATTAACACACAACTGTCTTTTTAAAAATACAAGAACCTTTCTCATTCACTGACTTCTTTTCACTGCCAAACTTTACCAGCTGAGACCCAAACACAAGCACATATACTCATCATAAAAATCTGTCCAGCTCTGTGTAATAGATAACCTTTATTTGAATTGGTAAGTCATAGAGAGCCACCAAGGAGACTGTTTCATAATCCTTTGAAAACACCAGACCTTGGGCCTTATTTATCAACCATGTGTATGCACAAATGTGTGTGTGATGAGGGTCAAAAGTTAAGGTTAACATTCCCACGCAAAGTCTGGAATTTATCAACCTGTACTTGTTCTCAGCAATGTGTGTAAATTTAAGCACAACTCTGAGCATGCTTACACACAAAACCTAGTGGTAGAGCAGTGAAACTACAATCAGAACCCATTAAAGGAGTCACAGCATTCAGCAATCTCAAACTTCACATGTTCTCCATTGCCTCTATACAAAATTTGTCAATTAGTTATTTAGCAGACATTTTGAATGATTGGTGTAACACGCTATAAAATCAGCTGTGACAGGACAACCTCAAAAGAAGTTTTACAAGTACAAATACAAGTATCACGGCTTATTTTGTGCTATTAGAGGACTCAGAGAACCGTATGCTCTGCAGGGAGCGCGTTTTCAAAGAGCGTGCTGATCTGTTCAGTGAGAACACAGAGTGGCGTCTCAGCAGGTACCGCTTCCCCAAAAATATTTGAATGGATTTATGCCGTGATTAACAACCTGTGTTGGAGTGAGAGACAAAAACGCACCAAAGCCGTCCCAGTGCAGATCCAGCTCCTGTCCACCCTAACCGGAACATTTCGGCGTGAGATTAGAAACATACTGCATCTCGCAGCCAACGCTAAGCAGAATCATGCCGGCAGAGATGGATGCAATGATTTCTCTGGCCTCAATTTACATCCAGTTCCCAAACACACATCACCAACAAGCCGAAATAAAACGAGAATTTCACGCCATCGCCGGGTTCCCAAACATAATTGGGAATCCACCCACATCATGATAACAGCACCTTCACACAATAAATGCAGTTTTGTCAACAGGAGAGGATTTCATTCAATCGATGCACAAATAATCTGCGATGCACATATGTATGTGTTAAACGCTGTTGCCTGGTGGCCTGAAGGAACGCATGACTCATTCATTCTGTAGAAGAGCTCTGTGAGTGTGCACCTCCATGATTTTGGCGAGGGGTAAAAAATCAATTCACGCATTTTTAAAGGGATTGTTGATACCATAAATGGTCAGTTGGAGGGGTTTATGAATGCACATGACCCTAACCATGCACGAGCATGGTGGTAAAGACCAGGTGGGATTTATCATCACCGATTACTTACGAGTGTGCGTATGACCCATGTCCGCATGTTTGATAAATACAGATTTTTTTTGTTCCTACACACATTCTAAATTTCATCCCAACGCCAGAATTTAGAACCTTTTCTACGCACAGTTGATAAATGAGGCCCCAGAACTTTACCTCAATTGTTGGTTACTTTGTCAAACTCTGCTCTTGTTTCAGCATTAAGTGATCTTCTATTTAACGGTCAAATCTTTTTTTTAGCACCATACAGGATCAATCCAGCTCTCTCTGAAATTAGTAAGGACCCAGGAGAAGCAAAAAGGTTATTTCTAGTGTAAACAGTATTTCGAAGGTTCAGTAACATGGCCAATATTTCTTGACATTTTACACCATGTCTGTGTCCAGTTCGAGAGACGTGTGCTGCTTTCCTCCGATGATGAGCAGATATTATTATGTATCGATTACATTTCTTTCTTCTGACAAATTCCTCTTTGTCTCTCAGCAGCTGCTCTCTCTGTCATGAAATCATGGTAAGCTCAGGAAGAGCAGTGACTGTATTGATTTATGTCTCATAGGTATAATACCAGATTGGATTTGGTTGATCTTAACGAGATCTTTCTTCAGACTTCACCAGTGTTGCCAACCGGGAAGTCTTTGATGGCATCTGGTTGATTATTCACCGGTGTATTTCACCTAGATCACATATGTCAGAGTCAAGGCCCGCGGGCCACATCCGGCCCGCGAGAAGGTTTTTTACGGCCCCTGGGATGATCTTGATTTATTATTAGAACCGGCCCGCAGACCGCAGCAAGCCGGCAGCCCGCAGATCTTTTACACGCACCAATACTACATTTCCCACAATGCAACGGTGACGCACCGAGCAGTAGGCTGCTTCATTTCAATATTTATTAGCACAGCAGTCGTCAGCATAACAGTAAAATTAACTTTCAGATACCCATCAAAAATGGCAAAACGGAAGGTGGACACTGAGAACCGGGGGTTTCAAACAAGGTGGGAGTCGGAGTATATATTCACGGAGGTAGCTGGAAAACCTGTGTGTCTTCTGTGTGGAGAAAGTGTGGCGGTACTGCAAGAGTATAATCTGAGACGACATTATGAAACGAAACACGCGGATTTTTGTACTTTATTTTATTGTATTTCAATCCAATTATATTTTAAAAATATTTCAGTTGAGTGGATGATAGAAAATTGCTATTATTATTTTTTTCTTTGAAGTAAATTTAGCCCACTTTTGCTAAAATAGAAAATATAGGCTACTGATGGTGCCTTGAATAATACCGGTTTCTTTCATTTAATGTTCATGTTATGGGGATTTTTATATAAAGGAAATTTGTCTTTTGTGTCTGTTGAAAATTAAAGATTACTGACAGAGCCATAAGAAAATATTGCTTTATTTATCTGATCATATTGGAATATATTTGTTAGGTTTTCAGTAGGTTCAATTAGGTTCACTAGACTATATGCGTCATTTAAAAAATTTTCAATGAACATTCGATCAGTCCGGCCCTCGGCTTGTAGCTAAATTTTTTATTTGGCCCTCCGTCCATTTGACTTTGACACCCCTGACCTAGATTAAACAGCTAAAAACAAGACCCTGTGACACATTAAAAAGTAGAAAAAAAAAACAATTTCTGTGAGAATAGTTTGTGTGTCCAGCTTAACAATGTAACTTTACTTTAATGCATAAATGTGATACTGTTGTTATAGGTGATATCCTTTCACTGCAATGTATACAATGATAAGTAAAAAGCATGTACTCTCTGAGTCTCTTTGTATGGGTAAGCATTACTATCGGCAATAAATCAACAGAAAATATCCAATGGATACTCATGAATTTAAAATGTATGAAGATTTGAGCCACAGGATTATAAAACAAAGCAAGTAACAGCAGGAGAACAGAGCAGCGAAAGACCAACAACAAAGAAAGAAAATATGTGTGATGAAATATGCAAATGATGCAATCTGTGCACCAAACAAAAAAGACAAATTACAAGATATTTAGATCTAAAGCACACTCTGTTAGTTTTTAACTGAAAAATAAGCAGCCTGTTCCCCAGTTTGTTTGGACTTTCATGACTCTGACATATCAGACTAATTAGAGACTGAATATGAGAAGCACTTTGGGTGATAAATGTTCAGTAGCTCTGCGTCTGAGAGAGAAATTATTTTACAGTTAGATACTCATTACCACCAAGGCCAGGGCGTTTACGTATAACCGCCGCTTTCTAAACAATGCACAAAAAAAAAGTGACAAATCCTGCATGAGGTGCTGTTCCTGGGACACAGACTCTACGTTTTAAAGCCTTCTCAATAAAAGGTTGAGCAAAAAGAGCATAGTGGTGCATTTGTAAGCAGTTTATTCACGAATTCGTGCAAGAAGGGTTTTCCTCACGAAGAGAGAGAGAGGGGGGAAAAAATACAATCAGTTAAAATGTTAAATTAGATGACTGGACTTCCTGAATGAGGCCACTTCACAGTTAGACTTCAACTGATCCTAATTGTCTTAAATGTTTACTCCCCGAGCAATTTATTTTCCCTTTTTGTGTTCGGCATTATGAATGAGCGACTAATTAATACAGTTGTGTGACTATTATTTCATCTCTGCTTGTGGTCTGAATGAAAAGAATATTTTCAACCTGTGGTGGAAGTATAATGCCAAAAATCTGCCAAAATTGCCTGAAAACTTTTCTTTTCATAGATTTTGACTCTCCGGGGGGTTTCGCTTTATGGATTTCTGTTTGCTAAAAGGTACCTAACCAATTTTTTCCATTTTGAGTTGATCCACTTGAGAGGCTATTTTTCCTCCCACTCCAAGTTCCCAAAACACTTTTTAAAATGTCAGTTTTTTCATGATTACATTAAATGCACACCCTTGTGTATAAACTCCTACTTATTTCTCTGCCTCTATCTCTCTCGCTGCCTCAGTGATCGGTACTTTTGGAGTTTATTGGTTTGACTTTTTATCGTTTTAAAATCCGTAATGTTTCCTGTGCCTGGCAAAACACAGATGTAAAGGCAGAATCTGACAAAGAAAAACTGTAGATTTTATCTGTATAAATGAAAACGCTCTGTGTGAGTTGTGGTGTGAAGTAAAAAGGGAGTATTGACAGAGCATGAGAGTAGCCATCAGACCCAACTACACTGTCACTTTAGACTTGACTTGTAGTCGACCTTCAGAGACTTCAGGGTTCAGGCTGACTCGGACTCAAGTTTTAGGACTCGTAAACAATCTTATTCTTAAAAATATTTTTTTCTCAATAGTGGACAGAAATATAAAAAGGAGTCTTACACACAGACCATGACCAGAAAGCTCACCTAAGCATAGCTACGACAATTTTAGTCATTTTTCGTCTGTATGAGGCCACTATGAACAATCACTAGCTTCGTTTACATGGAGCCAAATATTCCGAATATAATCGGATTAGAAGCCCAATCAGAATGAAAATGCTCCATATAAACACCTCATTCGGAATAAACAGGCCCATTCCGAATGGAATTTCATTCCGATTCACAGGGGTAGAATTTTCCTTTTCCCATTCCGATTAAAAGCAAAATCCTGTCATGTAAACGGTGAATCGGAAAGTTGTCAGGCTGGGTTCTGTCTGCGCATGCTCTGTCCTGATGTAAACAAGCAGTGACGTATGACTCACATGGAAACATGATGGCGGCTTCCAAGCAGAGCACGATGCACTGGTCTGTGTCGGAGATCACGTGATCAATCAATCACGTGATGTTTGAAGGTATCACGTGTCTGTAAATAGCTGTTCCGATTGAATGCCGTGGCACATGTAAACACCAGATCAGAATAGATCGCTTCCATGTAAACAGTTCGCCTGGGAGCTTCAATCGGAATGATTATAATCCGAATGAGAAAAAAGTCTGCATGTAAACGTGGCTAATGAGTCAACAGTATCAGGGGCAGATCCAAGGTTTATCTGGGGTGCCCCAGCCCCAGAGGTGCCTCACCCCTAAAACTTCAAACTTGATTATGCACCTCAAATCCTAAACTATGATTTTCCTTACGGTAGATGGAGCATGTTACTATAAACTATTTTGGCTATTGACTGTGACTTAAAGCGCTGTTGCTACATGTTGCTACCATGTTGTGTTAAGTTTTAGCTCACTTATTGTAATATTTACCATGGTAACTTTGTCAATTTGACATAATGTGAAATAAATAAGGAAGTCCTCCACATTCTGTACATTTAAGATATTTTCCTGATGTTGAGGTTTTACTCATCCACTAGATGATAAGACACCCTTCAGGTGACAAAACTTGGTTACACTGTTAAGTCAGACATAGAGTTCAGTAAAATCAAAGTAAAAACAAAATCAGGAAACCGATTTCATAGGGCCTTCTTCTGCAGATTTGTACCTATTTGTTATATGTCTTGCAACAGCTTGGAGGGGTGTTGTTGTGCTGCCTTAAATGTAGTCTCTTTGTTTTTTCAACAGATTCTGTCTAAAAAGGGCCTGGATTTAAGAATAGCAAGTGTCCCTGTTTTGTATTATTGTTTGCAGCTCAGGTGATATTTACCATTTAAGCATCAGCAGGAAACAGACTCCTGCTTAGTTGTGTGTGTGTGTTTGCATGAAAAAAGTCCTTTTGGAGGTGTCCTGCTTTTACCTTCCATAAAAAGTCTGACAACAACGTGTTTCTCTGTAAATACATACTGTAAAATTGCATGCAACGGCAGCTAACAGTCTGAAAATCATGTCTGTTTATTTGCATGTTGTAGATCAGTGTTAAAGTTTTTTAATTTCAGGGGGTTCATCAGAATTGATCAGTCTAATCTCCTCTCAACAACCAGGTAGGTTTGCTCTCCATATGAGGGCCTGACCTGAAAAGCTCTTTTTTCCCCTTATTTTCTGTTTAATTGGATTTATGCTAAATTAAAACCTATTAATTTGGTTATAAATCATGAGAAAATCTCTTTCTTCCTCACTTCAATAGCCCTCCAGTAAGCCAGAGTGGAACTATCAAGCTCAAATGTGTTCCTCTAGATTTATTTTGCAAATCAAGAAGAACAAATTTGGCTTCGGTTTTTATCTGGATAAAACTGTCAAGCTATGAACAATGCGCCGCATGAGCAAGATGTCTTAGCTCAAGATTATCCATGGCTTACTGCTGTCTTTCACTGGAATATGAGGTATAAGTCCAAAGTTGCAGAGGATCAGTAGATTCATTTTAAAGGTGCGAAGTTATATGGAGCGTAGGGTCATTTCGAGTTTGCCAGTGAATCTAAGAAACCAAGGACAGCAGCGTGCTGATGATCCTGAGAATTCAATCTGTTCAGTTACAACCTGAGTGAATTCAGTCTGAACTCTGCTACACAGTGATGCTTTTGCAATGGGGATTTATGTTTGGTTAAAGCTTCTGTACACCCAGGCCACTACGAGAAGGGACTTTTCATTGCCACATATGCATTCAGATGGATTTAAGTCAAGGGAGTATTGATCTGAATAGCCTCTCTGAGAAGAAATGATCATTTTTAACTTGGAATATGACATGACTGCTAGATTTTATGTTGGCAGAAGCTAACAGGGAATATATGAAGATTTATGCTACACACCAGTCAGTTTAACCCCATGTTGACCAGTCTGAAAGTTGATGTAAAGGGTGATCAAAAGGCAGGTCCTCGACACCCACTGTCACTGGACAGCGGTAGAACATGTTCAAGAGCTCAAGGCAAACAACTAGGCTTCATTAACAGTAACAAAATTCAGATTGACACCCGAACGTCATTATTTTTATTTGCACTCTATGGGAGATCAGTGTGAGTCGTGTCCCTGATCAGATCTACACACATTACACTTCTGCCCTATCAACAAAATCACAAAAACAAAGACAAGAGGACTTAGGCAAAGACTGAACCAAAGCATCAAACCGTGGAGGGTTTTTCTTATTCTCTGTTCTATATTTTGACACATTTACATCTAGTAAAAGTGTTGACACTGAATACTGGTAAAGTTTCAACGTAATAGACGCATATTTTGTCCTCAGAGTGAAATCTGCAGGCTGCCCTGAACTCCAGGTATCACATGTTTTTTATTTATCTTTGAGATTATCAAAATGTTCATGTGCCCCAGACATGATATTTTTTTCGTAGGATGGTCGGGTAAGGTCCTGCCTCCTTCGCCTCTGATTGGCTAGAAAAGCTGGGCTCCAATTGGTTATTCCTTATGGCTGTGAAACGTCATCGCACGCTCAAGCCGAATGCGGGTTGTTGGTTCTGTACAGCGAACAGAATGACACATTATCGCAATTCTGAATCTCCTTACCCTAACCCGACAGACAATGACGTTTCACAGCCATAAAGAATAACCAATCGGAGCCCAGCACTTCTAGCCAATCAGAGGCGAAGAAGGCGGGACCTTCCCTTACCATTCTAAAAAAAAAAAAAATGTGTCTCAGACACAAAAAGGACCCACCCACTTTTTCATGGTTTCAGAGGGACAACCAATGAGATGAAAGCTGTTTTTTAGAGATTGGAGCCTAAAAAGATAGTACCTTAAATTTCCAGAACCTGAATATAAACTTTCTTGCATGCAGTACAAGTAGATGGTAAAAAGGACTGTGTTTTTATCACTCCTTGTCTTGCCTTCTGACCACTCAAAGAGCTCTACATTATATTGCCAAATTCATCCATTTACACCACATCTACACACTGATGGTCGAGGCTTCTGTCAATAGAGCTCATCAGTCTCTGACTAATCCCATTCACACACCACTGGGCACAGCCAGTGTGGCAGGTGGGGTCAAGTGTCCTACCCAAGGACACTTCTGCATGTGGAGCCAAGGACCTGCCCCCCCAAACATGGAGCCAAGTCGCCCCTTAAGTGTCAGTGTCATTTTCAGCCAGAAGCAGTTGTAATTTTTATGCCTCTTGTCCACAGTGGGAAAATTAGGTGAAATTGTGCCTTCATTAGTCACTATGTGTGAGATGGTTAAGCACAGTGGTGTTGTCAGATGGAGTAGTCGCACATTTCTAAATTGAGAAACCAGTAAGTGTCTGAGTTACTTGACTCTGTGGGAGGCCAAACAAACCCTGATGATACGGCTAATAAATGCCTAAATGAGGCCATTTGTCATGTCTTCATGTGCCTTTAGTAACTGTTTTATTTGCATGTTGAAAGTATCACGCTGCATTTTCTTGTTAAATAGTCATTTGAATAATTCACTTTGTTAAAATGTTTTATTTCTGCGGACACCTGGAGATGAGTTGTAAACAACACCTTGGGCAAAATTAATTTATTACCCACTCCAACTCCTTTTTGCTCATTTATTTTTCAATCTGAGATGCTCATGATGAAGTTGTATCAATCATTCAAATGTGTCGACTTAGTTTACACCCCTTAGGCATGATATAAAACATTCTTCACAGTGATATTCAGTTGGCTTATGGAACAAGAAAAGGAGGGGTCAGAGAAAATACAAAGTGAACCGACTGCTATCAGAAATTGAATTCATGAATATCAATAGCATGGTCCCAGCACAGCTTTGAAGTGGCCTTTCAAAGAGAGATATTTGTCTCCGGCTTGTGTTGTAATCTCAGTGACCCTGAGCGCGCTCGCCTTCATCCGTTCCTTTCTGCCACAATGTCACACAGGGACAGTTGTAAAAAAAAGGGAACATGCACAGCAATTAAAAACTAAAGGGCCTCTCACAGAGTTCCCCTCCTCTGTAATTACTGCTGTGTGTGCCCAGACTACAACATTGTCTTTCAGTAGAGATTGGTTGTTGTTCTCTAGAGCAGCTTTCTTTTTATTCCAAAAATTTCTAAGAACAGTCCCACAAAAACATGATGCACACATTCCGAGTAATAAATAAAAGGTTACTGAAGAGTCGTAGGGCTGCATTTACTAATAACTTTCCCTAAGATGGTTACTTAATGTTCCTGCAGAGCTTTTGGAGCTGGTTTATTGTATTGACGAGTGCTCTCATGAGGCTGAAACTCGAACTCGTACACCATAGGTTCAAGGCGTTCCAATGCCTACTAACCGGAATGAGCAATGGTCCACTTCTTGTCTATCATCCATGTTTTAGAATGGCCATTGGAGATTTTACAATACAATACAAGAACTTCAATGATCCCAAAAGGGAAATTCATTTGTCTGGACTGGAGTCTTGTGTATTGAGTCATCGACTACTTATAGAAGAATTAAACAGTCTGATGGCTGTGGGTACAAAAGATCTTGAGAAACTTTCTGTCCTCCAGAGAAGTAAGAGGGGTCAAACCCATCTAAAGGTACGATCGTCAGAGGCTGTGTCAATGGTAGGGTGACCATTTGTCCTCTTTGACCCGGACATGTCCTCTTTTTTTGGAGGTTGTCCGGCCTTGTCTGAGGGAGTTTATAAAATCCTTCAAATGTCCGAGGTTTTGTATGGAAGATTTGAGTTTGTGATGCGTGGACTTACTGAGTTAGAAGCGTGTAAAAAAAACACTCGACCCGAAAAACTCTCCAAATTTACCATGCGCGACTCTGTGACTCCACTTGCGTGTAATCGTGTCCTCTTTTTTGGTATTCAGAATATGGTCGCCCTAGTCAATGGAGATCCGTTGGATGGTCTTCGATTCAGATTAGGACATTTCACCAGATATCGTGAGTATGACGGTAACATTTTGTGAACCTTCATTTACGAAATTCAACATCTGCACTCACATTTATTACAATTTAGATAATATTTGCCTCTATTTAAAAGGATGACCCGGGAGAGTCAAGAAATGTAGGGAGAATAGGGGACGACAAGCACAAATGCACACGTTCAAGTCCAGACGAGACAGGGATCGCTATTCGGACCAATGTGTTGACAACCCTATCCTTCATATTTAAGACAACTGCTCTGCGAACTGAGCTAAACTAACGCCTTTTTATTCGTTACACTTCTGCTCAATCTCAAAACAAAAAAAAGGAGGGTGAGAACCAGAGACTGACCTCAAGTGGATATTTGGTGTTCATTGTCATCGACTGGGCGCTGAATCTGAGGTCAAACATTAACACAGTGACAGACTTGGCTTGGCTTGGTAACTGGCTTGTAAATCTTTATGGCCTGTTGGAAACACTCTAGTAAAAATATTTCATTGGAGTTCATGATAATGAGGACATCAACTTTTTTGTTTTCAAGGGAATACTTTATAACACCATTATTTTTACCTCATGACTGTTTGTTGTCTCTTTAAAAAGTGTATGGCCAGAAATGATCTTATCTGAAAAGCATTATTTTGGTACGAAGCATTTTAACACGTATTTGGTTCATTAGGACGTTTGAAGTGTTTTCTAACTATCTGCCTGTGGGGCTTTATTTTCAAAGTTTAGGAGGGTGCTCTGACTTTCTTTTTGAGAGTTTAATGCACTTTTTCATGAGATCGTATTTCAGCACTCTCCGCCAGTGGGGATTTGTCACAGTTAATCACATCAAACTCATTAATGTCACAATGTTGAGACAGGGTTGAAATTGATGTCTTAAAAAGTGGCACACCATCACAAATTTTTATCCTAAGGTTGGTGATTTGATTTTATACATTTATACACATGTATTTGCATTCAAGACTAGAGGAGATATTAAAAAAACATAGATATAAGGGCAAATGAGGGTTCAGGCTCGCAGATTAGGATCAAATCTAAAAAGGAGCGACTGAATTTATTTGGATGTGTTATTGAGCAGAAGAAACACATTAAATCAAAGTAATTTTATTATCCATTTACTTCATTAAACATCAATTTTCTGACAAATTGTGTTCAATGATGCTGTTTTATCAAGAAATAAAGCGACTGAATTTCATTATTACTTCATGAAAACTTTGGCAGGAAGAAGCAGGGAGAAGTTTCAATGATTTGATCCGATAAGTCACTTGACTCATGAGAAAACACAAGAGTAAACCCACCGCTGTTCTGAACATGTGGTTTGTTACAAAGGTTGGTGTTTCACATGTCTTGTCCCGCTGTCATTAATTCCATTTTAAGCCTTCGCAGCCTCTCAAACTCGAGCACAAAGTATCTGACGTCAAATCATGAGCGCACAGACCAAACACTCCATATGAAGTATTCCGGGAGCTCTTATGTGCTGCTGTTTATTGTGTTTTTCCACACTTCTGATCTCAGTACAGTTACCTAAGCTTGGCACACTGCCTGGACAGCAACGTGTCATTTTGAGTTACATCCTCAAAAATCATAAAACCCCACAATTTTTCTGCTGTTCGGTCAGGAAAACAATCTTGATAAAAAAAATACATCAGCAGTTCATTTTCCAACTTGGAACCCACTCCACAAACTAAACTTGTGTATCACTTGCCAATCTCCAGGCTTGTGGGCTGAATCTCGCCTGCTGTGAAATTTTATTTTCTTGACACAATATCTGTTCAAGCTGTTTCTCTGAGCTCTCCTCCAGAATGAATAAAATGCAGAAAATCTCTGCTGAAGTCAGACTAATCAAAGAGGAGGGACAGTGAGTGTTTAAAGCTGGTGACTCCCGTTTGCCATTAGGCCCTAAAGTTTAAGTGTGTGACGTTTTACAGCCATCAGTCATAACAGGCTATGCATATTCGATGGGCTTTTATGGTACCCAGTGTGCTGCTCACGACTACACAGATGCAGCAGACAGTATGGATGAGAGGGCCAGCTCTACCCTGTAATGTTGGCGTATTCCCGGTCAGGGGGAGAAGGGTGCTGCCAAAAGTAGGATTTGAGGGTAAATCAACTTGGGAAATCTTAAGGGTCATAAGCTCTATTTCGGGTTTATTAGAGTGTTTTAGGACCAATTCATTCTTTTCCAATTTATAAAGAACATTTTGGAGCAGGTTCATTTGGGAGTAGTGAAGACGCAATTTCTAAGATGAGCCGATTTACCTCAAAATGATAGCACACAGCAAAGCAGGGTTTAGCAACGTGAACCACACATCTTCATCATAGACTGTATACTACACGGCGCAGTAGCACTGTATGCATTTGGCGGGAGAGTTGCTGTGATGACGCTCAGCTCAAATAGCATATGCCCTGGGTGAGCAACGCAATCTCTGCCCATAGTCTGTTTCAAGTGTCAATCATAGAAAACATGAACCTTGAACTTTTAAAATCTGAGCTGTACAGAAAAAAAAGGACTTGAGCACAAACCAGTCTTACAGTAACCACATGTCAACATCGCAAGCAGGGGAAAAAATATATATATTCTGTGTAATAAATTTCTAAATTTTGTCCACACCCTCATAAGGATGGCTGGTGGAGGCGGGATTTATGACCTATACTGCAGCCTGTCACCAGAGGGTGCTGTTCTCTGGATGGCTTCACCCAGCGAGGAGGCAGACGCTGTCCATTTTTTATACAGTCTATGATTTTCATTCATTGAGTTGTCAGATAAAATGAAACTCAGTCCAGTGGATATTTTATAAATGCTGACAATTTTAAAACAGGTGATCTTCTCTGCCTGAAAAGAGTGAATAAATCATTGAATAACCAGGACTCAGAACAAACGAGATAAATTAGGATGACCATATTCTGAATCCCCAAAAAGAGGACACAACTCCGCAGTGTGGAGTTGTTCGCCAAGCAAAATTTTGTGGGTTTTTAAGGTCGGGTTGATTTTTTACGCACTTCTGACTCCGTTAAACACATATTCTGAAAAAACAAAAAAAAACAAAAAAAAAAACAGGCGACAGTTCATGTCACCAGTTTTTACTCAGTATAGGCAGCTTACTAAAGCAGATGATGACTTGCTTAGCAGAGTTGTTTATTTTGTAGCTTGCATGTTAACATCAGAGTGCTGGACTTGTGCATTTATCATCTATATGATGTGGGCTCTGTAAATTTAAGCGCAGGCTGTGGGTTGCTGAACCAATCATGAGATGTAAAATATTGATTGGGTGGGCAGAACTCACGTTAGGGTGACCACTCTTGCTCATAGCTGCCACTGACCCTGAAATATGATGCTTTTGTTGTGTTTGTGAATCCCAAAATGTGAGTGCATATGTAATCACCACTTCTAATCTCTTGGATGAGGATTTGCAGAAAATGTACGACACCAATCAGAGGCCTGATGGAAACAGCTGAATGACTTTCTCCTTTCATCTCCTGCATTATACCACAGCTCCTCCCATCCACTGAGACCACTTGGCAGTACTCACTTGTGGGAACAAATGTTCCCTGTGATTCAGATCAAGGCATTTTTCATCCGTCCAGCTGCAAAAGACAAAACACCCTCTGAGCTGGAGTTCAAGTTAATGAACTCGCAGTATAAAGGAAAGGTGTGAGGTGAAAAAGTGAGAGCTAGCAGGTCAAGATGAGACACAGACCTGTGATTGAAACTTCACTGGGGAGTTTGTCATCGCAGAAGAAAGACAGATATCTCAGCCCGAGACGGCATATTCAATTCCTCGGTTCAGAGAAAGTTCATGAAAATGTGTAGGCCCTCTTTCTCATGTTCTACATGAGGTTTTCACTGTGCAGCTGCTGTCTTCCTCAAATCTGCAGTCAAAGCTAAGTCCAGCTGACATGGTGTGAAGCGTCCTCATATCTCTTCTGTCACTTAAATTGTCTCTGCAGCAAAGCAGTGCTCCACAAACAAACAGCTTTGTCGTTTGTTTTCTTTGATCTCGACCATCCATAACAAGTGAGAAATTTCAAATGTGTCCTCGGCCCCGCACTGATGACTTGCCATGCTGTGTCACAGAGACAAAAGACTGTAAAACTATAGCTGGATGCTTCAGGGGAAGATTAACCACAAAATGTTGTATGATGTGTGCATTGTCCGAGTTTAAGTATCACTAAAGATGATATTTTCAGTTCAAGTTTTCTGAAACTTATTTTTGCTGCTAGTCTTGTTAGGAAATCTTGAATTCTTTGAAAAATGAGCATTTGCTTATAAACTATTTACTGAGACAGAAAGCCTGTTTGAGAAATCGTTTAACAAAGGAGGCAATTTTGAGACCTTTAATACAGGAACTCACAGGGGGTCTTTAAAAATTACGGCTTTGCACAAGATCACCACTATTCTATCCATTTAACATTCAGTTTGTCCATCATGCTGTCACAATAATGGACAAAATTGATGGTTAGTTTGGAAAATGAACATCAGGCCTTTCCAACAGGAGGCCATAGTTCCAGAACAGCAAGTGAGTGAGTTTACTTGGACTCAATTATGCTACTTTTGCATCTTTTGTTTATTTTTTGATAATATCCTGATTGCAGAAACTGGAATAAGCCCTCACCTCCTCAGTAAAACAAACACGGTGGCCTCAACAAGAGCATCCCACCAGTCGCAACTGTGTATCTTCAACTGACGTGGTGGCACATACAGGCTGACACCAGATTGAGTTTGATCCCGTTCCGATGGTTTTCTTTTTCATTTTTACTCCTTGAAGTGTTCTAAGTGGTCTATAAATTGTGATCATGAAGTTTTTACTAAAAATCACGTTACCCGTGTCATTTTCAAGGTCTTTTCCTCTGCAGAGCTGCTGTAGCTCATTAGCAATTCACCTCTGAGTCGTGGGCGGAGACAGCCCTTCACGTTAGCTTGCAGCCTAACATTGCCGATGTAGTAGAAGTGGCAGGTAGAATAGGAGCTATTCAGCTCTTGGACACTAATATCTTTGAGGCATGATGAAAGTTAATATAATTAGCTTTCTTATGAGCATTGCAAACTGCTAGCGCAGAAGCTTATTCGGCGATTATCCTCTCCGTTTTTTCAGGGTGTGGCCTGCATAGTGGGGCTCCGGGGGCGGAGCTTGAGTTTGCTACGTAGGAAATCTCACAGTATCTGAAGCTGCCGTTTGGGTCTGACAAAAATTCACAGCAATTTGAATGCAGAAATACTCAGAAAATGCAATTTTGCACCTAGTTTTCTTATGATATGTCCTGTAGCATCAGAAAAATGCCACATGAACATGTAGAGAACAAGAAAAAATTGATTTTCATCGGAGTGGGTCTTTAAACATTTGCTGACCCTGTCCTCACCTGCTGCTGGACATGGGGCAACGCGATGCTGGTATAGTCCAGAGTTTACCACAGTGGTGTTACTTTTCTTATATTTGAAAATTGCTGCAGTGAAAACTAAAATTTCACCAACGCCTGCTTTAAAAGGATGTAATAATTATAAACCAGAACAGGTCTGAACATGAATAACCAGGTTACTCTGTTCGCATGTAAACCAAGAGAAAGGCTCATAACCAGGACCAGTTATAGTTGTGCTACACTGCTCATGTTCTGAGTGGGCTCTTTTTCTCCTTTTTTCCATGGTGTCAGAATAATTTTGGTTCTAACTCATCATCTCCACATGACTGGATGTTAAAAAGTCATGGTGAAAACCACTATCTGGCCAAACGTGAGCAAAGATAGTCAAAAGTGCCACGGACCTGAGGAGCACTACATCTTTCACATCTTGAACTTTTTTTTAACTTAATCTCAAAGTCCTTCAGGTCCTGACACAGCGGCGTGTTTTCAAGGTGTCTGTACAAAAAAATGAAATAAAATCAAAAATAAAAACTCTTTCAGGATTGTCGTGTACAAGTGGCTCTTTCACTGTATGAGTGTATAAGTGTCATTTCTTTTACACTGCTCGTCAGTTCCCTTGCAAACCTGGTAAACTCACCAACAATAACAAATTTGCAGTAAGAAATGAAAAGATCTTTCCTTTAATCTGTTCTCTTACCTCATATGTCCAACTTTAGTGCCTCTGCTTCAACAGAAAATTCTGTTGAGCCTCTGTTCACTCTTCCTCGGACGTGGCAGAGAAGGGAAGACCTCAAGACGGCAAAAAGGGGAGCCTTGAAACAGATCATAAGTATATGTCAGTTTTTAAACTCTCGTTTATGATGAACTGATTTCAGAGGGTTAGCGTATGTCACATTTTTGTGTGTCAATGGATACTCTTGATACACAAGTGTTGGGCAAACACACTGAAAATGCGTTTTATTATTATTTTTTTTTAACAATATGTCTCCTTTCAAAACATATCTCTTGGCCACTGGAGAGTTTAAGTGCTTGAATCTTGTAATAGATTGGGCCATGAAGGATGCACCCAGCAAAGAGGGACTCATTTGTTGGCTGCGTTTACGGGGGCCTTGTCACACTGTAGTCATGCAGTAAGTCTGGAAATGTGAATGCAGCCTTGGAGGGATACAGCTAACCTCTCTCTGGTAAGTGAGTCGTAAGTGAGTTGATCACTTTTTTTATTGTTTTGTATGAGTCCTCATAAAAGAAATTACCCTTCTTGGAAGCACAAATGAATACCTTGCACTTGCGCATCATGTTTTGGTCTTGCAGTCGGCTCTGCAACACCAATTGCATGTGTTTTATCCAACATCTCTGGAAGATGGATGGCACCATAGTGTCTCAGAGCAACATTTGGCTGAGGTTTCCAATTTTGATGTTGGGGAGTGGAGTCATATTTGCTGTAACTTGCAATTCCTGTTTTGGCCCGAGTAACCAACTTTTAACCAAGGAGCAGTTTGAAGTCAAGGACCTTCAATGAGCCATGAGTTGGTGATTGCCAGATAAAAAAAAGGAAAAACTGCACACACTGTCCATTTCTGAGTGTGAGAGGCCATCCTGTAGAAACTCAACATATGGTCAACCAAATCCACACCACACCAAACACTATGTTGGTGTTGAACTCTGCAATTGCCAGTGACCTTGACACCTGGACAAACCTTTGTCTTTCTTAGACAGTAGGCTTGATTTAGGCTTTACCAAAGGTCAAAGGAAGATATTTGGGTTCACAAATGTCCTCCACAGGGGACAAATGTAAACTACTGGTAGTCATGTGGTTAGCTGATAAATTATATCACATATTTCCATCTGAGAATAATTGCAGATATGCTTATAGCCAAAATGTAAAACCCTCAACCTTGGCCAACTGCGGACCTCACTTTAGGAATTCCTCTACAAACCTTCAAATAAATACTGAGATCAATCACAGCCTTAACAGAAATAACAAAACAGAAAATAAATGGATTTCAAGTCCAAAGGCATGACTCACTACGCTCACTTTTTCATGGTTATTTCTTACAGGTTTTCAAGGAGTCTTTTGTGACTAAAAAATACACCCTTATAGCTTGCACTTTTTGCTAGTGTGACCTCCTTGTGTGACTCCTCACAGAGGCATGCTGTAGCAGGTCGTGCTCACCTCTGTAGCCTTTTCGAAAATACCAAATGGCATGAAGTGTAGAAGGCTTTTGTTGAGTCATCTCTGAATGGCATAACCCAATATCATCTGTACTGCAAAGTTTTTTCATTTATGCATGCGTGATCCATGTTTTTTTTTTTTTTCCACAAGCCAACCAAACAACACCATCCATGAGTGGAACTTAAATCAGCAGAATTGAGCATTTTGATGCTGTATCTGCAATTGGGTTTGAGAACTCCGTTTAAGACACCCAGATAATGCAATTGGAATTCGATTTTCTCTACCATGTAACCAGCGTAGTCGGAGTATGATTGGACAATGCATGTGCACGTACGCCATGCCTCCATAACCCTGGAGCAAAAACACCAGAGAAGAAGTGGCACTTTTATTTAAATAACTTTCAACTCAGAAGCAACTGCAACATGGCTGAAACAAGAAAGAATGTCGACTTTTGGAACAATAAGGAGAGTGCCGTTTTGCTTTCCGTCCTGACAGAAATGGACATTTTTAAGAAAATGGACAGTCGCAAAATGAAGAACAGAGACATCTTTAAAAAAGTCAGAAAACAACGCCGCTGAAAAGACCCATATTGCCCCCTAGTTTTGGGGAGGAGGACACGTTCATGTCAATAATTTGATTTTCTCAGCAGCAGTCAAGGATGAAAGTCCGATTCTGCGAAAAAAAAAAACAAATTTTGAGCTTAGTCCGATGTACACGCACTGACTGATTGGCCCTGATAGGTTACTGTCTGTGTAAGATCTGATCCAGGATCAGGTACTGTCCACACAAGTTACATCCTTTAACACAACGAGGGGCATCCTACAAATCTATTTCACGCAGGACATCCCAGTTGTACCTCAACAGCAACTTTGTTTGAAACAGATGGATAGATGTAAAACTTCCCTTAGTCCTCTGATGGCTATAAAATGGAATTTCACACACATACACACAGTCCGTTTATTTGATTTGTAAACAGCTCAACCTGCCAAAGTTGTAAGAGCTGACTGCACATTTCTGCAGATGGGTGGGCACAGAATTCACTAAATCAGGACTGATCAATCTTGCACATTTTGAAACTCATTTGGATGTAAAACTTCTGGCAAACCTTTTTTATGAATCTACAAAGCCTGTCTCCCATTTAGAGAAGTGTCTCCAGGCTGCAAATCAGTCTGACATTTAATATAAGAGCCTTGGATCCCTGCAGTGTCTTTAAAAGCGAGCTACTTGTTTCTCTTGAGCATGCTAGTTTGTCTTTTATTAGTTGTTGTATAACATTATGTATTTTATTGCTTTCAACTGAGAGGATTTTCTCACTAGAGCTTCTAGAAAATCTCCTATCATGTGTAAAACCTTCATGTCCACAAACAAAGCAACTTATCTACAGCAACCAGCAGTGTAAGACTTCTCATTCTCTTGGTTGTTGCAAAATGAAAGAAACCCTTTTAAGAGTAAAGAATACACTCAGAACTTCTCAAACCAACAAAAAAAGCATCTGTAAAGACTTAGTCGTAGTGAGAGTGACCTTCAGAGATACACAAATCACATTACAACTTCAAAGGCTTGATCAAGCTTTCATGAATCATTCATAAGTCCGCGCAATGCTACATAAACGATGCCAGCAGTCGTGCGGCAGTCATTTGAGGGTGCCAGGCTTAAATCCAGTCATACTCTTAAAATACATATGCATGGCACTTCAATAAAATGTGTTAATGGATGCAAAGTGCCTACAGCTCTTTCTGCTAGAGTCAAAAAGCTTTAGGCATCACAGCCTAGAGGATCTCATCCAAGGTGAGATCTAATTCTCTTCAGTGTCACTGACCCCTGCATTGAGATCCCCAAATATTGACGTTAGCTTGCAGGGGGCGATTCTCCTAATTAAAAAGCAGCGATGAAACTTCGCTAACCTAAGTAGTTTCTATGCATTTTCATTCCTTTTGGGAATGAAGAAGCTTCCAGCAAACAGACTAATTTGATTGACCTTTGAGTCATTGAATCGATTGGTAACAGATATGGAGAAACTTTATATCAAACTCGAAGGAGATGTTTGTGTTTATTTGCCTCCAGTAAATTAAAAAGCAGATTTTCATGACATGTTCCTTCTGCTGCAGTGAGATGATTTGTGTGCAGTCTGCGGTTTTGTACAACATTAATCAGCAGAACACTGGAAGGATACAAGGCTAGTGTAAATCTGATTTCCTTGTTTTCATTTCAGGGAGCGTGTTCACCTTTAAACTCAATTACCTTATCAAAATGCTTTCTGAGGTTCATCTTTGTGGAGGCATCAATCAGTAACAAACAAGGGAAATTGTAATTGCATGATGGAGCAGAGCAAGGTTACAAGGCTGTTAATTCTCTGCTGGAAAACAAACTTAAATCAGAGCTGGAGCATAACGCAGGATACAGAAGAAAATGGTTGCTATATGCTGAAAGCAGCCTTAAATCTGAGGATTATGTAGAAAACAGCAATTAATGTCAAAGTATATCATAGTTTTACAGATTTAGAATTTATCAAGTGTTGTAAATTCATGACAATTTTGCTTGTAAGGTCCAACTGGCTGAATCACAGGATGATTTATACTTTTTATTAAATTGGTTTAACAGATGGATGCTGTCACAAATCAGAGCCAAACACAAATTATTTATTTCAGAAAGAGAGGAACTCTGAGAAGTAAGACTATATTTTCTTGTGAGGCTTTTAGATAAATGATTATGAAAATCTGGAAATGTCCTCGATAAATTTATGACTCACGGAGCTAGAGTTGAACTGTTGTCTGATTTCGCCTGAAAAGCACTGAGATCTGTTGTCAGTAAACTACAAATGTGAAAGATCTTGGGTATGCCACCAGTGCATATCCTCTATTTAGAATTGTGCTGCAGTAATTGGAGGATATAAAAGAAGGGAAAGGTCAGATGTCAATCAAAACATACATATATGCAGTTTTTTTCATGTATTCATAAATTTGCACCTACTTTAGCTTTAGAATCATGGTAATTTATTTCTGTAAGGTTTATATTGTAATTCAGGTGTCTTCTTTGGTCTCTTGTCTTTGTAGAAATAATGGTGTCTTGTAAGTCTATGCTTTACACAGTTTGACGCATCAAATCAAGGTACATCAACCCAAACAAAACTTTGTTGTTGTATTATTAGGTGTCAGGTTATTTGAACACATATCTGTATTGTTACGGAAGGACAATAGTTGTTTTAAAGTTGAAAGAATATTTTTTGAATTCAGTAATTGGTGTTGGGGTTCTTGCTACAGTCTTCTGAAGTCCTTTGAAGAGTCTAGTCTGTGTGTTTTGGAGTCAGGTATAAAAAGCAGTGAAAAAAAAGAAGAAATCTCAGGAGCAGCAGGAAACCTATTGGTATTTAAAATACTGCTGCCGATCAAGTCTTGAAAATAAAACAGGCTTTGAAATGTTACTTTTTTCACGTTTGAAGAGTCGGTCTTAAGTTTCACAGAGTTTCAGTAAACTTTTTGACTGTAAACTTGCAAAACATGACACTCAAGTGTGAAAAAATGCAGTTTCGTGAGTGTCCACTTGAAGTTGACCAAAATCCTTCCATCAATCCACCCGGCTGTCCATCTGTCCACTTAGCTTTTAATCTTGATTACAAGCCCAATTAAAAAATATTTTCTGACATGTGAAATAGTGAGGAAGAACTACTGAAAAGTATTAGGGCCACAAGAAGAGAAAAAATAATAATAATTAGAGGAGGAAGAATTTTTAATTTCAATTTCGAGATTAAAGTCGGAATTTAAAAATGTTGAAAGTTCAACTTAATTCATGTCGACTTTAATCTCGAAATTTCGACTTTTAATCTCAGAATTTTAATTTTTTTAAACTCGAAATTTCAACATTATTTATAACATTTCGACATTTTGTAATCTTGAAATTTCAACCTTATTCTTATTCACAACATTTCGTAATCTCGAAGTTTTGACTTTATTGACAAAATTTTGATTTTTTAAATCTCAAAATTTCGACTTTAATCTCCTTCCTGTAATCTTTTTTTTTTCTTCTGTTCATGTGGCCCTAATCCTGTTTTGTAAAAAAATAGATATTATTGGTTTGTGAATTTATTTAAATCCAATTCTGATTATTTAAAAAAAGTCAATAGTAATCATATCAAATGCTGAGACTGAAAAAATGTTGCTCTGTAAAGAATAAAGTCAATTTTTGATTCCATAGAGAACTCAAGCTTTTGCCCTTTGTATATCTTTTTGAGGTCCTTCAGTATATGCTGCTCCTTAGTCGTGGGTTAACCTACTTTAATGAGCTTTTCCTGTTACCAGCATTAGTCTATGGCATCTGCCTATTTGACACTTCTACCCAAGTGTCCTTGCTAAAATGATAATAACAGTACCAACATGTTCTTACTGCCCAGGAACGCTGCGTGCTGCAGTGTTCAGTTTTCACACATGCATTTTTATCTTCCCTGTGGCTATGAATAAAACAGAGAGCACCTGTCAGCAAGCAGATGTTGAAGCTGACAGCTTAAGGCAAGATGGAAGATTATGGTGGGCAAGAGTAATAAAAAAACTGTGAGTGAGCCAAAACATGATTAATATAATTAGCTGTTTCTGTTGAAGTGAACTCTGATCATTAATCAGAGGACGGCTGTTTGTGTTCAGAGATAACCAGGTCAGGGTGACAGACCTCCCAAAGGGTTTTTCACTGGGCTGCAGAGGATGCTAACAAGCAAAACATCCTTCCTACATGCGTAGCTATTTGGCTCTCTGATATCTATATGTTGAGTGCTGAGATTAGACAGTTCAAGTTTGTTTTCCAGCATAACATATGAGCTTCATGAGCTTTTAAATATGCTAAAAGGTATGCAACTTTGATGTTACAAAAAAGGTGAAGAGGTCCTGCTCATTAGCTGCCGATTTGAAACACCACAAGAGCAGCAGTGCAGAATTGTAGATAATAGCTATTAAGGTTTAATAAGGACACCTGTTTTTTTTTTGCAGAGCCCCAATTAATTGTGCAGTTTTAATCTTTAATCATTATATATCCTGAGTCCTGTTATGTTTGCTAAACTTTTTTAAATATAGACACAATGCAATACTTACTGTAAAATAGTTTACTCTCTGTTTTCAATAAATATCCTGACTTCAGCAGAAGTGTTATCCTGTCTATGGGACAATCCAGAATCAGTCCAAAGAACATTTGGCATGTGTACTAAGCATCGTCTTGGGAATGCAGAATTTGAAAGTGGTGTTCTTTAATTGTTGGTAGAGTAACAAAGGGGAAAAAAAAAATCATAAAAGATACATCTATCATAATAAAGCAAAGCTAGTTTTCCTTGTAAACATGCAATGAAACCCAACCAAACAAATGTAAACTCGTACCCTGGCGTTGTGACCCTTGTCTAAGACATTTTAATATCTGCCCTGCTCCTCTGATTTGCTAGGGTTTTGATTAAAGAAGGGGTATTGTGCATTTTGTTTTCAGACTCTATATCAGCTTTACAGGATTTTCAGATTTTAAAAAATGCCCTGTGTTGCTCACTCTGATGTATAGACGGGTTTCTTGTGTACAAACAATACTAGGTGTGCGCGCAACCATGGGACAAAAGCCTGCTTCGGAGTGAACTGATATCAATGAAGACGCTGTATTGTTTGCAAGTTCTCTCTGACACAATTGCAATAAAATGTCATATCATCGAAAAATCCCTTTGTATTTTATTGCATCAAAATCAGAAAAACACCTGCTGAAATATCCATGAATGTCACTCAATTTACCAGGCTGTGACGTTGTTTTAGATGTTTCTAATATCAGGAGCAGGGTCGTAATGTTTGCGGATTGTTTGTTTTGCTGATTCGTGCAGTTCGCAGCACAACAGCTCCTTCTCATTTTGTTTCTTTGTTGACTCCACCAGTAAACAAATATGAAATGTCCCACTTTCAACCTCAAGGCTGCGTGCGCATACCTGCGACGACACTGTACAGAACACTTTGTTTTAGCTGCTGTCTCTTTAAGACCCACTGTCCACAAGCCTACTTTCCTCTGATTGGCCACCTCTCCTAAGACATACTGTAGGCTCCACCTCCTCTATTATGTGGGTGTCACCTCACACGCTGTTGGAGGCAGGCCGTTCCTGCGCTCTATTTTAGTGAGTCTCGCGTTTTCTGGCAATGTTTTCTTTCTGAGAAGTTTACATCTATTTTCTAGGATTATGACAATAAACGTTTACCTTGTGATTTGAAGCTTTACTGTAACTTTGCATTTTTTGACAGGATTTAAATTACAAGATAACACCACAAAGAGCTCCCAGCATGTGGTAATTAACACACCGGCATAGCATGTGTCACCTCTCAGGCTCAGCAGATGTAAGATGGTGCTATCCACATGTTACAGTAATAACTAGCTCGTGTGTAAAACGCTGTTGCAGAAACAGTCCAACATACTGGTTCTGATGTTGAATTAAGTGGTGGGCACTGTGGGAGAATACTGTTGACACATGACCTCTTGAGCTTTAGCCTCTTTATGTGCTTATAGTTTTATTTCCCCAGTCATGTTAAATTACACTGCTGGTAATTTTAGTTCCTGATCTCTGTGATATTAGAGGGAAAAGGACTAGGGTTATACAATTTCTGTGATTACTGCCCGACCCATAGCCTTTAAAAACAAAGTTGGTTGTTATCTGAATCCATAACAAACCAAAGAACAAAGGAGACAAGAAAAAAAAAAGAACTGGGAAACCAAATCAGACTGAGAAGTGATGTTTACTCTAAGCCCAATTAGTGGATGAGCGTAAGAGCATTTTGAGAGGAAAATTGGGGCCCAGTATTACAGCTGGAGCCAAGAGGCAGGCATAGCATGATATCCAGCAGCAAATTGGTGCCCTGTTGGCTTAGACTGGGTGCACGAGGGAGGAGTGTTAAAAGAGGTTGTATGTGGTAGAGTCAAAGGTGAGAAAGAAGTTTGCAGTCAACAAACAGGAGTCTTCAAATGCCCCAAAGTGCTTCGCCATGACTCACAACTGCCAGCAAAGTTAACTAAAACACTGAATCACGATATGTCTGTACTTAAGTGTTTTTTTCCACCACACCAATGTCCCAGGTTTCTGAGACTGCCTTCAACACCCTGGAATCAATCTGATGTCAGCGTCAGCAAGCTGATGGACAGCACTGACAGCTCACAGATGCAAACTTAGCAAAGGTTAGTTATGTTAGTCCTTACAAACAAAATGACAGGTAAACAATATGTCAAGAACCCATTTTATTCAAGCTAAACATGTAAATGTGGCAAGCTGATCTTGAGGTTCAACACACACACAAAAAAACAAAAAAAAATAATAATGATAATTATCATGGTTATCATCCCTCTTTCTGCAGCATGGAACCAGAGGAACCAGAGGCTTCATGTTGCAGCCATATTCAGTTGAGCCTTCCCTCTGGACCACACCCCAGCATCATGACTTTAATCTTTTCCAGAATCCACTCCTAACTTAAAGTAGAAAACGTCATGATTCTGAGAATTTTTGTAGATTTTCAACACAAGTAGCAAATAAAAGTTTTGTGAATACGCACAGGAGTTAATGTGTGAGCAAATGTGTTCAGTTTGTACTTTTAGTTAAATACCTTCCGGGATTTAGACTGATGGTTGTCCTGTATGTGCCACTATGGCACTCTAAGATCCATGGGTTCATTTTTGTAAAAAAAAAAACACTGTTTATGCTTTGGCGAAGTTTGGACACAGCAATAGTACTTTAATGCAAACTAACAACTCCAGATTGCAGGGAGGTGGTAGTTTTGGCTCATTTTCATTTAAACCCTGGAGTGATTTTGTTTGCAGTGAGAATAAAAATCAACCAACTCCTGCTTGACTCATCAAACCTCCCAGATAAGGACGTAAGCATAAAAAAAAAAGTAAAAAGGCTAATGTTACTCGACATCTTCATACAATCCAACGCCAGCAGAACAGCTAATTCCAGGCATAGCAACATCACACAACTCAACATCTAGTACAATTTTAGACCCAAGACTTTTGTCCTGGTCTTTAAATCTGTACCTTTATATACTGTTGAGCAGGGGTTAAAGTCCCTCTTATTCATGCAGTCTGCTTATTGTCTTGGAGGATGCAATGAAATGACACAGGGACAACCTTCAGGTGGGGAACGCTTTGGCCTGCTTTAAATATTGCAGTTGTTTTGACAGCACCTTGACAGCCAGTGAAGCTGTCCCAAAGCCTCATCTTGACTCAAGTGACTTCCCATCAGAGAGAGAAATCTGTGTTACTCTGCATTAAATAAGGGGCATCTGAACCAGTCATCAGGTTGAAATGATAATACTTGCTGTGTATCCATGCATGAAATAGCCCACTCATCCATGCATTACAGGTTTATACCTGACAGAGACAGTGTGTACCTAGACCAAGGGTGCAGTGTCTGTGCATGATAATGTAGTCACGAACAGGATCGATGTCTGAGTCGCTTGTGCTCATAATATGTAAGGAAAAGAGGTCTTAAGATCACCAGGATGTGGTGATTTAGCGCCGAGAAGAGCTGCTCAGGGATCTTTCTCAACACGATTGTTGTCAACAACAGCAAACACCTCGATTCTCTGCGGTTTTATTTTTGAACAAATGTAACACAAAATTAACAACTAGAGAAATAAAATACATTCAGTGCATAGAAATGAATAAATATTATTCAGTCATTAAAATGTGATATTCTTTTCTTCAGTAACAAGCTGAAACTTGTCAAAACTCATCTGTTTTGTGCTTTTGAAAGCTAAAACTATTTGTAATATTTAGCTGCATTCAAGGAAAAGGACTTGTTACAAAATACAAATTTAATGTCCTGTACATACAGATGCTTAAATGAGCGAACAATAAACTGACTATAAATCTTTTATATCTATGTCTACAGAGGAGTCACCATCTTGCACCACCAAATTAACAAACCCTCACAAGATGGTGTGAGATTCACAGTGGGGAGTTAACCCAGAACTTTGACCCTACATTATTATGTTTTTTCCCCCCATTTTCTCTTTAACTGATTTCTTTTTCTTCACAAAATGGGTCACGATATCAACTGACCTGGAACACCTAAAACCAGAACATGGAGAAATCAATCGAGTGTGCAGTGAGCCTCAGAAATCAAATGGGACAAAATGTCCGAGCTCCGAAGAATAAGTCATGTCCTGTTTTAAAGTATCCGTGTGTTGTCACAGTCGGGCATACTGTGGATCCAAAGGATGACTAAAACCTGCATTTTCTCCAGTGGGGACAGAGCGATGAATTCAGTCACCTTCTCTGTAATCTTTTTGGACTCTTTATAGTTTCACTTTTTTCACTTCTCACTTTCCAGGATATTTACCCTTTGTTCGTTCATAATGGATTGCATTGATAGGATGAGAGTAGGTCTTGTCTTGGCTTCCTAGGTGGGACTGTAGTGTTATCCTATTTTGATGTTAGGTCTTCTTAAATACTAAAATCAAGGTTATGGTCTGAACCTGTTCTTCCTGTAAAGCCTCTTAAGATCACTCTTGTTGTGAATTGGGGATACATGAATAAAGATTTTATGACTGAATCCTTCTAAAGTTTCCTTTCCTCTGTTATTTAATGAATGTTGAGTTTTTAGATGTTTTACTACATTGGTGATATTGAATACAGCATTACTATTACCATTGTGCAAACCTAAAGCTAATGTGACAGGATGATTGTGTTTGGTGCCTTTTTAAACCAGGTGTCCCTGATAAGTAATGGAGGCTGTCATAGGGTGGTTGTTGTCACTGTAATTGCTGTATTATTTGTATTATTATTAAGTTGCATCCAGAACAAACAGTTACATAAAGTGACTAGAGTGTTTTTTTGTTCTGCTTTTTTGTTTGGCTCAAATTGCCATTAAATTGGATTGGAACTTTCCTAAACAATCTTAGACTATATTTACACATGCCCGGCTATTTTCATAAACTGACATTTCAACCTCTCCATTTACAAAAAAAAAAAAAAAACATGCACACCACTACGTTTTTAGAAAAGTTTTCATTTGCACTAACCCTGTGCCGTCAAGAGCATGCCAAACCTGTAGGTGGCAGTGTAGCGAGAAGTATGTTCTGTGTAATACATTTCTAAAGTTTGTCCACAGCCCCATAAGCTTTGCTGGCAGAGGCGGGATTTATGACCTATACTGCAGCCCGACACCAGAGGGCGCTGTTCTCAGAGTGGCTTCACCCAGCGAGGAGACAGACGGCGTCCATTCTATATACAGTCTATGGTGCAAATGAAGGTTATTGTCTCCATTTTTAAAAATAACTAGGTATGTATAAACAGAATGTTAGTCGTTTTCATAGTTTAATTATGAGGCTACAGTCTTTTATCTGAGTTTTTGTCTCTATATCTCACACACTTCTTGTAAATTTTCCATTTGGACTGAGTATCCTCTGTGATCTGTATCACTCTGGTTTTATTATTACACCAACCTTAAGTGTTGTTTTGCTCCTTTTTCATTCAACCACAAGCCTTTAAAGCTTGTGTTTCTAACTTGTTAATGTTGTCATAAATGAAAGATCTCTCGATGATCTGCCGCTGTAATACGATCACCTCGTTTTCCCTCTTCTCCCCCCTGCATGAGGCACGGGTCTGCCTCTATTGTTTCGCTGCTGCTAAAACACGAGAGTGAAACCACAAGATGAGAAGTGCAGGGAGATTTCTGACAGGGACTCAGAGCAGAGCTAATGGCCCATTAAGCGGAAAAGGCTGCTTTTGATGTGACTGAAAGACAAGGGGGAAAAAAGACACATGCAAGATCAGAGACACAGGAGAGGGAGAAGGTGAAAACAATACAGAGGAGCAATCATTTCCTCAACATCACGATACAAAGAACGGCTTGGATCACTGCAGACACTCCACGAGTTTGAAATCTTGTTATCTGCTCTGTAGTTTTGATGTGCTAATAAGCTTCGACCAAACCATGTGCATTTACACTTCTCCAGTTGTGTTCCTATATTGACAGCTTTTATATCATTGTTGCACTTCACACATCGCTCACAGCATGTGGTAATAATCACGGCTGTGTTAACACTACAGTGTCGCATGTTAGCCCAATGCTTTAGAAAGCTTTGACATTCAGATACACAGTGGTAGACAGATGATAATGTGTGTTTGAGACTGTAGAGCTGGATGATGAGGCTAATGACACTTTAATGCTTTCTATTAGTGGGATCATTTTATGTCACTGATGGTGCCATCTATTCTTGCTGATCCTCTTCCAAATGAGTGATCTCAAATCTGTTGTAGTCTTATGAGCCGTCTTTGCCCAACAACCCAAAAAATGCTTTCAGATAAACTAATCAAAGGTCTGATGAATAATGGAATTTATCATAGCAGCTTATCACAGTTTAAATCCCTTCCTTTCTTTTCTTGGCTTCGTGTTATCAAAGGCTTAGTTTTCAAATCCACCCGCTTTATTGAAATGGAAAATTGTCAATCACGTTTTGTTCGCTGAATGATGTCAGTAAGCTCCGGAGATTTTTGGCAGGATGGTTGTGCATTTCAGAGGCGTCATATCTCTAATTCTTAATAGAACTTCTCATAAATTTACCGGTCATCATCAGGACGTTTGCTGACAGCAGTTTGACAAAAAATAACTTTGCATCAGAGAAAACTCAGCTTTTGAGTCACACATAACTAAACTCGTGTGATTTGCTTTTAAGCACAGATTTTGATTGATTAGTAACCCAAAGAGTTAGCAGCTTTAATGTTTTTAAAGTTTTACAATAAATCTTGGAATGCTAGTTCGCAAAAGTGTTTGTGTCTCAGCTCGCAAGCAGTCCACTTCTTGTTCGTCCAGCTTCCACCTAAAGACCCACTTAGATCAGCTTAGATCCAACCAAACAAAAAGGACATTAATCATAAACAGTGTTTTTTAAAAATGAAATGGTTACAACAATATGTTCATATGGTATTTTTCTGACGCTAGAGGACATATCATAGGAAAACTAAGTGCAAAATTGCACTTCTGAGTATTTCTGCTTTTAAATAAGCTGTGAACCTCTCACAGACCCAAACAACAGGTTCAGACATGTTAAGATTTTCTACATCACACGTCTACGCTCCGCCCCCATGCCTCACTCTATAGGCCAGACCCCGAGAAGTAGAGAGGACGATCACTGAACAAGTGTGCGCAGTTGGGGATTGCAATGCTCTTAAGAAAGCTAATTATGACAATATCTGTTTTCTGTGCAGCATAAAATTCTGCAGCTTTCTATTTGAGTTGCTGTAGTATATATATTTTTTTTTTAACTAAATGCACATCCTCATCTAATAAACTCTTTCTTGGCCATGGTGACAGGATTGGCCAATCCCAATAAGTCTATCAAAATGCTGGTTTAGCAGACTAAAACCCCTTGAGCATACAGTATGACAAAATTCTAGTCACCACAAAGTAAACATGTTAGGCAAAGGAATTATAATATCTTCATACAATATTTATCAATATATTTAAAAAAGAAAGAAAGAAAGAAAGAATATAAAAATGACTTGGAGGAAAAAAACTTTTTTTTGGTTTTGTTTCCGTAGTTCGTGAGGTGCACTCTGTCTGTCTAAGCCAGAGTAACTGAAGCCTTTGTCTCTCAGTAAAGAGGTGGTAAATAATTGACCGAAGTGTGATGATGGTATAAACTTTGGCTCCAGAGTGTTTACTAACCTTCGTACAGTCTTACAATGTTTTCATTCTCAAAACTCCTCCGGTACATTGCCCATCCCCACAGTATTTCCCCCTACGAAGCTGTATTGTTCTCTGCAGAAGTTTTATTTCTCCAATATTAAATCTTTCAGTCACTCAGAAATCAAGTTAAAAAAAAGTTTGGTTTTGCTCTGTAGTCACAGAAATACTCTACTCTAGCAGACCCTTTTGTTTCCCAACCTTATTCTTGTCTCATTTGAGGCCTGATAAGCAGCAAATTCATCAAATTTAGAGCAACAGTTCTCCATTTTTCAAGCTACTCTGGCTGTCACATTTCCTGGGTCCCGCATGATTGCGGTTTCCATTGAAATGCAGCCGTATGGAAATGATAGTGGTTTCAATAAAGAAGTAAGAAACAATAGATACTTTGAAAATGTAGCCAAGTCTTCTGAAACCATCTCTCTTCCAGACCAGAATATCAATCATCTTCTGCAAGTGCTCCCCCTAGAGGCCTGGGGAAAATCCATTGTAATGTTTGATTCCTGGGTTTGTGCAGTTTTTAGAGTGCCATGTCTGAAGTATTTTCACTGCTCATGTTCACATTTATGAATGCTTTTTGGCTTTCTGCAGCAGTTTTTTTCATTTGTTAAACACTTGTGTAGTTTTGGATTTTAGTGTGTGTTTTTTGATTTGCATAATATCTGAAGCCATAACTCATGTTTTCTAAATGCAGTCTTTTGGATTGTTGTGGTGTAGAGCATTTAAATTAATCTGATTTCAACAAAGAGACAGAGTGCACTGTAAGGCTGCACGATATTGGAAAAAAATAATATTGCGATTTTTTTCAACCCTGCGATATATATTGCGATATCAAAAATACAGTAATTTCACCAGATGACCTTAATGTTATGCTGCACTGCTGAAATCTTGAGGACAGTTAATCTGCTCTGATCTTACCTCTTTTTGTGAATGTTAGTAGAACGGCTTCTGTCTGTCTTTTGCTGGGACGTTATTGTGGCAACAGATGAACACAGAAGACGTGTTTTGGTCGACATCATCCTTCTTTTAACCGAAATAATTCCAGATAACTGACTTTCCTTTTCTTTTTGGCAACAAATCTTCATTTTCGGTGGTTTTCGCTTGTTCGTTGTTCATTTTGCGATCGTTGTTGTTGTTGTTAGCGGTGTTGTGCCGAGAAACGCATGTCCTCCGAGAATTGCATGCACCTCGCAAAACGCGCACTGCTTATAGTAGAGTGGTCCACGGAAATGTACAATTTAAAACCCATACAGTTCTTATTTGTTGGGCTTAATAGTCATGAGTAAAGTTCCAAAAGTAATTCTCAGCGGACACACGTCTCCCTCCATGTGCAGAACATGTGCAGGGGTGGGTTTTCTCCTCCCTGATTTTGATTGACAGCTGGCAGGGTAGTCTGATTGGCAACTGAGAAGTGAGTCTGATTGGCAACTGAGTTAAGGACGAAGGCGATTGGTGGATTGCTGCACAGCACATGCAGAGTCACATGGAGTGTATCTCAGTCGGTTACCCTTGAAATTAAATGAGTTCATTCACCTCCAATATCGCAGGCTCTGCGATGTGACTATCGCACACACGTACATCGCGATGACGATAGTCAAACGATATATCGTTCAGGCCTAGTGCACTGTGATTTAAAGACTGGGCTGCAAGCTCTGGGTTCAGGTCAACATGAGAGAAAATGGCAGGAGGAGTTTAGATGTTATTTGTTTGCTGCCAATCAAACAACCTAATTAGTACAACATTCGATCAAATAGTGTTGTGTCGTTCGCGAACGATTTGTTCAAAAGAACCGAATCTTTTAAGTGAACGTACTGAACCGAATCACTTCCTTAAGTGATTTGTTCGTTTCTCACTTCAGTTGAGCTGTCAGCAGGGTGGATGCTATAGCAGCATTGCCAGGTGAACAGCCAGTGAACGAGGGATCACATGCACTGACGCCTGAACCACTTGGTAAAGGAATCACGCTTTAAACTACACTCTCTGGAATCATTTTTGTAGGACAAAACTAACTTTTTTACAATTTTTTACAGCTAAATTGTCACCACAGCAACTTGCATACAATAGGACACAGCATTTAACAAGTAGTGCATAAAACCCGCAGCATCCTATCATTGCAGCGGTTTGTGAGGGAACGGTGCATGTTCAGTGTGAATTCTTCTAAACGTTCAGTGAACGAATCACTCACTGAGCCCAATTTACTCGGAGTCACAGGCTCCTCCTGCCAAGCCCTGAATGATTGGGTGATTCGATACACGAATCTTTTGAACAAATCTTTTTCGTGAACCGATTCTAGTGATTCAGTACATCTAAAAGAACTGCCGTGCCCATCACTACGATCAAATTACAAAAAATATTAACAAATTCTGATGTAATAGCACCACCCTTTGAATGCTACGTTCAGTTTGACTGTAACTGAACATGCAATCCAACCCAGAAGTTGTGTGTTAAATATTACCAGATGCACCATCTCTATAGGTCTGTTAATCTTCTTCTACAGCTTTAAATGTAATGAATTAAACTCTCCAGATCATGCTTGCGACATTCACACTCTCATTATGGAAAGTCATTGACACATAGTGGTGCAGCTTAGACGTGTCACAGAATCAGGTCTTTTCATGTCTCTGCATAGATGGCACATTTCAAAGAAGCAAGGGTGGGAAGAAATCACGTGGGCTGGAAAAAAAAAGATCTACGTGAAAGAAGGCAGATATTTTAGGCCAAAAGAAAGAACAAGAGGAGATGATGGAGTGAGCATGAGAAGATAATGAGGAATGAAATACTGCACAACAAAATGTCATCTCTCAGACAGTGGTCTTGGGAGCGTTGCTGCCATTTCACCGAGATTGTTACTATAGATGAATTTCACCTACAAAGACATCAATTCCTCGGGTGCAGCATTTCCTGGATTTCGCTGCGATAGAGGCAGGCTTTGAAAAAAACCTGCCTTTGAAAGCGGACAGAGTGTCAGCCCCAATAAGGCTTCTTTGGCATCACGATGAAGGATGAATAGGCGGGTAATGCACATATATCTTTAGATCAAGGCTGCTTCCTATGAGCATTTCTTATTAGCGCAAAGACTCAGATCTCAAAAGGGAGAAATACCACAGTGGCTTTGCAGCTTTGCATCACAGAAGCCTGTGGAAAAACTGATCAAGCTAAACACTGATAATTTGCTCTGGCTAAGGTGTTTTGAACTGGGAAAGGTTATCTCCGACTCTGGCTAACCAGAATACGGCAGCTCTTCTCTGCAGCAGGATCAAATGTTTGAGCTGTTTAAGAGTGGGATTTCTGAGCAGGGATGTTATGATCCAAATTGCTGGTTTTGCTGTGCTTTTAAAGGCCAGTGGATGTTTGAGGTCTGACAGAAGGCCAACAAGATGTCAATTAAGGTGGCGCGAGGAGTTATATGTGCTATATCCTTGTGTGACTTTGAAAATCCAACAAAACTTTGTTCAAACAAGGCAGAGCCGGTGAGAGCTCTCGGTAAGCACATACACCACCACACTTTTAAAAGCTGAGATGTTCCATTTTAAAAGTTCAAAACAGGGGTCGGAAAAACGAGGTTTGTCCTCTGTAAGGGTCGTGAAAAAGAAATTACAAGCACAAATTACAGACTGACTCTTCTATGAAACAGGGTCTTCCACAAACACTCAGGGAATTGAAGAAAGCCTCCTGAGCACTGACATGTCACCTCCCTGTACTATCTTTTTTAAACTACCGTGGCCCTCCATTAACTTTAAATACAGGCTCCCTCTACAGTTTACATATAATCTTTGAAAATATGAAAAGTGTGGCTGGAGTCAGGTCACACGTCAGCAGTGTGCAATTATTTTCACTACTTGAAACTGCACTCAAACATGGTGCGGGGCACTTTAAAAACACTCTTTACTTGTACATTACCATAAATAAGCACCCATTATGTGAAGTCAGTTGTGGTACATAGGAAGGATAAGAACAAGAATGCTGCACAAGAGTGCAGGATAATGTGTTTCTTGAGAATTATAGCACAGAATATAAGAGGATAAAGTATAGTTTAAGTGGTTAAAACTTTACGCCTGCTCACAAAGAGTACAACTGAGAGACAACCTTCTTTTTATGCCTCTTAAAACTGATTTGCTGATTCTCGACTTGAGAAGATACCTAGCCCAAAAAATAAAAGAAACACAAATAGGGCTGGACAATAAACCGAAAATTTACAGATACCGAAATTTACGACAATAATCGACGTCATTTTGCCCATGACAATACCTTTTATTTATTTATTAAGAAATAAATAAAAGTTGGTTTTGGATGTGCGAAGGTGTGAAGAGTCGGTTCTTTTGAACGAATCGTTCGCGAATGACACAACACTGACAAGTGAGGAGACAGAGGACGGTTCAAAAGTTGTAGCGGCTGGAGTGTCGGCTGAAGTAGACGAAGTTGATGTTGGAGGGGGTGAGCTGCTTGTGGAGTAGTTATCGTCCATTTATTGTTATTGGGGTGAACTGCTCAATATATCGTGATATTGATTTGAGGCCATATCGCCCAGCCCTAAACACACATATACAAAAGGTATGAATACTTACAATATAAAAGTTCTCAATCATGTTGCAGATGGTCTTGCTTGCTTTAAGGCTTCAATATTTCATGGGCATCAAAAAGATTCCCCACAGGAGCTTTAATGTAGTGATTATTCTGTATGTACTTTGTAGTGATTGAATTTGGTACATATGTCCTATTACTTTGCCAGGCAGAGACAGCTGTTTGCTTTAATTAGTTCTACATTCAAGTCCTGTCTTTTATGTTGTTAATCCAATTGCTCCTGTCAAATGTTGGACGACAATATGAGGCTTTTTCATCAAACAAATATGAGGGTTTGAATGTTTGAAACCAATGCTAATCACAAGCAAAGTTTCAAATTTGTGAGATCTTTGCAATGTGTGATAAATGAGTGATCAATGAAACTCTTCAAAAGACCATAATAGTATTAAAATTTACCTGCTCATTTCTTTGTTGCAGGGAATGGTTTTTTTTTTCTTTCTTTCTACAGATCTGGGGGTCCACAGTCATCTCAAATAGAGGAACACCTGCAAATGCATCAAAGACTTTGCAGAGTTGAGGACGCCTCGAGAGAACTGAACAAATCGCAGAAATAAACTGTTCAGACAGCTTCCAAAATCAGGGTTTATGGGGACTCGAACGAGATTAATGAACAGTTTTTAAGCCGTAAACCATGTGAAGTCACTACAGAGGTATCAGGGTGACAATTTAAAGCCTGAAAATAAACATATTACTAGCTCTTCAGGGGCACACTCATTACCATAGCTTTACAAATGAGCTTTTTCCTTATGGTTTGGCTATTTTAACAGTTGGGTTGAGTTTTCTTTTAATATGCTGACTATGGGCCAGGTCAAACTACATTGAACAGCTTTTTAGAAATATACAGTAGAGAGATATTTGGTGATAACCTCTATTACATGTCAAAAAATGTCATTTCCTAACAATTAATGAGAATGGGTGATCAGAACTTGGTAGCCTACACTATGAAACATGAGTGTTTGAGATTTTACATTTTGTTTCTTATAATACTGTTTGTCTCCACCACTCAGCTCAGTTTCTTCTGGATGCGTATGGTCTGAGAGCTTCCAGTAATGTTGGCCATGGTTACGTGGTAGAGTCGGCTCTCTACAGGCAGATCCAGGATTCAATCTTAGCTCCACTGTCCACATGCCCAGGTGTCCTTGGGCTAGACACTTGATCCCATTTGACCCTACTGGTCGGACCCAGCAGTGTGTGAATGGTATGGGCTTTATACACGGCGGCCTCTGCCATCAGTGTGTAAATGTGATGTGAAAGAGGCTTTGAGTGAGTGAGTGAGTGGTAGTCATCGAAGACATGAGGCACTATTGAATTATGAAATGGATTAATAACTTATACTTTAAGTTCAACTGTATATATCGTACAATAAATTCTGTATTTGGATAAATTTACTATGCTTTAATAAGCTTGTTTGCTTTTGTAGCATTACAGCTTTTTTATCTGCTCACTCACAGTTTCCTGTTTTTTTTTCCCCACATGTATTTTTCTTTCAAAGATTCAAAAGCTTAGAAAAAATTCCTTTAAAAATTACACGTTGTAACTTCATTCTGCCTTTCTGCAGAGGGAGATTATGGAAATGTGAAGTAATGAATAAAAGGAGTTGGATGAGGAAAGGCACTTGAGTAGTCAGAGGGCCACACAAAGCCTCAGATGAGCCCAACTAGTTTGAAAGACAAAACAAAGGCAAACATAATTTCTTTGTACCCAAACTGCCTGTTGTAAACATTTATCAGCGGGATGATCGAAAGCTCTGATGTGATGTTAAGGAGTAATTTTAATTATCTTCCATTAATGCAGCCTAATTGATTAGGGGTACCGCAGTGACTCAAATGCCTGCTGCAGTAAATTGCAGTGGATCCTCTAACCCCACAGTAAAGGGGAGGTAAAAAGATGGGTGGTTAATGGGTGTAAACTGGAATAATTGATTAATTAAAAATTCCACAACTAAACTTAAACAGCACTTGAACAGCATACTGAAGAGCTTTTAAAATAATCTGACAGATGGAAGCAGTCAAAGAGAGATGAACAGAGACATAGATGTACTGAAGAACAAAATGAGTGGATAGATGGATTGGGTGGACAGTAAAATTAATTGGTGGACTATGTATGTATGGAGGGATAGATGTAGATAGAAGAAATAAAACACGCTTTGAAAATGGATGAAGGATGTATCTAAGAGGTACTTGGATTGGAGGACAAATGGATCATTATTTGAAATTGTATGCGGTCCTTTGCCAAAATGAGAACAGTATATCATCTTAAAGGAGACTTGTGTTCAGCTCAGCCCTATTGCTAAGCCATCAGCTGGAGAATTGACATAGAATCTAGGCTATCAACTGCTACAGCCTCAACTTAACCTCGTACTTGATCCATACACCAATGTTTGTGTAAGTGTTCACTACATTTATACATTTGAAACAATCTTATTTGGTGCCGGAGACCATTTGTTTTAGCAGTATTCACAGATGCAACACCAGGAAAGCTAAATAGATGTTTGTCTTTAACGTATGTTTTCAGCTCTTTATAATTTATTTTGTTGCGCTGTCAATGTCAACCTTAACTGTCGAGGGTTAGAACTGGGCTGAAAACACAAATTCTATATACACTCACCGGCCACTTTATTAGGTACACCTGTCCAACTGCTCGTTAACACTTAATTTCTAATCAGCCAATCACATGGCGGCAACTTAGTGCATTTAGGCATGTAGACATGGTCAAGACAATCTCCTGCAGTTCAAACCGAGCATCAGTATGGGGAAGAAAGGTGATTTGAGTGACTTTGAATGTGGCATGGTTGTTGGTGCCAAAAGGGCTGGATTGAGTATTTCAGAAACTGCTGATCTACTGGGATTTTAACGCACAACCATCTCTAGGGTTTACAGAGAATGGTCCGAAAAAGAAAAAATATCCAGTGAGCGGCAGTTCTGTGGGCGGAAATGCCTTGTTGATGCCAGAGGTCAGAGGAGAATGGCCAGACTGGTTCGAGCTGATAGAAAGGCAACAGTGACTCAAATAACCACCCGTTACAACCAAGGTAGGCAGAAGAGCATCTCTGAACGCACAGTACGTCGAACTTTGAGGCAGATGGGCTACAGCAGCAGAAGACCACGCCGGGTGCCACTCCTTTCAGCTAAGAACAGGAAACTGAGGCTACAATTTGCACAAGCTCATCGAAATTGGACAATAGAAGATTGGAAAAACGTTGCCTGGTATGATGAGTCTCGATTTCTGCTGCGACATTCGGATGGTAGGGTCAGAATTTGGCGTCAACAACATGAAAGCATGGATCCATCCTGCCTTGTATCAACGGTTCAGGCTGGTGGTGGTGGTGTCATGGTGTGGGGAATATTTTTTTGGCACTCTTTGGGCCCCTTGGTACCAATTGAGCATCGTTGCAACGCCACAGCCTACCTGAGTATTGTTGCTGACCATGTCCATCCCTTTATGACCACAATGTACCCAACTTCTGATGGCTACTTTCAGCAGGATAATGCGCCATGTCATAAAGCTGGAATCATCTCAGACTGGTTTCTTGAACATGACAATGAGTTCACTGTACTCAAATGGCCTCCACAGTCACCAGATCTCAATCCAATAGAGCATCTTTGGGATGTGGTGGAACGGGAGATTCGCATCATGGATGTGCAGCCGACAAATCTGCGGCAACTGTGTGATGCCATCATGTCAATATGGACCAAGCTCTCTGAGGAATGCTTCCAGCACCTTGTTGAATCTATGCCACGAAGAATTGAGGCAGTTCTGAAGGCAAAAGGGGGTCCAACCCGTTACTAGCATGGTGTACCTAATAAAGTGGCCGGTGAGTGTATATATCTGTGTCTGTTGGACAATAATCAGTGGTTGTTGCTTAGAAATATGTCACAACTAGAAAAGAACTCTGAGAGCGCAGACCTCCGCCAAGCAGCTCGTGTCCCCCCTTCTCACACCAAAACTTTTACAGTTACGTGTCTTTTATTAACTTTTATTTGTGTTTAAACTGGTATTTTCACTGTTCATAATGTTCCTAAAACAACAAAGCTCATATTAGATACAAATATTGCATAATAAATCATGCATTTATGTAAGCGCACACTTCCTTGTATCTTCATTGGTTATCTTTCAGCATTGAAAATTCCAACGACACCCTTATTTTTGTGTGTTCTGGATCACAGTATCCAGAATTTTGTCTGGATCAGGATCAACCTTTGACAACTCATAAAACTCATTGAGATCCTTTTGTGTAATTTTTTACTAAAGACTCTGGCCATTTTTTACAGAGTTAAATGCAAAAATTCCAAAATTTGCCCTATCTCACAATGATCAAGAATCCTTCAAAAAATTCCTGGATCCAGAAGGTGATCCGGATCATCACCAAAATGTAATGGGATCCTCCTGGGGCTGAGACGCACCTCTGGTGAAAAATTCAGGTCAATCTGTCAGTTACTTTCTCCGTAAAGTTTCTAACAGACAAACAAACCAACGCTACCGAAAACATAACCTCCTTGGCGGAGGTAATGAGATGCAAAAATATCTAAATTCACAGCCAATGCACTGAACTACAAGTCAAGTCCCAATGAGCTGATCAGTGTGCTGGAGGCAGAAGAACATGTGTGCGCCTTATCCGTACATGGATGTTTCTTTTACCATAATGTAAAGCTATGGAAATGTTCTATACAGAGTCTACACTTTAAAGTGACATTAATGTTATGATTTGACTTTCTTGAAATGATCTGAACTCATTGATCTCTATTGGGGAAATCTTTGGTCATAACAGCTGTATGTGATGGATATAGAAGGTACAGCAAAGGTATGAAGAAGCAGATAAACACGGTGCATGAACTGCTCAATTAGTCCTTTTCAAGTCTTTGGACGTCTCAAAGTGCTTATAAATTACATGTTGCATTCACCTTTTCTCAATCACATTCAAATACTGATGGCAGGGGGCACTACCTTAAATGTCAGCGCTAATTATGGTCCCATTTATTCAGATAAAAATGTCTATCTATGCTTTTGCAATCTGGTGACAACTGTCTTGTTCGAAGACACTCAAAAATGTAGACTGCAGAGACTAGAAGACAAAATGCTAACTTAAGAACTGAGACAGCCCACTTTACCGTCATGCCACAGTCGAATGGTTGAATTGGTGAATGGATGAGTCAACTGCGGTGGGATATTTGTGGCTTTTAAGCAAACAAGAGTTGACATCACAAAGAAGACTGGCATGGCTGAGTCATAATAAAGGTCTGAAAAACAAGTAGATAGATAAATGGAAAACATAAAATAGAAGAGTGTTTGTGAATGTCCAAGCGACGTTAATAAACAAGAAAAGAAGGGTAGAATATTACTTTGTCATAACCGGACAGGTAATTTTCGTAGCATTTGATTTGCAACAATAAAAGTATCTCAATAAATTTGCCAATCATTCACTCTCTCATTGAATCCGTCTGTCCACATTGATATTCTCCAGACATCTTAATAGAAAGGAAGCACTGATCAATCCCACTCTCCAATCAAACATGAGATGCAAATGAGCAGCCAAACGATTCATTATTTTTAATTCTTCATCTGATTTTGGGGGGAATTGTGTTTGCTGAACAATGAAATACTTATTAGCATCCCAGACAAAAGACATAGTGAGTGACAGGATTATATTTAAACAAAGCCAGTGGTTAATCACTTCTCTCTGCATGAGGGCACACAGCCTAGTATTTGTTCTTTATCTCTAATTAAACAGAATTACATTTCCTGACACACTGTAAAAGCCTGGGCGGGTTTCAGACCTAACAACAAACTAATGCACAACATTTTCGAGGAAATGGGGTTCACAGAGGTAAAACACAATCAAATAGTCAGAGTCATCCACAAAAGGCTATGAGACGCTGTCATGGCTCAGTGTGTAGTGCCTCTTAAACTGCAGCTGACAAATAAAAACCTTGTTTTCAATAGTTTCAAGCCTTTTAGTAATATACACTGCTGCCTCCCGCTGCTTGTAAATTGCCATTTAGCACTACTTCAGCTTTACTTTGCTGCTTTTGATTCAAGCCACTTAATTTTCACAAACAACATATTACAAATGAGTATGCTTTGTGCAACCCTAACACGTCACATATGTACCACTTAAGTTGTTAAATCCCTGTAAGTATTGTTAATGTGTAAAAGTATAGGCTGTTATAGAAAGCTTGACAGTAGAAAAAAATGGATGGTAGGAAATACTGTGTTCTTTAAACGCCTTAATTTTACAGATTTCGAGGCATGACCTGGGGCTTGATTTTACTGATTAATTTGTGTTTGTTGATAAAGATGATTTTTGAAACTAAAACCCTAGATTTTGTCTTCAACTTCCTCCATCAATTATCTTGGGCTCATAGACTGTATATAAAATGGACAGCGTCTGCTACGTCACTGGGTGAAGCCACACTCAGAACAGCACCCTCTGTTGACAGGCTGCAGTATAGGTCATAAATCCCGCCTCTGCCAGCCATCCTTATGAAGGTGTGGACAAACTTTAGAAATTTATTACACAGAATATAAACTTTTTCTCCACCCTGCTTGTGATGTGACATGTAGTTAATAAGGCAGAATCAAGTTGTTCATTCTATATACAGTCTATGCTTGGGCTGCAGCGGATGGAATCCTCCCTGCAAAGTTTGAACAATCAATATATTTCAACATAGGCATGCAGGTGGGTGGGATGAGATGCACAAGATCCCTGCAGCCCCCAAACACTCATTAAAAAGCAGACAACTTTACTGCCATGATTTTTCCATTGTTTGACATATGACAAGAAAGGGACACGTGGAAAGCTACCAATGATGCAGTCTGAGGATATCATATTTTATTTTTACTTGATAAATAACCCTATCTTCTGGCAAGCAGCTGGCTAATTGTAAGAGGCTTCAGTGTAGGCAAATGTCAGGTCCAAGATTTAAGGTCCATCTGTGCACAATGCCATGATGACGAGCCTTATTTTCTTTGGTCTGGACCCAAGGGTTTAGTATGATGCTTTGTGCATGCTTCACGTAGGAGGTGAGTTTGCTGCATGATGGCTACAAGGCAATGTGATTTTCATTTCGGTATGTTAAAGGGATATTCCAGCGTAAAATTAATTTAGGGTAAAACACAGCATAACACAGAGTTAGACACCCCCTCAGGCAAATCCATTACGGACTACAGCGGGGTGACGCAGCTCAAGGAAGAACATTTATGATCATTTCTTCATGGAAATGCAATAAGACCAAGACGCTAAGGCAGAAGAACTACCACGTCTGCAGTGCAAAATGATTATGATGATGATTATTACTTCAAGGAAATGATCATAAATGTTCTTCCTTGAGCTGTGTCACCCCACTGTAGTCCGTAATGGACCCACCCGAAGTCTTGCTACAAACAAGCGGCTGCTGGAAGAGAGTGGGTGAGTTGTGTTTAGTCTTTGTCTTTGCTAAAGAAATCGGGCAAAGTTAAAAAGATCTTTGGTGGCTAGTGCTGTGGCTGGGACCCTATATGTACTGTTGATGAAGTTAGAAGCTGTTCTGAGCATTATTTGTGGCTATAGAGTGGCGTTTTGGTTGAGGTTTGTTTATGGCTCCTCAGACCGCTGTGTATTGCTATCCTGCGGTCGTTACTAAAGTTGGTAAGCAGAGAAGCAAGCGGTCGGCAACATTAATCTCTCGAGGGGGTGTCTAACTCGGTGTTAAGTGTGTTTGACCCTAAATTAATTTCACGCCGGAATATCCCTTTAACAGACATGATCACTGAAGCTGCTGGCATCTCATGAGCAGGAAATCTAGGGAATGGGAGAACTTTCTATTTCTTTTCCACAAACTGAGTTACACATAAATCTTGGTCAAAATAGACAGAAAAACGTTTAGTTGAGAGTTTGGCTTCATATCATTCATTCATTTATGTTACATGTTTGTAAAATAAAGTAGAGCAAAGTTATGCAGCCAACATACTTCCTGTTTAAAGTACCAGTAGGTGGCAAAGCTGTACCTCCATTCTTATATAAAACATTCATAATTCATTGGATTACCCGGATTAGTTAGCAATATTTGTTTTGGAAAAAGAAATGCCAATCAAAAAGTTTTCTGAGTAGACTGTTCATGTTTTCGTCTGCAAATTATACACTTACACTGAGAAGTCACACTTTATCTTGAGGTGTATGGATAACCTGTCAGTCTGCAATTGCAAGCATCACATGTTTTTGCTTGGTAATATTAAGAGGAGTTATAAATATTTCAGGCTGTTGACAGCAGTGAGCGCAATATATGAATAAAAGCTGCTCCAAAAACAAATAGCTTCAGAGGAATATTACAAGGTCGTGTCTCGAGTTGAAGTGCAGAATAAATACACAAGATTTTTCAGTGCTTCCTTTGAGTTTATCTGTTCTGAATGCCACACAGGAAGCTGAATTTGTACAGTGAATGGTGATGGATAAGGTGTGACAGAGAGGTGACTAATAGCACTCCGTCACAAAGGTGGCATCCAAATCAAGCAGCCCCTTGAATGACAAGGAGTGATAGAACGCCTCAGATCAAAACGGTTGATATTCAGTGCCTCGCATGGAGCCAACACACATTTATCACTCTCAGTGATACTGTCTCCTCCTCATCCCCAGATGAACCTGAGATGAGTCATTTCCCACAGAGCCACACAACCATGCCTAGAATCTAAAGGAAACCAAAAAGAAAACTAAACTTGACATATATTCAACAGAAAAACATGACATGACGGTTCAAGAGAGTTAATCAATATGTGGTTTAATGCAACGATATCTTCATTTTACTCTTGTGAAATAATCTATAGGGGGTTTGCCTCCTATTAAGCTCTAAGGTTTCAAGGATCTGGGACACGGCCAGGGGTCGGTTGATCAAATTCTAAGATAATTTTCCCTTGATTTACACCAATGAGAACTTGAATGATTTTTCCACGTATTGATCTAAACACGGTTGATATTTCATGTCAACTGGCTTCTGAATAGATCTGAAGGATAATGGTGATATTTTAACAAATCTGCCTTATTTTTGTACCTATTTTTGGGGTCTGAACGTTATAAACTTTTACAGCCAACAGCTGGAAAACATGCTGTAATGGCTGAGAATTAGGAACGTCAGTGCCAACCATGGCTTACACAGAAGCTTTGTCAGCGATATCACCAGTTGGTTTATAAAGCAGAATTCTGGAGTCTATCCAGGAAATTGCTTTACTGGAAATGCTGACTCTACTTAACTTATGGTCAACCCAACAAGAGACTAACAGTCGAAGTATGCCCACCTGTCATTCAAGTCAGGCATGCCCTGAGTTATGATAAACTTGCAACCGTAATATCGTAAAAAAGGATGTGCAGAAAGATCATTGGACTGTTCAGACCAAAATAATAATAATAATAATAATAAAATAAATAAATAAATAAAACAAAATAAAATCAATAATAATAATAATAATATAAGAAACATGTATTTTTGGTGGAAATATGGGCTTTGTAGAATGGCTTGTTTGGTGTCTGGGGCTTTTTTAGACAGTCTCTAGTGGACACCTATGGAACTGCAGTTTTTGGCACTTGGGCGTTTGCCTTATTTCTTTACAGTGGAGGTTGCAGCTTTGTGTCAACACATTACACATGATTAAAAAAATACCTTTTTAATCACCAAATTATTGTTTTACGTCACTGGGCAGCTGCATCACAAAAAGGTGTTAAAGTCAAAGCACTATTTTGAAGTGTGTGAGTTGCTTTAGACCTGTAAATGAAAGTAAATCAAGGCCGTTATGAGCGCTAGCTGAAAGGGTGGCAATTTACCACAGGCCAGTCACCACTTTTGAGACTCATCATGTTGTAATATGCCGAAATAGGCCGTGTCACACATATAAGACCTGTATTAAATAGAATATTCTCAAACTGGAACTGTTTATAGTGAGGTACTTTTGGTTTGTGTCAATTTTGGTGCCCCTTTAGAAAAAGCTGTCCTTGCTTATCGTGTCCTCTAAATGCCTCGGAAGTGTCATCTGATGGAAAATTTTACCCTCAGAATTAGTGCACACCAAACAAACTCTGATTTGACATTTTGTACATGCACTTCAGTTTCTTAATATTCCTCAAGGATAACACTTTAAAACATTAAGACTTAATACTAAGGTCTTGAAAGGTTTCTCATTCTACCTCTGACATGGTGCAGCATTTGTTTGAATAACAAACCTAATATCCAAAATCATGAAATATTTTTCACTCAATTTCCAAATGAAGATACTGGTAAGACGAAATTCTGCAAATCATTGTGTTTCAAAAAATGAATGGCCTTTTAGACCCACTGAAAGTTTTCTTTCTGGGGCATCTAAAGTTCAGTTTTTTGCAAACACAGACATGGGTGGTTAATCTGAGTATTTGCTATTATAACAGAAAACATCACTATGAAATAATAATGCATTGTCTAGAGACAGCATTAACAATATTGACTTCAAATCCACCTGACTTCACTGATTGAATCAGTTCATTTACATTGCAGATCTATTGTGGGGGATTATTGGCAATCTGGCAGTCTAGTGCTGCTAGTTATTTGTAATATATTTGACATTTCCATCTCCAAATTGAGCATTTTTTGAATTTTATATTCTTAAACAAACATTTCAACAACAAGAACTTTTAGTAGATGTACATTGCACCTAACTTTACACTTTATTATACACGTTTTACTGCTGCTGGCTAAGGCAAGCCACTGGAATAAGTTCAAAATGTTTAAACGGTAATAATAAGACCAAAAATACTCCAAAAACAGCCCATGGTTAAAAAACAGATATTCTCTTTAATTATAAAAGAAATATTCTACATCAAATGCGCTCTGATATTCTCTGATATTAAATTAGATAGGCATCAAACACCAGGTCCGACCACATAATTTGATAACCTCTAGCTCTTATGAGTCTACACAAGAAATTCTATTTCCTGATGTTTCACTTTTTAATTTCTGCATTTACCAACCTCTGTGACGAGACAATTAGGACGAAACTGAAAATTAGAATTCCTTCACACTCTCAAAGGCTTCTCTCACATGAGACTGCCGCGTGACACTCCATGAATCTATTTAAAAACCTGTGAATAAAAAGAGATCACCATCACCATCACCAGCAGCAGCAGCACAGTGCACCACCAATTAATGGACAGCAGGGATCAAAGAGATTAGCTGTATACATCTACTGTAAGCCAGTGTAGTGCTTTTCACAGTTCACACCTTCCACCTTTGAAATCACATTTTCTCCCTGCGATGATTGATGCACTACATGATCGGAGCTGATAGGACATCTCCTTGGATTCGCTCGGGTATTAGACATATTGACAAAAAAAAAACCCTGCAGCAATAGAACAGTGCCCTTCCTAAACCTGGTTCAGACTATGACTTATGTAGATGAAAAAGACTTTTATTTGCGTTTATAAAAAATAAAATCAGGGTTCATATGGCAAATGACAGAAAGCACTGAAGCATGTGTTGAAGCTACATGGACGTCCTAGATGAGGGCTTTGATTTGCTAATGCTTTACTAAACAACCCCAGATTGTTTGAAATGGACTCATGAAAAGCAGCGTAAAAAAAATATTCTCAAACATAAGTGACCACTCTATTTCTAAAGACACTTAATCAAGAAGAAAACTGTCCTCTGGATGGATTTAGCATAATTCCACAGTTAATCTCCTTTTACTCTAAGGTGCCTGATTAACAGCAACAGATACAGGCAAAAATCTCAACAGTGTCAGCTTGTCTTACTAGAAACAGCTGTGCTCTACACTGAAGTGATAAAGTAGTTGCATAAAGCAATCACTCCTATCAGATATTCTTTCCCCTGTATAGAGGAAGTAAAGCGTCTCTCTAAAAGGCAGCGAACCACACAACAGCAGCATGGAAAACAAGTCAAGCTATTATTGATAATTTCTTGCTTACTTATAGGTTTTTATGTTGAGTAAAGTAGATATATTAAAGTCAAATGATGAAGGCTTGACAAATAATGATAGATATTAAAAACAAGACACAATAAGAAAAAGAAAAGTGGATGTCTATGTCTCCGTTTTGTTCGCTTGTTTATACTTAGGGCAGGGAGGGTCAAGGATTTACATTCTTATCAATCTTTGACGAGTTATCTAGCGTTTACCTGTGAGCTGAGTCCCCATTTTCACTTCGGTCCCCCATATCCATCAACAGAACCATCTGCTATGCATGTTTCATGTTAACAAGCAGGGGCGAGTCCAGACCTTTTTGACTGTGGGGGCCAAGCTTCTACACTTACACCAATGATTTATAGTGTTGTGTCGTTCATGAATGTTTTGTTCAAATGAACAGAACTGCTGAGTGAACAACGTGACTGGAATCAGTCCAAGACCTGATTTTTCCTTTCTCAGTTCAGTTGAGCTCAGCCGCAAGCCTGGTGTGCCGGTCGGGAGTGAAACTGCCGCCTTTGACTCTTTGGCGATCGACACACAGTCAGCCAGCCAGCCAGCAGGTGGGTGGCGGAGTCTCGCGATTTGCTCACAGCAAATGAACGATATGTATCAGTCAGACTGTGAACAAAACGAACAACTTCAGAATGACTTGAGGCAGGCAGAGGAGGCAGGTGTAGCGTTGTTCACTTACTGCTGAACACCGGTTTGTTCACTGAGACTAAGATAAAACAGTGCATTATAGTTTCTTTACATTAATACACATGTATAAAATTCCTGCAAGAAGGATTTAATTTCAGCCGATTTAAAGCAGTAACCTATTTGATATCTTTAAAAGTAGCAGAATCCCCGCTACAGCTGCAGTGTTTATTTATTTTTAATTACTCCACTTTTCCGCGATATAAAAAAACGACGACACACAATCGTTTAGCGGGTGTGCTGCTTGCTGCTGTGTTGTTTCTGCTGACGGCGACACACAGAGAGGTGAGTTTTTCAGGACAGGGGAGTGATTCTTCCTTCAGGACTTGGCGAATAAACGACATGTGTCATCCAGTGAACGATGCTATTAAACAGCAGTAGGGGAGGGGAGGGGAGGGGCTCATTCAATGAATGAACTCGCGGCTGTGTCACTCACTGGTGTACTGCACCAGCAGGACAGGGTTCCAAAAGACTGACTGATTCTGGGAAGAATCTTTTGAATGAATTGTTTTAATAAACGGATGCTAAAGATTCAGAATAGTCAAAAGAACTGTTTTTCCATCACTACTGATGTAGCATAAGGTAAACAAGCCTATAACGTCTATTATTCCATCTGCATTGTAACATCTGCCATCTCTAATAAAGGAAATAGCTAAATAAGATGTTTAGGAATTTTTCAACATATTGTTCAATGTTTGGGGGAAGACAAAAAATGTTGAAGCTAAACTAAAAACTAAAAACTAAACTATAAATCGAGCTTTAACTTTTGAGAGGCTTTTAATTGAACAAATTTAAGTGGGGTTACTTGTCAATAGTAAGTGCATTTCCGTCAGAGGATGCTGGTTGGCTCAGCTCCTTTGTTCAGAAACCAGCTGTTGGACCTTCGATGGCAGCTATACAATCAACCCCTGCAGATGGAGTCAGCTCTACCACATCATTTAGATAATTATAAGACACTCTACCCAAACACTACTCTTTCTGTAAGTGTGCCTTTAGTTGTAAATTTGTTGGTGCTTGACTTTGCTGTCAGATCGCCCATTTGTTTTTTGTTTCACTTTTCTCAGAAGCAACATGCAAGTGTTCTTCAGCTGTGAAAAATAGGGACACTTTGTCTTGCTCTATTTAATGGAAAAGGTGACCATGTTTGAAACAAGCAGATCTGTTTTTGTTTTGTTGTTGTTGTTGTTGTTTACTTTGTTTTAAATCAACATTTTACAAAGTGTTCCTGATATGTTCTGGTTTTTAATTTTTTTCCTGGTTTTGTGTTTCCCTGGAGTGTTTTTTCTTTTTGATTTTTCCTAGTGTTTCTGTTCCCCATTGTTCCTGTTCCCCTGTAGTCCTGTCTTGTGAGTTTTCAGTTTGTGTGAGACCCCAGTTCCCTCATGTTCTCAGTGTTTTATTCCTAAAATAAGTGTTCAGTGTTTCCTGTTTTATTTTGCAGTAGCCTATTCCCTGTGTTTCTAGTCAGTTTTCCCTCCTCTGTGATTGTTTGCACCTGTGTCTTAGTGTCTCACCTGCCTCTCGTTGCTCGTTTCCCTGTTTATATATAGCCCTTGTCTTCCCCTGTTTCTCTGTTGGTTCATTTGTGTTGTGTGTGGTTTGCGTTGTAAGTCAGTGTCTCAAGTGTCTCCAGTGTCTTTGTGGATTTTGGATTTTTGGTTCAGTTGGATTTTGCCTCTTGTGTTTTTTGGGATTTTTGAGTTGGACATTTGGAAAGTAAGTTTTTGTTGTTTTTAGTGCCTTTGAAATAAATCTGTTTTCATTCTGCATTTTGGGTCCTTCCCTTTTTTTTGTTTTACTGTAGGGTTGTGATTCTTTTCACTGTTACAGGGTTTTGACTATATACAATAAAGTATTTTACAAAGCTGAGTACTTGTAAAGTACACATACAGTGATTCATCTTTGAACTTGTTCTGTCTTACCTACGAATAACATTTTATGCATTCTTCTTCAAAAGACTTGAGGCAAAACACTGATTTCAGCTTTTCATTTGGTTATGTCCCCCACAGCTCATATGAACAACTCACTTAATGTCTAACAGGAGCCATGACTTGTGGTGGTTCAGCACAAATAGCAAAAGCTGCAGCCTTCAAACAAGCAATTCAGCACTGAGGTATGCAAACTAACGATAAGGTATGAGTTCCAATAAGAGTGCAATGCATGGGAAGTACAGCGGGTAATGGGCTGAAACAAAATCAGTGCAGTCACTTTAGATGCAAACAGCAGGCAAACAGAAGGAGAGCGAACGGTTAATGCGACTTCAAACAGTCTGATGAGACACAACTCTTGCCATAACAGCGTCCATGAGCACGCTTATTCCCTACAATTCACTGCAGCATTAGTGCCATTACAATATAAAGGTGTTAATGGCATAGATAATTTGATTGTTTAGATGTATTAAAGTAGCATCCAGAGGGTACATGGGGACATTTCCATATGCAGAGGTGATTTTTATAGCTGGAGTACAAGCAATGACAGCCAGAAAAGCTCCAGCACTGTACAGACTGATGGGTCTCTTTCTATTTCTCTCTGGTGTCATTGTAGGGACAGCTTTGATGTTCAATTTTTAAATGTGCCAATGTCAATCGACTGACACCCAAAGGTGAGCCAGAGTGGCATCAAATGATGACAGTATGAGGATCTCAATCATTAACTGCAAGAATCAATAAGGAAGAGAATCTATATTAAAGTCATTAAAACTGACTTAGTACGCAGTAAATTCAGTCTGGATTTGACTAAAGCTGCTTTGAAATGTAAGGATATTAAAGGAAGACTCGAGGTATAATACATTCACATTTCCAGCATACCTCCCTTCACAGTCTCAGGTCTTTTTTAAAACCTATTTTTACTCCACAAACATTATAGAACAAACCTAAAACAAAGAGGAGGAGGTTATATAACTGCACTTGTTTTTTTATAGACTCTGCTGTGAACACAGTTTTAAAAGAGGAATATTTCAGTATTGATCATTTTTATTACACATACCTATGTAACCATGTTGTTTGCTGAATAAATGCAAGTGTTCATGTCGTCCATTTTGGGGACTGCAGTCAAAAACAAACAGGTGAAAACTCGACAAAAACACGTCAGAAGAAATTAGTTTGAAAAAAGAAAAAAAAGAAAACTACAACTAACTCAATTTCTGGCATTGCTTTTATCACTGGTACTCATCCAGCAAACTCGTATGTTAAAATACACACAGACTGTGCAAGTCGAGGCTGTTTCTGACCTAATTTTTGGGTTGCATGACTGATTTCGAGGTCAGGCTTCATTGCATGTCATTTGCCATGCAGTTTAAAGGGGAGCATTGGGGTAGATTGCACACAGACATGCTGCTTCTGCCTGATGGGATGAAATTCTGGTATGACAGAACTTTTAGTCAGCCTCAAATTCACTATTGTGATTTTTTCCCCCAAACTGCATCTGTGTAAAATGGTAGACAGCATCTGAATGCATCATGGAAACATACAGTACTGTGTGGGAACAAATAGCAACCACCCGTAACCCTTTAAGCAGATAATGTTTCCTTTCTTGACAAGGAGTAAGAAATATTCCCATACTTAATGTAGCAGATGTGAATGCTTAGTTTAACCCTGTATTATACAAGAAGTATAGCTCTGTTTGGAATTAGTTGTGTGCGTAAGAGTGCATGGAAGGGCAAGGAAGTGACAAAAGGTGAGCAGTCGAGTTTGTGCAAAGATAATAAAGCGTGCAACTTCTCAAAAATATGCTGCAAGTAAAGTGAGAGGGAGTTAACCACAGAGTTAGTATCAACTAGAGCACAGGAGCAGACCAGTAAGACTCCTGTGTGCTTTCTGACTAAGGTCGGGACGCAAAAGCAGGAAAGATTAACACCTCATTAAAGTAATGACCAAAATACCATACCTTTAAAACTAAAAACTGAAAGAGATAAGCTCAAAGAGGAACTAACTACAAAGACCGAAAGTGCCAGTTTAGCTCCTAGTTGTTTGTCCTCTGTCCTGATTTCCCAAGTATACTGTGAGCACTCAGCTCACACTTAAAAAATGAACTTTAGCACTTTTGGTACATTTTAGTCACCCAAAAAAAATGGTTCACATTCCATATTCAGCATCTTAACACTGCCACTAAATGCAGAGGGGGTATTTCATTGTGAAACAAACTGTCACTTTGCTGTGCAAGGCAGACCAGGCTGACAGAGCACACTGCAGAATGTAAAGGAAGTCATGGCGGGGACACCGTTTGAACCTTTACTTCTCTCATAGCCCGCTAAAAATGGTGCAACTTGTCTTCAGGAATTAGCAGCACTTGCGAGCTATAGTTGTGTATTGTAAACCATTTATTCTGCTTTTCTGCCACACCATTCATAGAATTGCATGTTGTATGTCTGGAGACTGACTCAAATGACTATTATATCCAGCTATAGGATAAATATAGTATTTACTTTTACAGTTAAAACGGGGATAGCCACTGTTGAGTTGTTAAGTCATGATGGTTTTGATTTACTCCTGAAGAAAAAAGACAGAAAGTCTTATTCTTTTTTGACCTCTTTTATCCTGCAAATACTTTCCCACTTTATTGCAACTGTAAAAACATAGTATCACTGTCAGACATGAGCATTTAGTCCTGAGGTAGCTGGTAGCTGTAAAAGGCAGCAAAAATAAATATAGTTTCTGCTGTAGCTGCTTTTCTGCTTTGCTGTAGAGATCATGGGAAAACGCTGGTATTGATTTTAGTCTGAGTCATGGCCGGCTTAAAAAAGAAAAATCCTCACTTAAACTTACCTGTACATGAGTATTCAGTTTTAGACAAATATTTAGTCTTATCCACTACTTTTCAAAAACTTTCCGTACAGTTTCAAAACTGACGCTTAGGGGGGCTTTGTCTCCCACTCACTGATGGTGAGGGAATCATTTCAGCATGGGATCAACTATGTGTGTCTAATTGTTCCTTATTAAGACCAGGTGTGGGAAGCTCATACCCTCGGGTGCCAGTGCTCCATGCTGACTCATTATCTCACCATCAGAGGTATCAAGTGGATTTTTTAGTGTTTGTTCTTGTTGCGTAGGGGTGTCGGCAGAGGCACCACTAAAACCTCTCTGGTACCAGGCGAGTCTTTTCTAGCTTCTTGTGTTTCTCTGTCCCAAGGCATCCCTGGCTTTTTGTGTTTTAGTTCAGGGGCTTATACTTGGTCTCCCTTAAAGTTTAGTTTCCAGTCAGCTGCTCAGCAGGGGTAGTTTGGATAGTTTAGTTTAGTTCCCACTCCTCTTGACTTCAGAAGTGTATTCTACGATTCAGCGCTGCAGCTTTTTCACTCATAAGGAAATATTGTGAAGCCCTTTCATAATCAAGTTTGGTGCTGATAATGTCTATTTCTGTCCTCACCTCTCTTTCTAAAGACATTTGACACTGATTTCAACTTAAACAAGTGATTCAGGTATTCCATATATAATGTTTGGTTATGTCAGTGAAGTTTCCTTTGTTTTTAGCATATTCATGTCATTTCATGTCATGTCTTTCCTGTTTTATTTTGAAATCACTAAACCCTGTCTCTGTTTCTAGATTTGCACCCCTGTCATGTCACACCTGCATCCTGATTGTCTCTCCCCACCTGTTTCCCATCACCCTCATTGCCTCGTGTATTTAACCTCATGTCTCTCGCTGTCTCCTCTCCAGTTCATTGTATTTCACTGTCCTCGTTCCATCACTGTTTGTCATAATCATAGACATTTCCGTGTTTGAGCGTCCCTGTTTTTTTGCCTCACGCTTTTCGAATACATCTGCCTGTTCTGACTGAATTCCTGTGTACCAACCTCTGCTTGTTGTTTGGCATTTGTGTCCTGTCGCTCTGTTGCCATGATCATAACAGGGACATTTTCCAGATACTTGGAGCTTAAAATTGAATGCTGCTTTTCCGTGTTTAGTTCTGATATTGGGTACAGAAAGCAGACCTGTCCCAGACCACCTGAGCTGTATGGATAGTTTGTTAATCTTAGAAAATCACTGATGTATTTTGGCCTGGAAGCTGCTCATTGCTTTTCAGTTCTCTTCCTTATTATGGTTTAACTGAAGAAAATTAAGGTATATCCACACATTGATTTGTACGAGGCACTTAATCAGGGCTTGAACAGGGCTATGGATCACCTGCTTACATTGTTAAGTACATCTGTTGGTAATCTGACTTGTGTTATTTTAGGCCAGTGGGAACATGTGGATATCAAACAGAAAAGGCTCCGGGATAGAGCCTTGGGGAACTCCACATTTAATTTGTGTCCATTCAAATGTGAAGTTAGAGGAAGACACAAAGTAGTTTTGATTGATTTGAATCACTTGAGTACTGTGCCGGGAAGTCTCCAGTTCTTAAAGGCATAACCTACTTGGCAAAGTAAGGATGGTGATCAATTAGGTAATGTCTGGCAGCCAAAATACCAAACACCCAGCTAGCAAAGCTCCCCTCCTTCTTGCAGAAACAAAGAGACATCTAAAGTACTTGGAAGACCGAATCTACTCTGAGGACAGACAATTCAACTCATGTTCACACCATTGAAAGACACTTAGACCAGACCTGCAACCTTGGAATCCACCTGCTTATGCAAAGAAAACAAGATCCTCAAACTTAGGACCGACAACCTGTTATAATTAGTCTAAAATATAGATATTCTCAAGTCTTAACAATGTTCATATGTTCATTATTTGCCTGACACTGTGAGATGGCATTTATTATTCGGTTTGAACAGTTGTCTGAGGTACAACACAACAGCAAAAATATATATTTCAGCAGTGCTGTTTAATGTTCTGCATGATTACCTCTTCCCCTGCAGTCTTTGCCGACATGTTTAGCCAATATGCATCTGTTTTCCCCTGCTGAGAGTCTTAGGACTTAGAGGAGGTTTGGAGGAATGGATTAACTGAGAGGGAAATGGGGCTGTGATGGGATGAGATGAGGCAACAGCAGGTGCTGAGGAGGCAGACCGTCTGATAGAAGCTCCTCTGGGACCGTCTGTGCATTAGTGCGTCCCGTAGTGGTAAATGTGTCCCTCTGTCTGTACAGGTAGATAGCTCCGAGAGAAGAACTCAGTGTTTGGCGCCTTGTGACGAAGAAGTCTGGTCTGTGTTCTGGATCACTTGTTAAGCTCTCAACATATGCATTACCCCAGGGAGATACACACCAGACAGTGAGTCACGTATAAATAAAGCACGATGAATGCAAATAGAGAACACTCTCTGGAGGTTTTAACAGGTGAGATGAGTGATTAAAGAGGCTTTGAATACCATGTCTACAGCTAAATGTGCAGATTAAAGCATCGGAGAGAGAGATGGCATCATGGGATGTGACACGTATAGTGAGTGCCTGTAGTTAGCTGTGTTGTAGGGATCCCACAGGTACAACAATAAAAGATCATTTGAAGAATAAAGCAGTGAAATCTACCTCACTTTGCACGACTAGAAGATCCCTCATTCTGCCAATCCAGCTGAATGAAATCCACCTCAGGGGAACAAATGCAGTGATTTATTTTTAAATGTTTTCTCAGGTGGGACTGATAAACATGCCAAAACCCAATGAAACACTCCCTTCCCTTGGGGAGTGTTTAGGGGACTTTCCTCAGCGCACTCTGGGAACAACTTTAGTCTGTCATCTGTTGTTTCCTTGATCCATACTTCACCCGAAAGTTGTTCAATATCTGCCAACTTGACGGCCCTCTCATTTGCATAATACTAAACTGTTCTCTGGGGATAGCAGAGGTGATGGGTGGGGAGACCTTGAAGAGCCATTAACAGGTCCACCCAAGAGGAACCTTTACAAAAGTCTTCAAATGGCTGACCCCTTTCATTGGGTACCTTTTAGTCTGATCTGCTGTTGCAGCCTATCGCACCAAAAGGTTAAAAGTAGGGCTGTCAAATGATTCATCTTGTTGTGAGTAATCGTGTAATTGCCCACAATGAACTTGCAGTTAACCACACATTATTTTCACATTTTGTAATATTTTCTAAATGGGCCCAAAACCAGTATTTTCTGAGTGTTGAATACTTTGATACACATTGATGTAGATAACTATGATTACTCCTTATTGTAATTTGAATATTTGCTTCAAAATTTTAAAACATTGGTATTTTTGAGCTGACGCTAGCATCATTCGACAAGTTTTTGTAGTTTGTGTACTTGTGTGTTTAGTTGATTTACTTCATCTTAACCTTCTTTTTAAATGTTAATGTCGACACAAATGGATTATGCATCATACATGATTTCACTGCATCCAGCCTGAATGAATAAACTGACAAAAAGACTACAAATACACCTTTGATATGATCAGGGCAAAGGGTGTACATTTTGATGCACCGAGGCCCGCAAAACACTTGAACTAAAAGAGGCAACAATGAAGCATTAAAGAGATTCTCCGGGGGAACTGAGGCTTCAAAAGAAAGGATATGTTAACAGCACTTGCCTGAAATGGTTATTGATTTTGGGCTCATGTGAAACAAGTACAGACTCTTTTAATAATTTCGTTGCACAATCCCTCGATTTAATCTGGTCAACAGGCAAAACAATCGATACATTTTCATCTCCATTTGTTCACGGTTCTGTAACGTCTGCTCTCATTTCCAACAGTCTTCATCCAGACCAAACCCATATCTTAGCAAGATTTTCCCCGCTTCTGCCTGTATTAGGGTTTTCATCACTTTTCCCTCTGTGCTGTCATTTTGTTATTGCTGCCTGTGTTGGTGTGTGTATGCATTTTATTTCCATTTGTGTGTGGACTGATGTCTCTGTTGGCCAGAAAGGGTAAAATATGACTCAAGGGGGCTAGAGCTAGGATTTAGATTGGGCTATTATTTAGATTGGGTTAAGCTAATAATGATGAATGCTACAGTTTAATATTTCTATAAAAATTCTGATATTGGAAGTGATGAAATTTTAAGAAATAGTGGTACAGTTAGGAAGTCATGCAGTGCCCCAACATTGTGTTCTTGCTCTCCAGGATAACATGTTAAACTTGGTTTTACAGCTGGAGTACAGAGACCAAGAGAGAAATCCATATCCCCTTATGCAATCCACCTTCCTGACGTCAATCACTTCCATTTCTTTTAATTGGTTAAAGGTTATTTTTAGAGCTGTCCTCCAACACATCTTGGCCAACTAAAACAATGATGATGTGCTCCATGTAAATTTGCATACACAGCTCTGCAACAGAAGGATGGCAGAATCAACAGACTGTAAAACTAAATGAAGGAATCTACATCTAAAAACCACAAACACTACAAAAACATTTAGGGCCTGATTAACTAAAGGTTGGGCGCAAAGAGGATTGTGTCTGTCAAATTAGCAAAACAGCACACACAATCCATTTAACGTGTTTGTCTTTATGAATATGTAGAATGTATTAAGATTATCATAACAAGCAAAATGTGCACAATGTGATTTATGAAACCCTGACGTAGTAGATAGTAGATCACCCGTAACACACCCACAAAAACAAGGTTTTACTGTCAACATTAATGTTAACTTGCGTCGATTTTAAACAGATTGAATTTAATGGATTCATAGTTAACATAGTTATATTTAAAATGAAATATTCCCACCTCCGGTTATTGCATTATCAGTCAGCTGGCTTCACATTAACTGGACATTCTGATGGTATCACTGTAATGGTTGATTCAGTTTCAGCTAATCTTTCTGAATCAAATGCTGCCAAGATGTGTGTGCCTATTTTTCTGATGATGTCTAACTTTTTCTTTTTCCTTTCTTTCAACAAAAACTGAGCTTCTGCTGGTTTACGGTCAGAATTACTGTTCAGGTTTTGCACAAAAACCTTCAAGCGAGCTGTATCCTATTTGCAGATTGTAACAGTTTGTTGAACATAGCAAACACTGTCCTGCGGGATCTTTTCAGGGGCAATGCACAACCATTTATGGCATCTTAAAAGGTCAACATTGGGCAGCCAGAACAGTCGCATTGCTGCCAAATCTGTTGGACCAACGAATCCAGTAACACAGCCAATGTGCTGCCTGAGATTGGCAAGTGCAAACCTGTCAGCTGAAACTCTATCATATTATTTATCGACTTCATGTCTGTGTTATAACACAATAAGATGGTAACCATGGTCACCAAAGTGTTATTGCAGACAGATCTCCCAGGAGCTTTACTGCTGCCTCCCACCACAAGTTTCAAACCACTAAGTGTGTGAGAGAGAGCGAAAAGAAAACATGAATTAAGGACACTTGGAGATGGATGGACAGACCCTTCAGTGAGTGACTAGCACAGCGGGCAGAGTCTCCTGATACATGTCGATGTACGGCTGCAGTTTCATCTTTGATAGACCCCCTTCTTGCTCTCTGACAGGGGGACTCGAGCAAAGAGACGTAGGGTCCCCAAATTGCCTCACCTAACCTTGGCAATCTCCAGCCAGCCTGCGCCTCTCCATTAATGTGCTGATAAATGACTTCCATCAAGCACGCAGAGACCAGCTCCCTGCGCCAGTAACTTGGCCACTTGTCAATTATGATTATTAATCTGTTGCGACCCTACCATACCACCACCCCACCTGCTACAAGCCCCCACCGGCCCTCCTCTCCCTAGACTTGATACGGCCTGCTTGTCAGTTGCTAAATTAAATTACTTTGGAATAACTGATGGCGTGTCCAGATCCATCGCTCCGATAGCAGCAAGCATGCTCCTAATCCCCCCTGCTGTTGGCTGCACTGAAAACAGGGGGATATTTAAATCGATGAGGGCTCATATTGGTTCTGACAGGCTTGGCTTTTGTTAGGTGGGGCAAGATGACAACTCCTTATCGACTGCAAGGGTGCTCTGAGATTCATCGAAATGCTGTTTCTATTCAGGTGCCATGTGCTTTTTTCTCTGCTGGAAGATTCTCCAAACAGGCTCCAAATCAAAAGGAAACTCTTGACAGACTTTGTACCCAAGCCGCTAATTATTGAGGGTCAGCACACTAATGCGTGTCTGCAGAGCCTGTCTCCCTCCATACTCATGCATAATGAAGACATTTCTGTAACCTAGAGAATTAAGTATGCTGTCTTCCTCAGTTCAGCTTTTCAGTTTTCACTCTACCACCCCTATCCTCCTCCTAAACACATCTTGTCTTAGATGTACATTTTGTAACTCTGTCACTCTGCTTGTTCTCCTTCAAACGCATGCCTCATCCCAGGAGCTCTCTGTCCCGGCATTCCCGTCCCTAGCTGCCTCATTAATGAACTGTAAATACTTTTTGCTATGCAGCAAAATTGATTGACTGGCGAACCAACAGCACTGGGTGGCTCCAGAGGAAACAAGAAAAAACCAAGACTTATGTACCGGGAAGAAAGATATTTTATGTAGGATTGGTTTACCACTGGCTTAATTTGAAACTGTCTTTCCTGTGAAGATATTGGAGACATGAACATAAAATTTAATTGTGTTGATGTCAGGACAGTACCAAGTATATATAGTATCTTGTCTGAGCATGTTTGCCCGGTATTAGCTTTCCTCTGTCGCCTTGTCCCTGCACACTTGGACTGCAAATCCAATTAATCGAACAAAAACCAGACTGTGTATCTCTGACAGGGTGTCATATTTACAATAGCCTGGCTGTCTGAAGTGTGATGTCTCCACTGCTAAGTCACGGCCAGCCAAGTCTCTGTCAGGGCTCCCATAAGAAAAAAAAAAAACCTTATTCAAAGCTCCAAACACCATAGTACATTAAAGGAAGCTTGAAGCAGATCGCCCTGAGGCAAGATATCACCCTCAGCCTGCCTCTTTAGGAGAATAATGAATGGATGGCATAACTAATCCCACTGCAAATTTACAAAAAAAAAAGTATATCTAGTTGGATATGTAAAATGTCTCGCTCTAAGTGAGCTGACCATCTCATCTCTTTTACAGAAAGCTCTCATAAGTGCCGGTAGTGTTTCCCCTCAGGAGGTGATAAAAGTGAGAGCAAAGAAATTAAACTGGACTGGTGTTAACACAAATCCTAAGATTACCTCATTTGTATAAATGTAGATTTGCAGCCTCCTGTCCTGTTTTGAAGAGAAAAAACAGCGGTGGATGAATATCTGTAAGCCACACTTGGGCAAAAGTGCATTTCACACTGAACCGAAAGTTGGCTATCTATACAACATAAGCAGAAATCTAAATCAGATGTTTACTGTATTCAAGCTACAAAAGTATAGTTTCTTCTATTGGTTGTACTTGGGTAAAAGTCAAAGTACAACTGGTGCAGTGTGAAGAAATGGGAATCTTTGACAATGAGATTCTAGATGGAAACACTTTCCTGCTCAACCAACTTGACAGTGAGGTGACAGTGAGGTGGCTGAGGACAAGAAGCTCCCTGTAATGTAAAATACAGTATGATCCTCCATTTGCCAAGTTTTTACTATTTGAAATGTCTATCAGATTCTTTGGTAACACTTTACAATAACCATAATTTATAAATAGTAAATAGATAGTTTATTAATGTTGAATCAACACTTCTAAACATTATATAGACCAATTATAAATGGCAAATAGATAGTTTATTAATGTAAGTTAATAGTTACTTTACCATTAACAAGCAATGAAATTGTGATTAATAATTTTCATTAATTATCAACAGACTATTTAAAGGTTTATATAGGGTTTACATATTGGTTGTAAAACATCTAGATTAAAATGTGTATCAGTAGCACTTTGTAAATGGTTAATATTTGTTTTTTTAAACCATCTATAAACATTACTTAGATGGTTATTGTAAAGTTAGGGTTAGGTTTTTAAAACTACAAAATTTACAATTTAATTAATGGTCTATATGCTATTTATAAATGATGATTAAACATTAATAAACTATCTGCTTAATATTTATAAATGGTCTATTTACCATTTATAAGTTATGGTTATTGTAAAGTGTTACCGATTCTTTTGTACATTGGCTGCTATCCTCTTCTTTGTTACCCAACTGGTGCGTTTTGCACGACCACTCTCTAAATACAAAAAACATGCATGTTATGACTGCAAGATGACAACCTCTTTGGAAGAACCCACTACTAAAATGCTTCTTCTAAGTTACAGAAAACACATGATTTAACTGATTTAAAACATGCGTATGGATAATTTATTCCATTTCTACCAAGTCTGTTCTGATAAATGCTATTAAATGCTTCAAGTTGTACCTTTAAGGATGTTAATCGTGGTCAAAAATTTCTGGAAATGTGAACTGTATTTTTACTGTTGTGGAAAGAAAATGGAGCTACCGGAAGATCTTGATAACAAAAGAGCTTATCATCAACTATTCAACCTTTGCCACGTAATGTTTTTAGTATAATAGAAGAACTGCCACTCTTTCACTGGAGAAGCTGGTATTAATACAAATGAAGTCTCTACCTCTGTCATGTATCCAGTATCACCACTGAGTGATATTCCACTCACGTGGTCCTTACCTGCTCTCATCTGACATGTCTGGACTTGGCTTAATGGATAAACCGGGCTCTGAAATCCTGTGATTTCACTTGTTATTCTGTGATGTTTTTAGGCTTGTCTGCATCTACAGTGTTGAATTACTGTTATTCTCAGGCTTTGACCACTTAGTTTCCATTCATTTTAAAGGCATATTTTCAGTTTTCAGAACATTTTGTAGGTCTAGAGCTGCTAATGCAAATGCTATGTCTTTGTAAAATGCTATTTTATCAGCGCAAGTATACCGCACAGAGAGTACCTTACTTAGCACAGACTTAATGGTCACTCCTAAGGGAAGAGGTTTTATTGCAAAAAAATATCCTTAACCTTGCAACTGGAAGTGTTTGGGAGAAGCTCTCTGAAATTGAGATTTTAGACTGCCAAAGCAAAACCAGCTGTTATACTGGACCAAGGCCCTTAGTCTGCCAGACTCTCTGATGAAGGCAGTAGCATTCATGGTGATGGTCTGATACTTAAAAACAACAAACTGTTATTCAACCTCCCATGCATAAATACACAACTTTACAGCAGAAATACAGATAAACAGCCGTATACTTATTGCAGTCTATACAGGCTGTTTCTTTGTTCATTATAGAGAGCATTACATACTCTTGTGCGGCCTTGCTTATAGTCCAACTCTCCTGTCCTCTCTCCTGTTGTTGTATTTCAGCTGCAGTTCAGTCATATTTCAAAGCAGTCTGCTGAGATTGATTCCTGGTTCAAAGGCGAGAGGATGGCGGGGAATGGAAATAAAAAGACACAAGCTGCAGACATGAGTAGCAATTGTCTAACTAAGATTAATGCTATTTTGTTGTCACAGAGCTAATATAGCAAAACCTAAAATAAAAGTCATGCTGTAAAATACTTCAGGTTGATAAAGTACCATCCCATTATCAAGAGACACAGCTCTTAGCTGATCCATTAACAGTACATTAGTGGAGTATCTTTTTTTTGGCTCTTAATGACTCTTACAACCCAACGAGCTTCAAATAATTGTAATGATAGAGTAATGCCGTTGTAACCCTCACTCGTTTTTTTTAAGTATGACATAAACCTTTGCAGCAAAATGACCGTTATTGCTGTGTTTTAAGGGGCTCTTCACACAGATGTTTCAGTGCATAAAGAGAGGATGTCCTGCTGCAAAATCCCACTAAGAGGATGACCTGAATGTGTGGAAACATGCTAACTTCATTGGGCATCTAATGGACCCAAACAGAATACAGATACAGTGGTTTCACTTTGCACTGGAAGTCATATAAATGACTACTTGCTGAGGCATTATACCAATGTTTAATGATGCTGTGTCACTATTCTGCACAAGCATTATGGCCTTTTTTTTTTTGTTCCTTTAGGTTCTCTTTTTTCTGTTGCTGCGAGTGCTGAAATCCAGCTTCATCTCTGTGCAAACCTACACAGCCTTGCTCCCACTGAACTGTCATTTATTATGTAAGATACAGAGAAAGGCGGGAGTGATGATTTAATCAGAATGAAAGGTTTTTATTCTCTGTTTGGACTTTGCAACACGCCTTAGGTTCTACTCTGAGAGATGTCCATGGCTTAACTATGACATGATTTGTTTCATATTTCATTAGGGTACACTGTTGCCTAGTGCCTGCTGAAGTTTGCTAACAATGCAGAGTGGGAATGTAAAGCGTAACAGAGATAGGGAGGCGGTAAGGAAGTGCATGAATCTGTAATAAGGTACGATCTGTTAGGGAAGGATGGTGGGGGAAATAGTGAGCGGGGAAGAGCTTAAGTGCATCGTTGACAAATTGTCACCATGGCATCAAATTGCATGTTGGGAAAAGGAGTGGAGAGGAGACACTGTGAAAGTGTAACCTCTGAGACAGAGGAGGGCGATCGTGTGGAGACATTTTTAAAATAATACATGACCCTACAAATAAAACAGAAGAGGAAGGACTTAGATGGGACAAGATTTACAGGAAGGGTTAAACCTCAATCATTTGGAGAACACTCCTCTTCCTCTTTCCCTCCTACCCCAGGTGACTAAATAGACTCTTGTCACCACACCAGAACAGGTTATCAAGGTATGAAGCCAGAATATTGTTTATCAGGGATGGTGTTTTCCTCCCTCGAAGATAAGAGGATTAGAAAAAGTAACAGATGTGATACCGTTCCCTCAAGAGACTGTTACGATATTATGATGAGAATTTGACTAAATTAACTTTAAAAATGTACAAACTTTTTATACACCTGAGATCCCTGTAATTTTGTTTTATCCTCAAGGGTACATCATTCATCAAAATAACTAATACACCAGATGTGCCTCTCTTAAATACACTTCAGAACTTGAAAGTTACAGTAAATAAGTTTTATCATGGATGAACAAAGAAGCGCCTCAGACCTCTTTGCTGACAGGCCTACGTGATGTTCTCTGGTTAAAATACCTCATCCTGCTTTCCTTTATGTGAAATACATTACAGGTGGGTAGATTGTAGCTGTTTGCATGGCAGCAGTGACCTCAAAATCACCTTTTTGTAAAAATCGAGACTGGATGAAAATTACATGGGGTCAGGATTTCCAACATGATGGCTGTCATCTTTTGAATTTCATAATGCCAGTATATGGATTTTAAGCTGAAAAGCTCTCTGTAATTCTGTGTTTATTTTCTCCACTTCCTGAAACCAACAATGCACAGTAGCTACGCAATCCTCGTACGCCCATAGGCTGTATCAAGTGTCAATCATAGCCCCCTAATAACTTTTAAAAATGGAGCTGTACAGAAAAAAAGAGGACTTGAGCACAAACCAGTCTGACAATAACTTTATGTCAACAACGCAAGCAGGGGGGAGAAAAAAATTATATTCTGCGTAATAAATTTCTAAGGTTTGTCCACATCTTCATAGGGATTGCTGGAGGAGGCAGGATTTATGACCCATACTGCCTGTACAGTAGATTTCAAAGATGCAAATGTGCAAAAATGTACTACACGAAGATAGAATCAAGCTGGCAGCCTCTCGCAGGATTTTATTTTAGTTACAGCATCAAACACAACTCATGACAATCAGAAGGACAGTGGAAGCCCAAACAATCCCCCGAATCCCTACCACTGTTCCTTCTTATACTTCCCAAATGGCGTCATTAGTCCTATTCCCGGAAACGGCCTTCACGTTGGTATCTGATAGCCAACCACATGATTTCTTCTGTACACATTTTTTTGTTGGCCAGCTCTGCCCAATTTCCCCTCTGGACAGCTGAAAGTTCACCATCACCTGGACTCTCTCTGGCTGTATCCTGTATGCAGTTTTGCGATAGCTTTGCTCCAAAAACATGTCTATGATTCGCTCCCACACCCGTCACCAGGGTGTGCTGTTCTCAGGATGGTCTCACCAAGCGAGGAGGTAGACGCTGTCCATTCTATATACAGTCTATGAGATTTCCAACATGATGGCTGCCATCTTTGGAATTCATAGTGCCTGTGTAGAAACCGATGAGTGACATCACTGAGTCTAAGTCCATAATAAGAGCTATGAGATCCCTGATTTAATGATGTGACTCCTCAGCAAACATGAGTCCCAGGTTTACAGAGGGATGACGTTTAAGTCACAGCAGGTAGAAGTTCTTTATTGTTTGTTTTGCAGCGCAACGCTGAGGTCTATCCTCATACATGCTATACTCTGGTGACCTCACATTGTATGCATGAACAAATACAGGTCCCCTGGATTTACACAGACCTTTAACTCTCTCTCTCTCGTATTGTTTTTCTTCCCATGATTACAGGAGCACACAAGATCACAATCGATGTACATTCAAACATTCATGTGGCTCTCCCAGAGGTCTCAGGAGGCAGATAAATGTCATGCTGAGCTTATCAACGTTGTTTGGTTTGAACTCCACTGCTACTGTTATTTACATTGACATTTATTGATCTCTAAGCATGAGAGGTGTGGGAAGGCTGAGTTTTCCATTACAGGTTGAAGGCTTTATCTTCAGATACAGTTTAATGTTGGTTGCTGACTTTGTTTTATCGGTTTGTAGATATGTTGAAATGCTCATACAAGTCCAAGTCCCACCGATTTGATGGGAAATCAAATAAATGAGAGTCATGGAGCGTCTGCAAAGGTATTCAAGCACAGAGTGACATGGGTGGTGTATCTTAGGTGCTAATGTGAATCTCTAAGAGAGACTGTCATGCAGGGACAAAAAAGGTTGCTTGCAGCTGATATGACATCCTGGTATGCTTAAAGAAAAAGGTGCAGATACACCAAGAGATTCAATTTCCCATACATACCAAGCTCATTTCAAGCACTACATACTCTCAGTTAGAGATGGGATTGATGGCTCTTTGAAGGGAACTGGATCTTGAGGAGCCGTTCGAAAGACTGGCTCATTTAATTTAAACAACCCACCAATATATATTCTTTTGGTGGAAATTATTCAGAAACATTAATTATGATTTCATTTAGCTTGTGTTGTCATTGTAGAGAGATCACTATTTTGAAGTTTTCTCTTACCCGAAAAACTTTGTGGTACAATAAAAACTACGCAAGCTACAGATAACAGATAAAAAATTAAGACATGATAAATGTGAATGCAAAATTGTATAGCCCTACTTGGTAGGGTGACCATATTCTGAATCCCCAAAAAGGAGGACATGACTACGCAGGGGCGGAGTCGCACAACATTAATCTTGAGAGTTTTTGGGTTGGATTAAGTGTCTTTTACGCGCTTCTAACTCAATAAGTCCATGTGACACAAACTTGAAACTTCTGTAACCGCAGACATTTGAAGGATTTTATAAACTTCCCTGGATAGAGCCGGACAAAGTTGGACAGCTCCCCAAAAAAGAGGACATGTCCAGGTAAAAGAGGATGTATGATCACCACCCTACTACCTGGCATTTGGGGCACACAGGTGACACATAAATGTAGCGTGGGCAATTTGCATATTAGAACGTTTTGAAAACAAACACCTCGCCACTGTGAACCAGTTCTAATCATTCACTTAAAAGAGCCGTTCAAATGACTGACTCGTTCACAAACGTCACATCTCTACTCTCAAAAACATTTAACATCTCTGAGAGCTTCAATTAAACTCTGTGACACACCCAATAAGGTTTGTCTCAATATTTGCAAAAGAATTAAAAGATTTTAAACCATTCTTATTTGTTTGACACATTTTGACTATAAAGAACTTGAGAGAAATGAAACTGTTGATATAATATGACAACGTGATTACAAGGATCCTCATTTGATTCGTCTTAACTCTCAGCTCTCCTTATCAGGGAGAAGAGCAGTCTCTTTATTCTTTTCCCTGCAGTGTTCATCAGTGCCCCAGTAAAGAAGATGGCTTTGTTCTTGCACTTATACAGTGCACTTATACTTATGCATAATCTATGTCACCTCTGCTTAAAGAGGAGGAAGAAAAGCAGTGCTTAATGCCTGGCGGCAGCTATGCAGCAGGTAGCAACACGAGTCCTTGTAAGAGTTCAGACTGCTTCAAAATTTCACACAGCCACTTTGACACAATTCCACTAAATTACAGCCTGAATGACTCTTAATGACAAAGACCTCTAATGGCAAAGAGCCTGCCTCGGCACAGAGACGAGGAAATAAGGCATTGATTGAATGCTGGAAATGACGCACTGGATTTATTGAGATAATACATTCCTCAGCCATGCTTTCTATCCATTAAGAGGAATTACTTAGACTGTAATGAGCAGGATATTATCCAGAGTGAAGCTATGGATGGATGCCTCTATCTGCAAAAGCTCCAAGATAACAGGCAAGTGACTTGGGGTGAGGTGATGTCATGACAATTAACAATGCTCATTGTTACATTTACCATGAATAAACCAAGCTCCAACCAGACATAGATGGTTCCTGGTCGGAATAAGTGAATATAGCTCTGCAATCCACAGCAGTATCAGACTACTTTGAATGTTATATGTAGATTAAAGGCATGGTTGACGATTGGAGAGATTGGTCATTTTTATAAACCTCGTTTATATGGCGATCATGGTCCTATAGTGCGATCTCCACAAAGCAAAGAGAAAAAAAGAACGGAAAAGAAAAAATGCATTCATCCTAGCAAGTGCAGGGCTGCAAAAACATTGACCAATGGGAGCCATGCGTCCCGGACAACTCCCATTGGTCAATCTCCTACTCCGCCTCTCCATCCAATCACCTGCATTCAACACACTCCCGCTGTTCCAACTCGTCCCCTCCCACTCTTCCGGCCCTTCTTAGAGCTCTGAGCAGCTAAAAGTAGCATAGCAGCTTAGCTACATGAGCTGTGACGATGAAGGACGCAAAATAAAACTAATTTTTGCCTCTCATTGTGGCACGTTACATAAATAACTCTTATTAGTCTCTGCATTGTCAACACGGTAGCTGTCCAGGCAGCTGCAGACGGTACTCGCTAGCAGAGCTGGCATTTACTGCTGCTAGTCACTAGCAATCCAATATGGTGAATCCTATTTGAAGCTAGCGTAGGATTTTCTGTCGGCCGGCTTCTTGCTCTGCCAGAGGGGGTGTGTCGTGGGGAGGGTGATAGAGGTTCGGGTGGGGGGTGGTTTGATTGATTTTTCAAATTGCGTCATCTTCATGCCCCAACCCCCTAAAGCTCCTGGACCTTTGAAAAATACTACCCCATGGCTTTTTTAAGGGGTACATCAATTACCCCATCAATTAAATTTAGACCCTGGTACATGCTTTGAAAACCCACATAGTTCCTCATAAGGTTCCCAGTGCCTGGGTAAAGTCCCTGCTGTTGAAAAGTAGCCATGCAACTGCAGGTTGAGCTTATACCCTACAGGATTGCAAACTCCACATGGCAAAAACAGATGGAGCTACAAAGAGCTGTGAACAATGTTGAACATAAAACAGACCACATCTTCCATACCCAGGTCTCTCATGATCATCATAATTGCTCAAGTGTTGCAATAGGTTCTATTCAACCCTTAATGAAGACTCGAGGTGCAGCATAAAGGATCTGCACTCTGACAAGACAAAGGCAAACAGATTGGTCTCGGTTACAAAAGTCCTTACTGAATAAATTTAACAGACAAAACAAACAAACGTCTCAGTCCATCCTTGATTTCTTTGTAATGCTTTCAACGTGCACCCTTCTACAGTGGTTACTATACAGGTCCCTCATTGAGGACTGGGCATCTCTAAAGCCTACGGATGAACTGTGAATGCAAAAAACACCTGTTACATTACCATAAAGGATGACATCCCACATTCTTATACTGATATAAATACAAATGAATGTTCAGGCACCTAATATAGGATACACTTGCACAGTATCATAGTGCAGATCAAGTCTGAGTCCTCAGTGCTTGAATCAGTACATAACATCAAGACTTGTTATATATTGGGCATATATTTTAGGACTTGCTTTGTAACATTTTGTTCTAGTTTTTTGAGCAAAAGTTAGAAAATATGTGAAAAAGACTCTCCTGGATTGCTAAAATGTAAATCACACATTCACAACCCATTTGATTAACACGGGCTGTCACCTCTACATAGAACTTTTTATATTATCAAGGTAGAGAATATGCACAGTAAGGTTGAATCTCTGAATATTAATACACGTAAAAGTAGTAGAGGACATACAGTAACCTTACTCCCTGAAACATTTCATAGTTCACATGTCTGTAGCGGAGCTGTACAATTTTATAAACACCGCACATCACTCTGGACTTGGAAGCCTTTTTCTGAACTTGGCATTTAGACTCTGTCAACATTTTCAGTCCTGCTGTGCCCCTGTGATATCTTCCTGTGTCTTAGATCTATTTCCATTACACGACACAGAGAGTAGATGTTTGACTGAACTCAAAGGGCAATTATACCATGTTCTGCATATTCTCTTGAACTTCTTCCGGTCACTTCGCTCAAAATCTTCAAAGCACCTGGTAAGAAGAGATTTCAATCAGCTCCCAGCACTCTCGCTTCATTAAATCGGAAATGGAGAACAAGAGCTTTCTCAGACAGATTACATCAAAATAATGAGTTCTTTAAATTGCCTATCACAAACTTCAACTATCAAGTTATTTGTACGGCGGCAGTTCACTGTAGTTCAAACAAACTGAAAGACCCATTAATTCCTGCTGTCTGGACTCTTAATATACCGAGGCGCTGAGGTCTACTCTGCAGGACGTGCCTCTATCAGCAACCACATGAGGCTGCAAAGCACATGATGAGCAAGATACCACTGTTAAAGTCAAGATACTTGATAGACATTTAACCTTTTAACTTTTAATTCTTTTAAATTAATTCTAGGAAATAACAACTCAAATATTTTGAGATTCTGGGTTTCTGGTTGTTGTGAACATTTTTCCTGAAAACTTTTATGCATGATGGCACTACTTGTGAAGCTCTCAAATGTTTTTAATCGGAAACCTGATAATCTTCAGAGGACTGTTGTCTTGTTTATTGTACATTTTACCCCCAATCTCCACCGCATCCGGAAAGACTACGAAAAGGCCATATTCGCCGATTGTAGCTGATCGTAACCATTCAAGTTAATGTGTCAATTTCCACCGCCTTCTTTCCGTTCCGCGGTGGATCGCCGGACTCCGCAGCTGATCGCAAGAGTTCTACTTTTTCCGGATGCCGGAGCATGCAAGATAAATTCAGCACAGATTAATATGTAAACGGGCGGGGATGAGCAAGTGAAAGGTTAGCCTTTGTGGCTAGAGACAATTTGTTATCACCCAATTGCAAGTGAATCCACGGCTGCTTGTGAGTTCTCGCGATTCCCGGTGTCCGTAATCCACCACGAAATTTGCCACACAAACAGATCCGGTAGAAATTGGCGGACGACAAAAATCGCTGCCATTTCGGATTGGAGGCTTTCTAGATACGGTGCAAATTGGGAGTTATACTACCACTCTTTTCCCTTTTAGTAAAGTTTTTTATTAATTTGGTGTGGTACAGCGCTGTAAAGAGCCAGCTTTTGGACAGCAAATTTATACTTTCTTAATACTGATTGAAAATGTTTTAAGTGGAATAAAATGAGATAAATAAAATAAAGTAAAATTACAATATTTAATTTATTTTATTTTATTCCATTAAAACATTTTTGTATATGTCTAATAAGTCTGGAAAAAGATAAATTGTTTTTAATTTTTTTACTTTTTCATAGTATTCCAATTACTTGAGTTGCACCTGTACTTAAAAAAACAAAATAACCAATCCTTATCAACCTCTTAAAAGAAGTATGACTGTTGGTTTTGTTTTGGCATTGAGTCCTGGTAATATGGGTGTAATGATGCACCCATATCTCTGACTGCCACATAATGTAGACAGACACACTCATCACACTACCTCACTTGGCGCATTAAGACCACAAGATAGAGAACAACAGAAATGCTGCTGGCAGGGTGTCTAGATCATCATTTTTACGTGTTTTGGCAGTTCTCATTGTACGGATCTTATCACTTAAAATAAAAGGGTCAGCCACCATGAACCAGAGCAAGGAACAGCCAAGAAGGCTTCAGTCTAGCCAGTCTGTATCCTTATCCGTAATATGATAAGATCTCAATGTCAGCAGTATCATCTGTCTGTGTAAATTATCTTTATCAAGAAGGTTAAAGGGACGCTTCAGGAACACTTACAGGTGTAATCTCATCTAAATGAATCTGCCTTAACCTGAGTGTGAAATGTGTTCAGCTGCCTCTGAGAAGAGATCAAAGACCTAATTGAAAATTACAGGAGAGAAGTTAAAGGTAGGATTACATGATTACAGGATTACACATTAATCAATTTTGAATAGTACGCTTAGATCATACTTCTGGTTTCTCTTTTCAAACATTTCATTCCAGTTCGTTCGCTTAAATCTTCAGGGATCGGGGTGGGGGGTGGGGATTAACATCTGTGTTTCACATAAACACAAAATTAAAATAACTCTTATGGTGCGTTCACACCAAGCACGTATAGAATCATCCATGCAAGTCGATGACATGTTAAGTCAGTGCAAATCAGATGCGATTAGACGCAAGTTCTTCTAGGGTGACGCTAATAAGTTGCAGCGAGTAGCACAGATTGAGAGGACTGTTTACATGAATTACTCGAATTCGCATCACATCTGACACGTTACTCGCTTCAAACACTTATTCACAAGAGTTAAAAAATCTGAACTCGGGGGACTGTTTGCACCCTGATAACCAATCAGCGTGGAGATGCCCTGGTGATGTAAGTCAAGAACAGACCAGCAGAGATTCATCCATTTGGAGGAGTCAGGAGTCAGGAGTAAAAAAGAGCTCAGCTGGAGGAAAGTCAGTGAGGTGGTCTGAATATTTTACAATGTGATCGACCTCTGCTATGTTCGATGTAAACAGTCTGACCTGACACGCAGAAGCCCCTCCTCTCATGTGTGTTTCGGCACTCTGCAGATGTAAAATAAATACATGAATGGGGCAAGTCATTCGCACAAATCAAGCGAATAAACACACAACATTCCCACGTCCAGAAATGCAAGTAGATAATCTTATTTGCGCTTGGTGTAAACGCATTAGACTACAGTGAATGACTTTAAATGATCTCAAACAAGACGTCATGACTTGATTTATAAAATCGCCAGTTTTTTCTTTAACAAACTTAAAAACTCATGGTTTCCTGTTTCATTCCCAACCGTTAGACTCCATTAAACAGACAGCTTTCAGCCTGTTTGAACAGTCTAACCTTACAACATTGACACCAGTGTAAAAAGTTTACAAATCCACTCCTGGGGTGCTCTCTGTGAGTGCTTATCTCAGGTCTTCTTAACCTTTAGCCTTAGAGTTTAACTAATCTTTACATGATCAATAACAGTTCCCTCCAGGCTCTCTCACCTTCGCATGAGAGGAGAAGTTCGAGCCGTCTGTCTGTGCAGGGAAATCATTCATTCCTGTTGACTCAATGTCAGAGTTAGGAGCTTTAAAACACCTGCCTGTGCAGCAAAGTTCCAGGCTTTGGGAGGACTAACTCTCAATCTTTGAAAAGTAAGAGGATCTTTATACTACAGGTGAGGCTTTGGGGCACAGAAGGATTTGTTTTGGGGCCTCTTAACTCATAATCATTTGATTTCAACTTTATGAGGTATTGTTTGACAGATTTAATCTTTTACATAAAATCTTCAATATTTTTTTTGATTTGGTCTCATTTTGAAACACACCTGCAAACTGAGACTTCACACTGTAAGTCTTAGTATCACATTGACATCACCCTCAAACTTTAAGTTTGGTATCTCTGTCATGTAAATCTTGGTTTCCTGGCGCCAAAAGTAACAACATTCAGCCTATGCATGTCTGCACAATGATCCTGATAAATGTAAATCTCTGATTTCTACTCTGTCTATACTTGTACCATCAAATTCTCTACCACCTGTTTTCAATGATTTTTTATTTAACACCTAAAAGCACTTTGACCTGCTCTGTGCATGTATGAATTTGTTTTGCCTATTAACGAATTGTACTGGTGTATCTCGCCACCTGCTGAATTTTAAACCCTGTGTTTACTCTTTCCTATAATTGCTTGTTACTGAAAACAGCTGCTTACAGCAATAAGAGCATCCGGGTAGGGGAACAAAAACATCCATCTAAAACTTAAAATAAGGCTTTAGAAAATTCTCTCAGCGGGCGCATGATTACAAGTGACCTCAAACAGCAGAACAACGACTACTGTGAAAAATGAGAACAGTCAGAACTTTGCTTAGCAAGAGAAACAGGTCTACAGGTTAAAGGAGCCCATTATGGTTATTTAAAGGTAAATAACTTTAACTGAGCTATCAATACATATTATTTTCATTAAATCATTATAGTTTAAGCTCTTATGAATTCACAGCTACAGCCAATGTGCTGTAAAACTGAATAACTTCAGTTTTGAACTTGTCAATTTCTTGTGTAAGAAGGACTCATGCTGCGATCCACAAGTACTCAGAAGTTGGGATTTCTGAGCTCTGAGTCTCGAACGTCCCCCTGAACTTGGATTTCTGATTCAGAAAGACGGATGATCCTCACCAACCCCAACTTGACGATGACATCATAATCCAAGATGGCAGCGCAGTACATTAACAGTACAGTGAAAGCTCTAGGAATAAAAATAATAAGAATAGAATAGCTTTATTAATCCCTGAAGGGAAATTCAATTGTTGTCTGACATAATATGTCTCCAAAAAAGTTATCTACCATTAACACAAGAATTGTGTAAATTCTAATTGTTTTATTTATTAGCACTTCTGTTTTGTTTCTGTGAAATTGAATAAGTGGTATATGTTGTACTGCTCAACGTCTAACTGTGAACACTGAGCTATAGTGTTTGTTAGAGTAAAATACTGCTTTATGCGTTGTTTACGACTGGTATAGCTAGCAACAACTAACAGCTGACAACCGCTAAAAATGACTGACAATGGCTAACCACAGCTGAGAATTTTAAACAACAGCTAACAACGGCTAACAGTAGGCGTCTGTCTTGGTTTTCAACTTGTTAACCAGAACGCCGTCAACCCAGGTGTAACGACATTCCGACTTCCAAGGTAATTGGAACGCAGCATTACACTGGATATAATGATCAGTTGTGTTTATGGTTAAAAGTAAAAGCATGAAAACATTCAGTTGCTTCTCTGTTTACAGGTTCAAGAAAAATAAACCAGCAGAAGTGTCTGGTGTTATACAATCAGAATAACTGCAGATCAAGTATTCATATATGGATCGTCACTATGTGAAAAAATTGCTTTGCTTTTTGTTTTCTTTCAGTTATCCTCTGAGCTCAGAAAAGCTGGCTCTGCCCATCACTAAGAGTGTCCAGGTAGCAGGGGGGAGCAGGAGGATATTTGTAAGTTAAACTTGTTTTCAATAACAAAAACTCCACACTCTTTCTTTTTAAACTAATTCTGTTCAAAACTTTGCTGACTCACCAAATGCTGCACAGCAAAAACCATCTGTTGTCATTTAAGTTTCATTTGCAAGTGGATCGATCTGGTTTACTGCAACCCAGATGCTCGGAGGAGAACTGAAAGCTTTTGTCTACTGACATCTCAGTTCTTCCTCGGGAGCATTAATATGACCCAGTTTCTCATTGTGGATTTCTAGGGATTTAACTGTGCAAGCTAAGATGCAATCTTGAGCAGGAACAGAGGCGTTACAGGAAGCAAAAAGTGCCAAGTGACTGCGATGAAACGGACGAGCCTTATGCCACACAAGTGGAGCCCACCAGAAGCACAAAAGTCAGGCATGGAGAAAACATGTAAGTACCAATGGTTTATGGGTATGCCAAATCTAGCAGGTTGCTTTGTTTCCTTCAAGTGATCATAAATATTCTTCCTTGAGCTGCGTCACCCCGCTGTAGTCCATAATGGACTGGCCTGAGGTCTCCCTACAAACAAGCGGCTGCTGGAAGAGAGTGGGTGAGAGAAGTAAGCGGTCGGCAACATTCATCTCTTGACGGGGTGTCTAACTCGGAGTTATGGTGTGTATGACCCTAAATTAATTTCACGCCGGAATATCCCTTTAAGTTTTACAGCGAATACGTCAGCGTACAATAGGTCCAGTGTACACACAGCAGCATTATCATGTAGTGGTTTGTGATCACCTGAAAAATGAACCTGATACTTTTTCATTTCCTGGATTTAAACATTTTATTTTGGTGTTTGTGAATTTTGAAAGATTTATCTTTCTGAGTGGATATCTTGTTTCTCTCTGTATCTGGACTGTGGCAAGACCTGTACCAGTTAAAGGCCACAACACTTCTTCCATGCCACTTCTCCAGTCTCTCAATCAGTATGCTCTAAAGCACCGTATCAAAAAAAAAATATTAAAGGCTCCAGAAGAACCAGGAGGGAGCACAAAGAAGCAGAGGTTGTAGTGATTGAAAGGTATATAATCCAACTGAAAGTTAGCAGTAGCAGCTCTTTCTCTCATTCAGCACATTAAATTCATTCAATTCACAAAGAAAACCAAATTTCCTATCTAAAAATTTACCCAGGCACATTATCTAGGACACTGTTATTAAATTTTGCTCAAACTCATTTTAGGCACATTATTCTCAAGAGCTCTTCTCTCACTCATAACTGTGCCTGTTTCTCCTTTCTCTTTTTTTGTTCGTTTAACTCCCTTGTTGGAAGCGTACAACAACACAAACACACAAAAAGATAAAGAAAACTATTCTGCTAAACTGCTTTTCATTTGAATAATGTCGGCCTACCTGCATAATTACCCACATCACAGGCTGAGGATAATTATTTTGCAAATATGGTTCAAAACACAAATTCCTCTTGCATCTTTTCCTCTTTTGAATTTAACGTACCGTAGATTTGCAAATCCCATTCGGGGAAATTCAACAAGCAGAGTACAGCTGCAATTATGACACTTTGTGACGGATGCAGATGCACACCGATTTTCCTCTGGACATGATGCTCTTATCAGAGTGTCCTCACAAAGACTACAAGGTACAGCCATGGAAATATGAATACTATTCTCCAAGTCACACAATGGATGCTAGCTGTAGGATTATTAAATGTCATGACAAATTGGCCCTGAAGTGATGGTGATTTAGCCACTGTACACACAGGTACATGGTTCAGGAATATCATGCAGAGCAAAGCCCCCTTAGGACGTGAGAGGGAAAGATCCAAGCTATCTGCTCACACCAGCCATGACCTCATCTCCCAGAGGCACCTCAGTCATTTCTTCAAATGTCATCATGAGAGCCACATTTCCTTACTTGAATTTGTCTGTAAAGCCTCTAGAAGTTGAGGTTGACTCAAACCCCTTTCACACATGAACTTCTTATTTCTCCAAATTGTCCAGAAGGATCCAGTGGGACTGAAAACAACCATATCTGGTGACCAAAACTTTAAAGTCCCTCTCTGATAATTTTTTTCTTTTACTACTTAAAGTGTTCTCAATGGTCTTTAAATCGTGATTATGAAGTTTTTACCAAAAATTGCGTAACCTGTGTCATTTTTAAGGGCTTTTCTTCTGCAGAGCTCCTGTAGATCATTAGCAGTTCACCTCTGAGTCGTGGGCAGAGACAGCGCAGCTCTGCAAACATCTCATCACGCTAGTAGAAGAAGCAGGTAACATAGGAGCTATTAAGCTCTTGGACACTAATGTCTTTAGGGGGATGATGAAAGTTAATATCATAATTTGCTTTCTTACGACCATTGCAATTCACTATTTTCATTGGAATTGGTCTTTAAGCAGGCTGACTGTCCCCTTTATTAAGACCGTCCCTTTTTGGATCTTTTAAACATGTTATTCCTACCTGTAAGAGGTCTTAATCTTTGATAATGTGTCTGGATATTTGTTTAAATCTGCACAAAAACTTGAAAGACATGTTTAGTTTGATATCACAAAAGGTACAAGTCTGGACTATTCAAGCAAACAGACCAAATTTTGCCACAAATCCTTATTGAAAAGAAGTTCCCCTGCTTCATACTCTATACTGCTCAGCACAGTTGTCTGTCATATACTTCCTACTGCTGTGTTTGGGCTGTGAAGCATCCTTGTGATATTTACCTAGAAGGAGAGCTCATTACTGAAGACTGCTCCTCTTCCTCCTCCTGCAAAATCGATCAGAGTATTTGAAGTCGTATGAGCCCTTCCAGCACTGAAAATCTCTCGCTGTGATGTGCATATGTGAGAGGTAGCTGAGAGGGAAATACTAGGACCTAGATGTTCTGAGATCTCAAAAAGGAAAGAGTAGGTGAAGATCAATGTTGATTTCATTGATAAGATAGTTTTCAAGCCCAACCCCTGAAGAGACAATAGCCAAATAAAATCTAAGGCATGAGGATAAAAACAGTGAAATAATGGATTGACACCTTTGACAACAAATTAATATGGGGCAAAAACCTCTGGCACCGACTAGATTTCACAAGTACAAACATTCACAGGCTGCAGTGTTGCTTTACAGATTTCGATTAGCTAATGGAAAGGATGAGTTTAAATGTTTAATGACTAAAATATACTATCAAGAGAAAAAAAAGACAAAATTATGAATAAAATACATGGCATTGTAGTTTAATGACTCAAGCAAATTTTTAAAAACTAAAAAAAAATATCACCAGTGAATAGGTGCGATGCCAAAAAATAAAGGTTTTATCAGTGCCATGAAGTACTAATAGCTTTTTTTTTTATTAAAAAAAAAAAAAAAAAAAAAAAAGGAATAAAACCGGAAATGTAATAACTCACACAAAATGTAACAAGTTACTACATTTTGCACAAAAAATTATAACATTTTGGGCTTAGCTTCTTGCTACATGATCAACCATTTTTATTAAATCAGAGTTCGTATGCTAGTATGGAAAGTATGGGAAAGTATGGAGGTAATTTGATCAATTTCCAGGTTTTAAAAAGTATGGTAAATGAAAAATAAAGTATGAAAAAATATTTATGTTAACAGACTATATTACCACTGTTATAAAATAATGTTTTCTAAAATAGAAAAGTAGGTATTTCCAAAAATAATTCTAAAAGTACAGTATGGAAAAGTATTGAAATTCCAACTGGGTAGGAACCCTGTTGAATTTTGGGTCATTGTTAGATATTGGGCTCAAACAACCTCATACTCCTGTTTTAAACAGGACCATGATCGCTGGGTTGTTAGGGCAGTGTTACAGTTACAGTGTGTAACTTTAAAGTCAAGGTCAGGATCAGGGCGAGAGCTGAAACTCTCACTTCTGAAAATATTTATTTGAGCTGGTCTCTGAACAGTGAGTTATAAAAGGCTCCGATGACCATGGAATATTATGCATTTAGTTGAAGATTTATATGTAATGCAATGTTCCCAGAGAGACCACTTTTTATGCTTAAAGCAAAAAACAACAGACCACACTAACACTCAACGCCCACATCTGTCAACTCTTGGCCTGTCTCATTATCTAAGGGTGTTTACAGCCAAATTCTGCAGTGTGACTTTTGCTGTGATTTCATTCAGAATTAATTATAAAGTGTAAGCCACCTCGCAAAAAAGTTGTGTTCATAAACAACAGATTTGCAATCTCAACTTTATCACCATTTGTGGTGAAATGTTGTTAAATATCCAATTTGTAAAGTCATAAATTGGTTTATGCGAATCTTATCCTAAATCTGATTGATGGCCAGTTAATTTGTTATTTCTATTAATATACAGACAGTCTAGGAATGGTTTTCCAGTGCCTTTTGAACATACAGTAAAAACTACATTTAAGTGAAGAGCTACATCTGCTCTCCCTGGTTGTGCTGAGTGAGGACTCAGCTAAAACAATGATTCAGTTTGGTTTGCCTCATTACACATCTGACATGTGGGCAGTTCACTTTGTTCAAGGGTAAGATTTACCAAATGCTTGCTTGCACTGTTTTATGTCTCACAATTTGTCTTGGGGAGCAAATAAAAAAGCTACAAGCTTGTTGTGTTTGTTCAAGCATGGCTGCTCATCCATCTGTCAGGGAAAGGCTCTATATTACCTTGATCATTTCATTTTGTTAACACAAAAATCAGCCGCTGCTGCTGGGGGATATGAATCTACCAAGGACAGGAGAAGAAGAAATGTATGTATGAATGCCCTTTTTCATGTAATCACTGATTCCATGATGTGACATTTATTTCATATTTATGTTTTTTTGGTGTCAACTAAAAAAAAGGAAACATTGACTGTATTTTCTTCCTTTATAAAATGTTTGTTTTGAGTAGAGCTCCACAGAAGGTACATTTTGCTAAGTGTTTTGGATCTTAATTTAGTCCTATTCACTGGGGGATGATTGATTCCTCCCAAAGTCAAGGTGACATTAATTACAGAGGTCCTCTCTGATTGGGTAACAAAAGACGGTAACATTTACTGATTGGTTTGTGTTTGTCTGTCTGGAGGAAAAGACTGTGAGGTGAGCCAGCTTATTTTTCCGACTTATAATCAATTTTCCGCTTGTTGTCTGCAAAGCGTCTTTGGCAATATACCATTTTTTCCTCTTCTGAGATTTCCTTTGGTCACTGGGTGGAATAAATTCTTCTGAAAAAATCACCAGCAGCCATATTTACCCGACCTTTTCACCAACACTGCTTACCGTCTGCACACACACAAAGCTGTCGGTGATGATATGGCACCTCCTCTTTAAATGATGGTATAACCAAACTAATTAATTAAATATGAATTAGCTTAGAGTAAGAGTAATGACTGTAAAAAGGGGTATAGCTATGAAAAAATCAGTCTCAGCAAGGTAGGACAGGTTCATCTTGTGAAATGTCAATTTACAAACCTATAAAGGGTCAATAAATTAATCACATAACATCATCCATTTCTGATGATTTTTATTTGTGCTTAATTTATATCAACCCCTATGACAGACACTTATTTCGAAAAGAAAATTATGCCTTATTGGCCTGCAGTTAGGTTGTTTTATTTTCCATACTGTAGAAAAATGCTTTCATTTTGAAATGAAGTAACCTGTATGCACTACTTCTGGTAGATCCTGTATTACAGAACTGAACCAGGGCTTAAAAGTTGCTTAGAGAGTAGGAATGTTTGTTAAATTAGCACTCTCAAAAAGGCGTAAGGTCTTACAAAGTTTTCAGGTTACCACTAAATCTTAGAACATGAATTCTTTTAAATGTCTGCCCATCTCTTAAAGGGCAACTTTCACTAGCTAGCATGCAAGCTGTTTTCTGGCAACAAGCAAAAAGAATCATCTCCCATCGACAACAGATTAAAAAGAGGTTATTGCCATTACCTCTATATTTCTTCGTCCACTAATTCTATCAAAAACTAAGGTTCTCACCAGATTGTCAACAGGAAGAAATTCAGTCTTAATATTTTAGAAATTTGCTGTTCTTCTTTTGGTGGATTGATTATAAGGTGAAGTTTGCAAGAATTTCTTTTCAATTATTCAGTTGTAATGCTACTCAGTCATCACCCATGGGCCTCTGAGAGGTGGTGACTGTGCTCAGAGACTCTTTCCTCTTCCTGTATTTTGATGTTTGGCTTGACTCAGGATGTTTCAGGGCGAGGGAGTGGGCCTGGTTACCTCAGCCAATGACAACATGTACAGTGCACAAGTGACTTTGGGAGTTAAAGAATCTGATTGGACCTAATTCAAACTATGTAATATAGTCCAAATGAAATCAAGGCTGTTTTTCCACACAGAATTATGCTTGTCTGATGTGATTTGGCGGTCACATATAAGGATTTGTTGCTTCATACTTTTTATATATGTGGCTTAGTCCAATACTGGCCTTCCAATTGGAAGTTGAGGTCAACTTTCAAGGTACATAACAAAACATCCCTCTTCAGGTAGCTGCAGCACATCACCTGCCCTGCACAGAGTACTGGGTGGCTGATGGAGCATCACCTGCTCTGTCTTCTCTCACTTCCATCACTGTGAGCTTTGTAGTGATCCTTTGTAAAATTTACATCCTTATTTTGATTCTCTTTCACTGCTCTGTATTCAATAACACAGCAGAAAAAAGGGACTCTTAGCCACTAATGGGCTGTGTTATGAAATGATATATAATCTAATAGCCACAAGGGGATATTTACTATCAATCTTTTCAATAATCTGCCAGATGTTATAAGCACATATTTGAGGAAATATTCTTGCTGTGTATATTCAGAAGTTTCTATTATTTCCTAACCACTCTACAAATAAGTCATGCATGTATAACAAAAACACTACGCCAGGTAACCCAAACTGATCCCTGCGTGTGCCTGTCTCTGCTTTGTTCTGACCTGGGTTTAACCGGGCCTCACTTCCTCCACAGCGTGCCCTCACTTGGCCTTTACACAGGTGCTCTGCTCATCCATGAGACATGAGTGGTTTATGTCAGAAGACAAGACTACCTGCTCCGAAATAAAGACACTGAGCTGTATTGCTGTTGGCTTCTTGACAGAAAACAAAGCAGTGCAACTAGGCTGTGTTGTTGTCTTGATATATAATTGTTACTCTGTCTGCCAGCGGCTGAAGGTGAAACGCTTAGGCTATTTGTAGCAAATAACACAGCTGTTAGCATAGCCATCAACCAAATGCACATTGTCATTTGAAAAGATAATAGATTTGCTAAAATATTTACCTCATTACTGTTTTCCAGCAAAAAGTCAAGTATAAGGCTTTTAAATCCTTCCGCATTGCAATATGATGCCACACATGGTTAAAAAGCTAGGTGGGCGTGTTCAGAGGCAGAGTGATGGGGCGGAGCTACATTTGAATGTTTATCAACATTACAAAAGTCAATCAGTCCTGCAGACTCCACCTTTAATATTTTATGTGTTATCAGGGCTATGTCCTGGCTATTTGGCATTAAACTCATTGTCAAGAGGTTATGACTAATCAAGATAAGGTACTTAACATAGCTGGGTGTGGCACTAGCTTGAAGACTTTGAATTTAGACACTTGATAACAGTTTTTTATAACCCCAATCAAAACTACTTTGTGGCATTCTCAATTTCATCAGAATATAATCATCATCATTTCCAGCCTTTTCTTCTCAGACTGGCTCTTTGCCAATGTTTAAGAAACATATGTTTTCTGCACATTTGCTCCTTCACCTATTTAAACCTGTGAATCATCACCTATTGCTGAACTATCTGTTGAAATAACGACCCTAAATGTAGGGCTGGCCGATAAAACGATAACAATATATATCAAAAATTAATTTTCTTCAATTTCGATACAAGACATGGTCAACATCCTTTTCAATCGCAGGCATTCTGCAATGTTTTGGTAGACTATGCAAATAGCCAATGAAAAGGGGAGTTGCTCCGGGTTCGCTTCGCACTGAACCAATCATGTGCTTTATTAGAACCAAGTAACAAACAACTGTGTAGTAGCAGGCTGCAGCTACACGTAACCATAGCACTTTAACACGTGAAGCCAAGAGCACTGAAAGCCAACCACGGTTTGCTTTTTCTAGCGCAACGCATTTTCACAAAACGTCTAAGAGACACAATTTTTTTTTATATTGTGATATATATCAATATGGACTGATATGAAAAAAATATATTGTGATAAACTTTTCCTCATATTGCCCAGCCCTACCTAAATGGGCTGCTAGATATGTTTAACACATGCTTTCATATTAGCAATGTCATGCTGTGGAGTGACGGTGACATAAAGGGACACTTTATACACCATGTAATTTTTTAAAATGTTTACGGTTTTACTTTCAGCACAAGAGGACATGCAGTGAGTCTCCTTCATTTTTCTTTTTAATTTAACTCAACCATTTATGTTGGCAAATATTGTAGGATGCACATACCTTTTTAAAAAATGTCAGTAGTATTTGAAATAAGATAAACCCCCCACATCAAATGGTTACTGTGTTTGCAACATGTGCTAAGAGTGAATATAAAGGCTTAGAAGCAAAACTGACAGGAAGCTATAGTTTTATTGTCCAATATCTTTGTTCTTGATGCCTCATCACTTTAAATTTTCATCAATACTTTCCCTGACATTTATGCCCTTTGATCAGCATTTCGTGTATAAATCTTTTTGCAGGCTGGTGTAGGATTTGCTCGTCTTTGAAGGCTTTGATTCAGCTCCCACACATGAGCCTGATATTACAGGAAACGGATTTCGTGGAATTGCAACCAGCAATAAAAAAAAGGCCAAGATCTATTAAGATAAGACGTAGATGAAAGATAATATAAAACTTAAATGATCCCCGTTGGGAAATTAGGTCAGATACCAGAACGCATTAGGCGGCAATAAAAGACTTACGGCATGAAATGTGAGAAAAGCAGTGAAATGGAAGTGTGTGTAAATGGCTGTACAAAACTTGTGCACACACACACACTAAAACTTGTAATGTACACACTAAGTCATTTACAAATACAAAAAAAAATTGTCAAAAAGTATCAGAGTAACAAAGACTGAGAAGCTGTTCAGTTTCCCCTTTTACTACAACATGAGGCACATAGAAGAGCACTTATTTGCAAATCTAAAAACTTATATCAGTGTCTATAAGAACCCTAATTTTAGCACCATCCAACCTCCACCTATGTTTTGGCTGTTTTTCAAGTGATATTGAGTAAGACACAGCTTGTGGGTGTTACTTTTTACACAGCTTTGTAATTGCAAAATGACTAAAAAGTACAGAAAATATCTGAGGCTAACCACCAGCTGAATTTATTTGTCACTATCAGGTCGATGGAGTCAGTCTCCAATGCCGTAGTGATATCTCGCAATATTCATTTCTTCTTAAGGACATAATTCATAAAGCAATTCATCCATTATGCATGCCACTTAACCTGTTAAAGGTGGCAGGCTGGAGCTGATTTCAACAGGGGACACCTGTCACCAGTCACAGGGCATGAATAATCAGTAACACTCAATCTAACAGATCGGGGTGATAAGCTTATTTAAATGGGCTCTGGGAGATGACTTCAGGTTGCCATGATGTGACCAGTCTTACCGCACAGTCACAGGGAACAACAGTGTTATACATGGAGGACCTGAAACGGAGAAAGAAACCTAAGTAGAACTTTTGGAAAGTGCAAATGAGGGACCACTGGACATGATCTTGGAATAATGGCAACACATACTTTCAATAAGCTAAGATTTTTGACATGGACTCCTGCGTATTTCTAGGTGTCTAACAGGTGTTTTTGTGTAATGAAGATGACACTGTGTGAACCTCACACCCCACAGAAGAGGTTTACCAGCTGGTCCCAGTACACAGACTGATTTAAGTCCTATCAATCAACCTTTTTACTATTAAGACCTCCCAGCCTGCAGTGCCTCTCCTAGCAAAGAGTGGTTAAAGTTTAACAGTCACAGAATAATATCTGACTGAGAAGGAAATCAATCTAAGAAAGGCAAAGTAACTTGTTGTTAGCATGTTGTTATCTGTGTACTGAGTCCACTTGCCTCAGGTTATGCTACCCTCAAAACATGCCCCATGGACTTGGGCGCACACCTATAGATGGGGCAAAACTGGAAACACATGATTGGTGGGTTTTTGGAGTTGGCCTTTTCCCTCCTTTCTGAACACTTTTCCTTCCGTCTTTATCTTTCATTATCTCTGTTTAGCTCCTACCTCAATTTTTTGTTTGTTTAGAGCTTTACAACTCTTAAATGTTTTTCATACATAACAGTCTAGTTCAAGTCTGTAATTTATTCCTTTTCAAGTTCCCAAAGGTAGTTTTGAAAGTAGTACCAGCTGGCGAGCATGATCATTTTCTTACTGATCTGCAGGAGTTAGTCTTTTTAGAAGTTTGACTATCTTTGGGACTACAACAAAACCCCCCTCCAAGATCCAGCTTTATGAACCAGAACCAGATGCATAGCCAATACAAGGCAGATCGGAGTGGCATCAGCAGTAATGCTGACGTTTAACCGATCTGTCGTGGTGAAGAAAGAGCCAAGCCTAAGGCGAGATTCTCGATTTACCAGTCGATCTACATGCCGGCCCTCACCTATGGTCATGAACTTCGGGTAATGACCGAAAATGACCCATTTCAAGCAGCTGAAATGGGTTTCCTTCGCAGGATGGCCAAGCTCAGCCTTAGGGATAGGGTAAGGAGCTTGGACACTAGGGAGGCCCTCAGAGTAGAGCCGCTGCTCCTCCACGTCAAGAAGAGTCAGCTGAGGTGGCTCAGGCATCTGGTTAGGATGCCTTCTGGACACCTCCCATTAGAGGTGTTCCGGACATGTCCCACCGGGAGGAGACCTCGTGGCTGGCCCAGGACCAGTCGGAGGGATTATATGTCTCGCCTGACCTGGGAGCACCTGGGAATCCCCCCTGAGGAGCTGGTGGAAGTAACTGGGGTGAGGGCTGTCTGGGCTTCCCTCCTGAAGCTGCTGCCCTAATGACCCAGACCCAGATAAATGACGGCGCATAGCTAATACAGCCTTAATTTTTGCTTTGGCTATGAATGGTCTGATTTGTTATTGTGCACACTATCATGAAAACTATGCTATTTCACAGCCGTAATGCCGTCGTCATGCATCAGGCCTCAAGACAGCTTTGTGAGCGAACAAATAGGTTAGTAAATTAGTAAAATAGTTGTCCTTCTTCTTACTTTCACCCTAAATGTTTCCTCAAAAACATGACCACACTTTGGCAATATTCGCACACTTGTGCCCCACTCATGCTCTGTATATGACCTGACTCTTGTATGTAGAGTAAAACAACTCTCTATTCCTGTTTCATGATAACTTTTGATAAAATTCCTTTTTTCATGATTCACAAGAGTGGAGTTTGGATGTCCCCTCAGCTGTGATTTTCAAAAACACAGCATAAAAAAAAGGGGGATGATAACAGCCTCCCATCTTGTTTGTTGTTGTCAAGGTTACTCTCCTCATTCATCATGATCAGATGCCACTTTGTATTGACCGTGTCACTCAACGTGGAAATCAGAAGAGAGCAACTCAAACTTCACACTGAGAGTGAAGTTATGAATTGAGGGCACCCTCAGATACTCTGTGCTCTCTTCCATCTCCTTGGTGTCTCTTGCTGGTAATTTAGTCAGGAAATTGCTTTGTATTTGTTTATGAACCATGCAGTCCCAGGTGAGATTAATCCAAAAGGAGACACAACACAAAAGAAGGTCGTCCACCTGTGGTGATGACTGTTGTTTCAGTGTCTTAGTTTTTCCAGCCTTTCTCTTTCCCTCTCTCCATTTCCACTTCAGAAAATTCAGACAAGGAATACTAATCAAGCTGTATCATAGCACCGGAGGATTGACCTGCTCAGGATAACACTGAAATTACTCTTCACCTTTATAGAACAGCCGGTGCTCAAGGTCCCTCACACCATCCCAGCCTCTTGATAATATAGAAGATAATCCTGCATGCGCCTACAGATCTGCAGAGAGGCTTATTTTCTTGTAATTGGCAAATGAAAAGGTGATCGCAGCACTCAATCTTCCCAGGGGATTTCCTCTTGCTCTCCATGTCTGTCAGTTATATTCTGATTCATCAGGTTGACCTTTCAGTGTTCAGGCCTGAGTAGTTATTAGAAGATTCATCCCTGACCCTCACATCTATTACGGCCATCGTATAACTGTCGTCTTTTCCAGCAGCCCCTGATGACTGAAACACAATCTGCAATTCAATTTTACAGTTTTATTATCATGTAGAAAATATGATGAAGGCTGTACCAAGGCTGCTTTTTTATGCAACTGCAATTTTACAGTTGAATTTCAATATTCAGACAGAACATATAAAAGGTTGTTCTCATTCATTGTTCAGACTACCAAGAGTAATGAACTCAAATTGTAATTATGCAATATTTCTAGTGAATACTCAAACATGATTGACTGTAGGGAAAATGGAGACGCACCACATTTCTGATAACTGACTGTGAAAAAGATTAGATTGCATTCATACGTAGATATCAGCAGGGTTACATAAGTAAAGGAATCATTATTTTCTAGCTTGTTTGTTCAGTTTTAGACCTGATGCCCATGAACCCACTGTAGGCAGGGGTCACTAGGTGCATGATTTCCACTGAGCAGTCTGATACAGTTTAGTACAGTACACAGATATTTGCATTTTCATTTAAAAAGTTGGTAAAGTTGCCAAATAACCGACCTGTACTGTCCTTTTTTTATTTGGCAGCCTTCTGTCAGGGTTCCAGGCTTATCTATCTAATCCCAACCTGCAATGTTTGAGAAGGCGTTACACTGAATTGTAACTTTCCTTTCCTGATTTTATACGATCATGAACTTTTGTACCTTCATAAGTAATGTCTGTTTTATGCATGCCTTCATTTATGTCAAAGGCAATGCTGTTGGGGGTTTATATTTGAGAGTTTAATTCAAAAACAGACACCAGCTGAGCAGAGAGGGGGGCACAGAGATTAATGCAAAATGAGAAGGAGAGGAAGTCTGCAAAGGATGAAATATTTCCTGTAGTCTGATGTTATTTTAAAGTCAACATCGCTTGATTTTACCAACATGTAGCCAACATGACAAATAACTTTTGTCCAACCTAACGTCTGGTTCACACTGGAAGCGCCGCGCGCGGAACGGAAGCGCCGCGCACAGAGTTTCAGATCGGCGCCCATGTTAACCTATGAGACTGTTCACACAGCACGCGCGCGGAAGCGCCGCGCGCGGAACGGCTCGCGCTCTGGAGCGCGGCTGCTCCGCTTCTCTCTATTTTTGGCGCGAGCCGCGCGCGCCGATGTAAAGCTCAACAGAGCAGATCGGACCAGACAGGAAGTCAGGAAGGAGATGCGAGAGAATCCGGTCAATTTTCAAAATAAAGTAAATTTCAATAAATTAGAAAAAGATTGACGGTGTTGCTTGTCGGTCTATTTTTTTTACCGATGAACACACACACACAAACACACACACACACACACACACACACACACGGAGGGAGAGCTGCAGAGATTCAGTGATGTTATTGAGACAAAGAGGGGGGGGACTTTATTACGATACAGTCAATAGCCTCGAGCTAACAAGGCTATACATACAACGGAGTCAACAGACTCCCCAATTTATTCGTCGTTTACCCCTATATAATAATTTAAAACAATACTTGAAGATGCTGTCAATATTTAATTCATGTATGACGAAATAAAAACGTAAATAAATAGTGATTTACCCATTTTTAAAGCGCTCGTAAGTGTGGAAAACTGAGGGCAGACGGAAACGGCCGAGCACTACCGGGCTCAGTCGATGTCTGACCGGCATGTCAGAGCGCAGCAGAAAGCGCTTCCTGTGTGAACAGCCAAGCGCGAGCCGGCGCTGCGCGCGCGCGCGGCGCTTCCGTTCCGCGCGCGGCGCTTCCAGTGTGAACCAGACGTAAGTGCACCGCAGGCTTAAAAGGAATAGCAATACAACTTACCTCATTCACCATATTAGGCACAACTTCGGGATGAAGCAAGGAGAGATCAACATTCTGTAGGTGAAATCACAATACATTTTTAAGGGTTATGACATGAACATAGCGAATACAGAATGAATTCAGCCTTATAGTTTTTCTGCTGAGATCCATACAGCTTGCGGGAAAAAAAATCTGGTGAGATCTACTGCTCACACTTGCTGTTTTAATGATTTGAAAGGTTAGGGTGCAGCCTGCCATGGTGACACAATCAAGTGTCTAACTGTGCTCATTCAAACTGTACCCTTTTGTGGAAATGTACCATATAGTAGGCCTGAACGATATATCGTTTGACTATCGTCATCGCGATGTACGTGTGTGCGATAGTCACATCGCAGAGCCTGCGATATTGGAGGCGAATGAACTCATTTAATTTCAAGGGTAACCGACTGAGATACACTCCATGTGACTCTGCATGTGCTGTGCAGCGATCCACCAATCGCCTTCCTCCTTAACTCAGTTGCCAATCAGACTCACTTCTCAGTTGCCAATCAGACTACCCTGCCAGCTGTCAATCAAAATCAGGGCGGAGAAAACCCACCCCTGCACATGTTCTGCACATGGAGGGAGACGTGTGTCCGCTGAGAATTACTTTCGGAACTTTACTCATGACTGTTTAGCCCAACAAATAAGAACTGTATGGGTTTTAAATTGTACATTTCCGTGGACCACTCTACTATAAGCAGTGCGCGTTTTGCGAGGTGCATGCAATTCTCGGAGGACATGCGTTTCTCGGCACAACACCGCTAACAACAACAACAACGATCGCAAAATGAACAACGAACAAGCGAAAACCACCGAAAATGAAGATTTGTTGCCAAAAAGAAAAGGAAAGTCGGTTATCTGGAATTATTTCGGTTAAAAGAAGGATGATGTCGACCAAAACACGTCTTCTGTGTTCACCTGTTGCCACAATAACGTCCCAGCACAATAAAAGCTAAAAATATCTCTGAGACAGACAGAAGCCGTTCTACTAACATTCACAAAAAGAGGTAAGATCAGAGCAGATTAACTGTCCTCAAGATTTCAGCAGTGCAGCATAACTATTCAGGTCATCTGGTGAAAATACTGTATTTTTAATATCGCAATATATATCGCAGGGTTGAAAAAATCGCAGTATTATTTTTTTCCAATATCGTGCAGCCTTACCATATAGTACATTATATTCCGTTCAATCAAAGCCAGCATTCACTTTTCCATAGTTTTGAGCTCCAGTAGTGCTCAGACCACACAGGGCAGCTTTCAATAGGAACACTGATCAATTAGCCTTGTGTGCCCATGGTGTTAATACTTAACCCATTTCCCTTATTATATTATTATATATATATATTTCTGGTAGATATAAGCAACTTCTGAAAAGTAAAACCCCACAAAAGCTGCTGCCATGGAGGTTTCTAGCTCAGTCTTGTATGCATATGAGGAGGTCTGATGTCATATTACAGTTTAAGATGAAAAGCACTGAAAAAGAGTGTTACAGGACAAACATGGGATTGATTTGGGCTGATTGAGGCATTAAAATGTGGCCCCAAACCAGTAAAAGGTAAAAATAGTCAGATCTTAGCATGGCCGCATTTAGAAGTTCAACAGGCTAGCTTAAGGGTTACGGGTTCATTTCAGTCAAAAATGATGGCTCAGTTGAAACTCCAGTGTGGTGTTTTTTTTTAATTCACACCAATTCCCCCAAAACAGCAGCAAAAAGTGGCAAAAATATTGACAACGCTGTCTTTGTGCTTGTGGCGTTTTTTTTTTATTTATTTTTTTATGACTGTGCACTGCAATGGAGAGCTAATTGAAATGTAGACTCCAGGAAGAATGGTAAGGGCCTTAGCCAATGGTAATGGAGATCTAAATAAACGAAACAGTGCAGGATAACAAAAAGCTAGGCAAATATTTACAGTAGAATTTCAGTAAAACTTACGCTGGCAGTAGGCCCACAATGCCAGTAGGCCAAGAGCTCTTCTTTATTTCTGGAAGCGGGTATTACTGTCCTCCACTGGTCTCTTGTTTACTCCGATCTTGTTATATAGTCCAGTTGTTGCATAGTCCATCTTGTTGTATAGTCCAATTTCATGCAGGAGTTGTAGCACTGAGGAAAACTTCGCTCCTAGTCTGCCAAGAGTTCTCTTCAGAGTGAGCAGAAAATCTCTAAGATATCCCTTAGACCCTCCCCTGGGCAAATCCATAATCAAATTATGGGGGTTTATGGCACAATTTAGCAAAATAGAAAGCAAATTTCATCAATCCATCACAGATTTTAACATGAACAAAAAGGCACAAAAAGCCTTCCATACAGCTGTGAAATTAACCCCTTAAAACGCAGTAAATCAGGAGTTAATACCCAAATGAAGTAAAATGGTGAAGACTTGTGGTCACCTGACTCCCCAAAAACGCGCCACCTCGCGCTATTTACGGTGCGACCAGGAAATGCCCCGGTTTGGTTTGTGAAGATGGCAGCAGGTAAGTCCTTGTGTGTGTGTGTATGTATTTGGCGTGTTGTCGCCGAGTGTGCGCCCTCGAACGCCTACAGCGGGGAGAAAAGTGTTCAGATAATAGGGAAACAGTTTAGAAACAGTCTAGAAACAGTTTAACGAAGTTTGGGAACGAGAGCAATCCGCGCGCGCTCCTGGCACCGACACTCTCAGGCCACGAGAGAGAGACCCGCGCGCCGGTCAGGGGATGATGGTGCGTTTAATGGCGGTCTGTCACGCGAAGCTTTTGGATAAAATAGATGTCAAATTTGGTTCATGAAGTTCTTTAAAACTGAGCAACAACCTCAGACAGACGCGTGGGTTTATGCGGTTCACCCTTTCCTTGTACTCTGCTTTCTTTTCATCTGAAGCTGATGCTTGCCATGGCCAAATCTCTCTTCAAAAAGAATTTGTGTGTATACAAATAGATGTAATTCACTGTCTTAATTCGTCTGCTACCTTATCCTGCATGTTGAAAAAAAAATCATGTTTCATTTTGAAGAACAGAATGCTGAAAACTTGAACTATCAAAGGCCCTTTTTGTGAGTATGAGGCTGCTTTTTCAGATCTGCCTACAAGTTCAGACAAGAACACTTATTATAAAAGCTTCATATTTCAGCTCTCTTATTTGAAAGTTTGTTTCTGGAACTACATCCTGACCTTTAAGGATCTTAGTGCTGACAGGCTTTTGTGGCACAACTTGATAGAAATTTCTTGCATGAGCTGAACTAATTGAGAACACAGGTTGCATATGTGCATCCTTAAAGGGATATTGCGAAAATAAATTTAGGGTCAAACCCAAGGTAACACTGAGTTACACACCCCCTCAAGAGATGAAGGCTGCGTCACCCTGTTGTACGTAATGGACTGGCCCGAGGTCTCGCTACAAACAAACGGCTGCTGGAAGAGAGTGGGTGAGTTGTGTTTAGTCTCTTTGCTAAAGAAATTAGACAAAGTTAAAAAGATGTTTGGTGGCTAGTGCTGTGGCTAGGACCATACATGTACTGTTGATGAAGTTAGGTGCTGTTCTGAGCATTATTTGTGGCTATAGAGTGGCGTTTTGGTTGAGGTTTGTTTATGGCTCCTCAGACCGCTGTGTATTGCTATCGTGTGGTCGTTACTAAAGTTAGTATAACTAAAGAAGCAAGTGGTCAGCAACATTCATCTCTCAAGGGGGTGTTTAACTCAGTGTTATGGTGTGTTTGACTCTAAATTAATTTTACGCTGGAATATCCCTTTAAATCTCTTATTATACAATGGTTAATGTTGTGTTTTCTGATTTGTTGTTGTGTTTTGTACCTCAGGGCCACCGTACACTATACAAACCAACTGAACAGATGTTGTAGCAAGCAAGCAATTTATATATCAATTGTTTGTGTTTGTGTGAGGAGAACAACTTACCAGATGTTTGTATCTTTCTTTTTCATAAATCTTCTTCAAGGTTTAATTTTCTTTTACTTTCCATCTCCAGAACTGTTGTTACAAAGTTGGGTAGTACATCTTGGTGTCAGGCTGATATATTATGTATCTTGATAAGTTCTTAACAAACTAATTGAAGATACAGATGCTGCAGCAACTGATGCAATACAACACAACACAACACAACTTCCACCCCAATCAGAATGCAGTATAATGAAATTCCATCTGATAAAACATTGAGCAGTTTGTTTGATGTGATTCGGCATCAGATGTGAGTTTATTTATCAAAAAATTAAACATAAGATCTCCCAAACTGGCCTTTTATGAGCTTGAGTGTTGCAATGGCAGAAATCTGCATGGTCACGGTGTCTTAAGTGAGCTTGAACGTTTGTCCTACTGTCTGTGTACGTAAGAGCAGCGTGGCACATTTTGCAAATTGCATCTGACTTACGTTGCATGCTTCTCTTGTTGTGTTTCCAAACTTCTATGCTATTCTCCAAAACAGTAGTGTTAATAAATGGTCAATAGGCCTTGTTTATATAGCACTTTCATTGGTTTTCTAAACACTTAAAGCACTTTAAACATCACATGTCGTAGTCACCCGTTCACACCACAATCAAACACTGAAGGCAGAGGCTGCTATGTATACAGCCCATCAGTTTTTGACAAATTCCAGTCCCATATCCCTGGGCACAGCCAGTGCAATTCCATTTTGGCAATGCACTTGTAGCATCCCCTTCCTTTTCCATGTCTTAACGCAAACTGGTCAATCTTCTAATGCTTTTACAAAACGTTGAGCTCGGAGGTTTCTAAAATATTGTAAATGCGATTTCTCTTCAACTTGAGCTTTATGAGAGCAAATTTGCATTCATTTTCTGTATGTCTTTACTCTGACTTTGAATATCTGTGTCGCTTAAAAATTGCTTAGCGTTTAGAAAATGGGAACTCTGCAATTCACAAGAGAGCAAATATAACATTAAGGGAAACAAGCTGTTCTGCAAGAACAACCAGTCAGAAGCAATCTACAGCTTTACAGAGTTGTTTCAAACATGCAGCTGATCAAATTAGTGATAAACCTGTGTCCTTACCATGGCATTGTAACAATTCAGAAAGCTTTCAGTCAGTTTGCTGTTTGCCGGTCGTGGCAGCGGTTCCATCAGCTCATACTTTACACCCACACACTGAGGCCACTCAATTCCATTCAATTCTCTCTACTCATCTGAAATTCAATATGTACTTTACCCTCTTCCTTTGAGTGCTTTTCAAAAAGTGTCTGTCTACCACAAAGTTTTCCTCATTCACCGAGTACAGTGTAAACAATTGTTTAGGGTTGAAAATATAGCTATTTCTGCATTTACTCGGGTAAAGCAAACCTTTGCATGAGTAAATGCAGATCCACAGATTGCTGGAAATGTCAGGTCCCTTAAACTATGTTCAGAATCTTCACTAATCATCCAATTTTTAACCAAAGGTGAGGAAAAACAAGCGAAAACCCCTGATATTAGTAGCTGTGTTGTTTTGCATGGCTTTAGAGTGCCTGTTCCCAATTAGCTTCTTGTGTCTTCTACCAGCTTTGAAGCGCAGCTACACTGGCTTGGCTAAGAGATCAAGTATTTCTTACATGGGTGATTTCATTAGTATGGCAGCTTAAAGCTTACTGGAACATTCAGTGATTGACACTTCAAAACATCTGCATCACTGTATAAAAAATGGATGAATGTGAAGCTAATGGAAAGATATGCTTCACGAGATAATCTACTTCAGGGTTTCTGATGAACCACCACAATGACTGAGCCGAAACACCTTGTTTTGTTTTTGTTTTGAGTGTGTAGACAGTCCTTCATGCATGCACAGTACTTGCCAGCCGTGTTAAAATAATCATTCTGCACACCAATCAAGGACTTGGCACCGACTGTAGCACATTTCTTTGTCTTTCTTTTCAAGGCTTCCCACGTTTCTTACAAGAATAATTTCAACTGGATAAACACATTCAAAAAGCTTAGACATAGTCATCAGGAATGTTTGAACATGAAACAGCACTTCAGATATTATCCCATGAAGGAAAAATAACTGAGTAACCACAGGTGTACTGTCACAGGGCGCTAAATTGATCAGTAATTTTGGCCTGTATACCTAAAAACCTTCTCAGAAGTGCTCTAAAAAGTTAGACTATGTTGACTCTGAATAGGGCAGGGTGATATGGCCTCAAATCAATTTCACGATATATTGAGCAGTTCACCTCGATGACGATAAATTGACAATAACTACTCCACAAGCTGCTCACCCCCTCCCACATTAACTCTGTCTACTTCAGCCGCTGCTCCAGCTGCTACAACTTTTGCACCGTCCTCTATCTCCTCACCTGTCTTTCCCTTTTTGTTACAGACTAGATGGGGTGGAGCCACACCCTGACGTAGGACAGCTTCTTAAAGGGACATGAGACCATAGCCTACCTACACACATTTTGACACTGAATAAATTATGTCAGTTATTGTCATAAATTTCAGTATCGGTAAATTTTCTGTTTATTGCCCAGCACTAACTCTGAGCTTCAAAAAAAAAAACATTAGACCAACATTAGCAGATGAAAATAGCACCCTTAGAAACTTCACCTTGGACTTCAAGTAACTTTGATTT